GTACGTCTGATTCACCAAAAAGTTTGGCAACTCTGTAGTGAGCAGTACCTAAAGTATAATTCCCTTGCGTAAATTGTAAGAACAAAACTAAAACTGACAGTCTGTTGCTGTTTAAGCTAGCTAGGTTGGCTTGCACAGAACACAACGCCAAGCTAACTAGTCAAGTACAACCTAGTAGTAGCAACTGTTCTTTAAACCAAATTAAATCATTTCTTTACCAAAAAAAGAATATTAGGAAAGGCCTTCTACTAGACCCTTTAGTGTAGAGTGGTACATAAATGACTGAATTGATTTGAACCTTCCAAACTCGAAGATACTCCTATGCAGTCAAGAGTGTTTTCAAAAACCCAGAAGTTATGTTAATTGGCTGTTGTGTGTGTTTGGCTCAGAGCTAAATGCAGCAGAGCAGTTGTTGGAAGTAGTGCCTTCCAGTCATTACTGAAGGAACAAAGTCCCTTGTCCACACAGCAAGCCAAGACTCTTCCTGCTAGCTTTCTAAATCCCTGTTTTAATCCTTGATTTGCTTTCTTGTGGTACTCGTGGAACAGATGGTTTTCTAATCAGAGTGATTCTAGGATGTGATGTTGATTGTCATTTGTGATGAAGTTGCAAAAGAAAAAATACTTTTTGTTTGTGTTTGATTGAATCCTATAGGTATATTTCAACTTAAAAGTTTTAAATATAGTACATGTTAATCGCACTCTAAGACAATACTCTTACCTACCACGGCTGTGTATATGGCCACTCGTAAGTTCTTTTTTTCCTGCATAATTGACTAAAAGAATGAAAAGCATCAGCAAAACAACAATACAGCTTCACTGACAGAATCTGTGCAACAGCGGTGACGTAAATCTGGGGCAAGACAAAGATCTGCTGGTGAGGTTAAGTTAGGGCAGGAATATTATTGGGGATTACAACAGCTTCTGATTTTCTCAAGGTTTATAGGAGTCATGGATGTACATGCAACTACTTATCTGTAACAGAACATTCAATTCAATCACAATTTAAGCACAGTTGTAATAAAAGAACATTCAATTCAGTCACATTATTCCCTACTCTGATCCACTCAGCTGTTTTAGTTACTGTACATACCGACCTAAAGTCAAATGGCCTGTCACTTGTATCCATTCTTCTGCTTGGCCTAATTAGCTTGGGCAGAGCATTAACCGAACCTGTGTAGCCAAAGCTTGGCAGAATGAACTCTTTTGGACAGGTTTGTGTTTTAAGCCAATGACACTTTCTTGCAAGCCAAGAACCTTCCTGCCGGCTTTCTTAATTGTTCGTAATTTATTCCACTTATTAAATAAGTTTAACAGCTAATCCTAACCTCAGGAATGGTTACGGATTACCCACACAGGTGATTGTTCTGGTGATCCTTGCATCAAGGCGGCAGGTTTTGGATACAGGTGAGTATATAAGCAAGTTACAGAGACAAGACAAGACTCTTACAGACTTCCAGAGTGCTCAGTGCACATCTAAGGCCATGACTGCTGTCCACAGTCCTATGAGGAAACCATCAGAGTCTGTGTTTGTTCAAATGGTGAGTGTGAGGCTCTATGGACCAAAGCTCAAAATATTGTCAAGTCTATGATAAACATGTAGTTATAATAACAAACAGCTAATAACAATTATGGGAAGCTTTATTTATGTTGCCAATGCTCAAGGATGTATTTATTTAATCTTTTTTTGTACCATTTTTCTGAAGATATGGGCATTTTGGAGAAGACTAGCAAAAGAGCTCCAGTAAGAAATACTGATTCTGATTCTTTTAACTTTTTCATACTTTCTCAGCATCATTAAATTTCAAGGAAATACATCTTCCTCTGTTTTTTCTGTTCTTTTTCTCTTTGCACTTTCAGATCTGATTGAAAGTCTAGACCAGGAGTGGCTTGCCAAAGGGGGTCAAACTGCAATGTAGTGGGCCGAGAGCCAAAAAGGCAAAACAGTATACAAATAAACGAGGTAGGTAATTTATAACATTACATTATATTTTGTGCTAAAATACGTCAAAATACAAATCAAACAAAAGTAAGAATTTATTTGCCTGTAAAAGTTACGTATAGTAAAGTTATAAAAGTTATGTATGGTATAGAAATATGTCCTCTCATTAGATGAGGGAGTGGGGCTAGGGTAACACTATGGTGGGCCAAACCTAATGTCCTTAACCTAATTAATACCCTAACCTAACTTTGGGCAACCCTCATCTAGACCAGTGTTTCTCAACCCTTGTCCTGGAGGCCCACTGCCCTGCACATTTTAGTGCTTTTCCTGCTTTAACAAATCCACTTTAACTCAATAATAAGCTGTTAATGAGCTGATTAGTTGGATCAAGTGAGTAAGGTGGGGGTGGTCATGCTTTTGCAATGATATGTAATTGATCTGAATAGGTAAGAAAACACAACACACAAAACTATCACCAGATCCCTCAGAACACTCAGTCCTTGCTTATAGACTCTTGAGCTCCCTCTACAGGATAAGCGGAGTTTGGGTAAGGCCGCTGGTAAGGCAGTTGTAAATTATTTTTGTGTCTAATTTGGTGTGGATCTCGAGTACTTTTGGAGCTGCAAAATATCACCACGTCAACCAAACTAATGCGGATTGAGTTCTTTACTTTTTAAACATCCATATTATTTATGGCAACTCAGTTTATAACAGCTATTACATTTACATCTTCTTTGAAGATGAAGATCATAACAATACTCCCACTCAAAAAATGCCTCTGTTAAAAAAATTCCCTTAAACAGCCTCTGGATCTGGAAAATAAAATGTGAAATAAAACGTAAAAAAAGGATGTGTAAATAAAATACAAAAAATCTTTTTTTAAATAAATCATAAAATATATATATGCATCAATAAAAATAAGTAATGTAAAAGACCAAAATACATATATCAAATGGATAATGTATAAAAATAAATTAATTCTGAAAAGTTCATTTTAAAATAAAAGAAAATATTAATTATAGGAGAATATAACAGAGTCTTAGAAGTTTCTTAGAAGTGAAACTGTCATTTCTCATAACATACTAAGGCTGAGCTAACTACAGCAGTAGGACATTCTTTATGCTTAAGCCTTATTTATTAGGTGTACCTAATAAAAAGCTTACTGGCTTAGTGCTTTAACTATATTTGTATTCACAAAAAACAAGTTCACTACTGCTTTTATAAATTAAGATATGGCTGAAGACTTGATTGAGCAAATGGCAGATGGAAACGGTTACTAAGCAGTGATTGGAGGGCCAAGATGGGCAGTTGAACATGCTGGAATCATTAATGATACTAAAACTTTAAGACACATCATTTTAGCGCCGTTCTTGTGTTAAGTTATTAGTCATTAAGGGGTAAAGAGGCACATTCCCCACCATCCATACGACAACATAATGGTACAGTAATAATTCACAAGTTGATAGGGAGCCCTCTGGTGGCTGTGGGGCGCTAGGCTGCTGTTATATAGCTTAATAGTTGGACTGGGCAGCGTATTACTGATCCAGATCCAGAACTATTCATACCCTGGTCGAGTACCTGCGTCCATTTCCCATCACACAACTGATATTTGCTGGATGTGGTGGACGCATGATTTCTCTCATGAAGGTAGTGCTAACAGTAAACACAAACAATAATACCAGCGTTAGATGAGCTCCAAGTTCTGATTTACTGTTTACTCTGCATTTTGTTTTATTTGAAGAGCCACGCGCCATTTTTGGTGTTTTTGGTTAGAGTTTTTGGTTGGATAAGCATGTAATGTTGTTGTGCTTCATGCACAGCAAGTCTTTGCTAAGTACGTAACTGTCTCACCTGTCTTCATCTTGAAGAACCTCAAAGAATGAGATTCCCTTCTTTTCCACACTTTCAAGTACCACTTTTACCACTTTTTCCCTTACGGTGTCCTACACTGCTTCAATCTCACTCTATCTCCCCATGTGCAGACTAGTTTTCAGTGTGTGTCAATGCACAACAGCAATACTGTAATGTTAACAGTTGACACGGTTAAATAGACATTTTAACTGCACAATGATACTGTAGCACATCGCTGCGAAAATTAGCTTTCTGATGAGAGTTGGAGAGGAGGAAAGAAACCAGATTTGAATTGCAAACATTTTCTTTATTTCGCTAGAGAAAAAAAAAAGAAATGTACATTTGTTTTTTGTCATTTTTTTTTTGAAAATGCATACCTAGTCTACAGAACCCAACAGGTGCAAAGACAATTACAGCACATCTCTCTGAACCTGATGGGGATCTTGGTCAGATGTAGGCTGCCTTGATACAGACTGAGTGGTAGCGTGAACTCTTGTCATATTTCAGATTAAGCAGCTTCAAGATTTATGTGGTGGACTTCTCCAAAGCCTTTGCATTGAACTGGAATGGAAGTCTTTTCAATTGCAAGAAAATTGGGGAAAACAGCTCTGTAGATTTGTATTACTATTACAAAATTTTGTTATTTTATGTTTCAAACGACTGCGAATTAGCAGAATAGTCTAAACGTAAAAGTTTTTTAGTGACAGCCACAAAACAAAACTTAAGACATGTTTGTAAATTCAGTGATGTAAAATTGTCTGTTTCTAGAAGTTTACAGTTTTGCAGCATCACTCAGGTTCTACCTCCAGTCAGATATTAACAGTAGGTGTGATTGGCATAAAAAACATCTTTTTGTGGATAGTAAAAGGGGTGGGAGGGTGTGGGACCCCTTCCAGCCTTCATTTCTGGTTCAGCTCTTCAGTAGCAGAGGTCAGTGGTTTGAGAACATTGCATGCAGAATTCCAGCATATCAGTGCAAAGCAAACACACCAGGAGCACATTTGAGCATGTGTCAGAACACCCTGCACACTCAATGATAAATTACATCATAGCCACTATCGTGGAGTCCTGATATGAAATAAAAATATTCCTTTATGGTGCTGAGCTATGCTAAGTGACCATAATGCATGTAGCATACAGTGCAGGCTGATAATGACTGCAGTCCATGTGTGATCCTGATATGTATCCATGTATCCGGCATACGCTGTTCACGAAGCTGTAGACACTTCTGTGGTAGAGCCAGAAACCTCTGATGCGTCCTCCACCTTCTTTCCAAAGAGCTGCATGATACAGCTACGGAACTGCAGGGCAGAACAGATATGTGTCATTTAGATGCACAGTTACGGTGAAAACTTTCAATTGTAATATTTTAGAAATAAAACTGTGAAAAGTAAAATCTGCTGTTTCCAGCTAAGGCCAGACTAAAGCACAATTGTTGGCTATACATGGTTGACAGCTGATATCATGAGCAGTAATGTATGAATTGTAGGGATAGGGAAAACATTTTATTCTCATTAAAGATTGTAAAACATATTTATATATAAGTTCTGTGTTTCCCAACTGTAAAAACTCACATGAACCCAGAAACATTATAAAGTAGGATGCTTTGGTACAGCCCAGCTTGGAAGGGTAAAAAATACAGGTGAAAACCAAAGAAAACACTACCTTACTTACGAACACAACTTTAATAACCAGGTCAGTACGTTGCTAACAAGCTAATCCTCAGAATTAGGCTTTAAGAATTAACTAAAGGATGGACTAAACTACAGCATACAAAGTAAAACCCTTTGAGAATTATTTTATAATCCCTTCTTGGCACCCTAAATCGGGTTCGAATTGTGAGGTGTCTAGAGATTTCCACCAATGATGAGTTGTAGCACTTCACATATGTTCTTACCTGGCGGTTCATGAAGACGTAAATGATGGGATTGTAGATGGTGGCACTCTTGGCAAAGTAGGCAGGCATAGCTGCTGCCAGTGGGTGCCACGCATAACCAGGGTTGAGGGCGGAGAAGGTGGCAAAGGAGGCATATGGTCCCCAGCACAAGATAAAAGCCAGGATCATCACTACCACCATCCGTGACACTTCCTTTTCTGCCTTTTGAGTGGACTCTGAATCCTTCTGTTGCAGGGCAACCTATTGGGAAAAGAAGACTTAAAGGTTCTGCTGATTCTTTCATGGCATATGTGTCATCCATATGTCATCCACCAGCCAAATATTATGGAATATTCTTAAATCTGTGGCCTATTGGGATAAAAGTTGTATTTGTGAGATACCTGGTGGATGGCATTCCAGACAAAGATGTAGCAAATGATAATGATGGAGAGAGGAAGAATACAGCAGGTAAGCAACAGCGTGATCATGTAGGAGGCCACACCTGGATCTTCGCTGCCACTGAACACATCAGGGCCACAAGATGTCTTCAGGCCATGAGGCCAGTATCTGAAGCAGAGAAAAAGGGAATACTTGTGTTGAATCTCTGACCCAACCTTGGCTTTTGAAGTTATGGATCATGTGCAACTTCACTCTCCAAAGAAGTGTTTGGTAAAAGGCAGAGACAGTAGAAAAGTAAAACATTTTGTTCAAAATAGCATTTCTCCAATCAACAAGTATTGCTGTTTTTACTTTCTCTACAGTCTCTAACCTTGCCTATCCCCAGATCATTTGCAGGCATTTCTAGAAGCTTGTGTGTATCTACCTGCTCCAGCCGAAGATGGGAGGGGAGCACCAGATGATGGCCCAAACCCAGGAGAAGATAATGCCTCCTGCTGCCCACTTTCCATCAAATTTGACATTACCAAATGGCTTGCATACCACCACCCAGCGTTCCCATGAGATTATAGTCAAAGACCACAAAGCCGTGATACCTAAAAAAAGAGGGACAGAAAGTTACAGGTACATAAATAGTACGATAAAAAGTAGAGATACAAAGACATTTCAGAAAGCATGGCAAAAGTTTTGATTTGTAGTAAAGGTCTCTGTTGGATCCTGGGGCATTGCTAACAATATTCCAGCTTGTGAAGATTCCATAGAGTTCCCTGTATCGCTGTGATTGTGGCTACCTTAGCTGTACCAAGACTTGTGCTTGATTGCAGCTTCCAATCAAATGCAAGGCTCTAGGGTCCCTCTAAACTTGTATTAGGCATATTTGTGCACTGGTACTCTTATGCTAGTGGAGTGAAAGCAAAACTGACTAAAGTTTGAATCAATGTTGTGACAGACCAGTTATAGAAAGAGAAAGAGAAGGTGTCCAAATCCCATCACAGATCAATAGATTAGCTCTGATTATTGGATTAATGCACATTACAGAGGATCAGGCTTAGTGCTTATTTCACTTTGCTCAGAAGGTCTTAGACTGAATGTTTGGAAATGGTTTGTCCTGCAGTCGGCACTTTCACAAAAACGAGGCTGGCGGAGATCTAAGTAACCCAGCACACAACTTTTGATTCCAATCCACTTACCACATACGGACACGGTCCACCCTTCAAAAATGCACATGGGGTGCCCAAGGATGAAGTAGCCGAACATCTGGTTGACGACGCTAATTGTGCTGGCGAGAACCGTCTCTCCGAGATCTGCTATAGCCAGGTTTACCAGAATCCAGTTTAGAGGGTGCCTCAGCTTCTTAAACTTTGCTGTTGCTATGATTACCAGACTGTTAGTGAAGACGGATGCAATGACAACGAAGACCATCCATACAGAAGCTACATTGTAGACCCAGCGAGGAGCAATGTGGTAGTTTGGACCTTCAAATGGATCTGTGAAAACAGGAACAAATCTCATAGTTAAGAAAGGCTTATAAGGAATTTAATTAGACTTCCTTCTGTGCCTGCTGCTAAGTTCACTTGGAGTTTTGTTGATCACTGGATACAACATTGTATTTTAGGTGCTATTAAAAGGTGCTATTAAATACAACACTGATTACCCACCTCTTGTATTGTTGGCATTTGTGTAAACAAATGCAGTCTCCCTTGTGGTGTCTTCATTGTAGCGGCGGGCGGCAAATACAGGCTCATTTGCATGTGCAGCCATCCTGGCACTGAGAGAAGAACTCTCAAGAAGCCCAAGAGCAATGACAGGCAGCCTGGAATCAGAAGAGCGTTTCTGATGTCTTCTGACCTTCTGAGGAATACTGTGATTGTTTGCCTAGAATTGCCCTGCAGTCTTTCCCTCCTTTCCTTTTTTGATGTAACCTTCAGTTGATGCGTGTTCTCCTTGATCTGGGTGACATGTCTTGAACTTGTCCCTGTGTCTTGCTTTTATACTCACCCCACCCCATTTAATGCCCAAAGCCTGGCACCTCTGAGAGTGAAGCGCCATGTCAACCACACAGGATACAGGCTACTTTCCGGGATTTCTGGATTAACTGGATAAGCTCCAGTTGAAAAAATGATATGCTAGAAGCAATTTAAGAAAGCCAGCAGGAAGAGTCCTGGCTTGGATTAGTGTGTCAGTCGCTTAAAACACAAATATGTTTAAAGCATTTTTTTCAACCGAGCTTCAAAGATCCAGAATACCTTCATACTTTAATAAAGCTTAGGACGTCCACTTCAAAACCTCACACATCAGTGTTTAGCAGCTAATGTCTTACGTCCTTGGATGTCAGGAACCTTTATGTTGGGTACCTTTCGAAAGTCAGTGGACGTCTAAAATACATTTTTCAAAAGTCAGTTCATTGATGATTAGTTATTAAAGTTAATGGGTGACCAAAATTCAGTTCAGTTTCTAACCTGCCTATTTGATGAGCCCACTGTTTTTTCGACACCCCCACAATGTATTTAGCCAGCTTGTAAGCAATATTATAATATTGCTCATAACAATAACGGTAACAGTCCCACTAGTAAGCAGCTACATTTCCAAAGTCCAAAAACCACATTGACATAATCTACTGCAAGTGACCAGGTCACTCCATTGACCAATAGAGAACACAATGAAGAAATACAGCACATTTCCTGGCCTACTAGCAGAAATGACTTAAATTTGGATCTCTTTTTATAGATTTGTAACCAAAATACTACATATTTAATGTGACCTCAATGGGTACATTTGGACATTTTGAACTTTCATTTTCAACTATAATAAAGGGATGGTCATGTATGTGATTTCAACAATAATTTAATACCTGAATGTTCACTGAGTATGTGTTTTGGTGGAAAGGAAGTTACTGCTAGTAGGACCTATTTGCTAGGTCTTTCCAAGCCCAGGCCATTTCCTTCAGCATTAAGGGCACTAGATGCTATTAAAATCTTAGCCTTTCTTTCTTGTTTTTATGTTGTGTTGCTGATGCTCGTTCAGGGAGAAGACCCCATGGAGTAACTTTCAAGTGACGTGAGTTGGATAAGGATAATAGCAGCGGCACAGTGACATCAACTGGGGATCAAACCCAGGTCTAGGTCAACTCCAAATGTTCTCACTCCTGAGCTTTTGGGCTTTTGTAATAAAGCCTTGTGCAAGGTGATCAGCTGTCTAAGCTAGCAGGAACACCTTTGACTTGGGTGAATGTGACAGAGGCTTAAATCTCAGATCTGTCAGAAGTGTTTTGTTCTGCCATGCTAGGCTAACAGGTTAAGAGAAGATAAGTATTGAGGTTGAAGAAAAGTGGTAGGGGACTCAAGCGCTTACCCAAACAACTTCAGTCAGAGACATCTTACCCAACGCGCCACAGCAAGACAGCTACTCCTGTTCGCGGTGATGGTTGGCGAAGTCTGTGTGATTAAAGGTAGTCGTAATTCTGGGTTTGTGTGGGGGAAATCTATAAGAACTGCTCATTCATATTAATACCTGCTATTCGATTAAAATATATACAGTGTAGATTTAAAGTTACACATCAAAATATTAACTGATTATTCACAATTTAATGGATTTTGGAAACAACAAGAAAATATGTGGCTAAAATATTGTAAATATTATGAAATAAAAGCTGTAATCCTTTATTTGAACTCTTTGAATATTGTGCATTAAAATGTAAAATATGCAGTGTGTTCTCTGTAGAGGATGCATTCACTTATTTTCACTTAAAATAAGTAACAAAACGTCGTGACCAGCGGTGCCCAAACTTTTGCCTATGACTGTAAGTACATTCTCAAAGCTTTACAGCGTTCTCAGTCTTTAAAGAAGCATCTACAGCTCTGCTCACCAAAAAATCCTTTATTTTTGCAGATTCCTACCAATTGTTTGACATGTATAGAATAATAGCATCACATTAGAATCATTTTGTACATGTATCTGCAACAAAATTGGTTCTATATTACTAAAAAACTGTGATTTCAAACTTTTGAACTGGATAACTGTGTGGTATAACTACTTATGCATGTTACCGGTGATTTGTTGTAATCTTCCCCGAACCTGAAACTGCACTCTTAAAAACGGGATTCATCCAATGTTCTTCAGTAAGGGCAGTGGTTATAGAACCATAACAACCATAACAACTCCGTCTGAGCGCATAAAAAATCCTTTTTTGGTAAGTAAGTACCAAAATTGGTCATTTGACTTGCCACAACAGTTCTTGGTGCTATATAGAACCATCTACAACAGGTTTTCAGTACTTCATAGAGTCCGTTTTGCGAGTACTGCTAAATTCATAGTAGATATCTCCCTCATGGCACAGTCATAGTGCAGCATAATGTAATTACTGGCACAGTCTTAAGTGGTTTTTGTACAGCCATCTGAAGACACATGAGATTGTTCTCTCTTTGATTTCAGTCACAGCTTCTAATCATGACTAACTACGGCTTAGTCAACAACAAGAATGGGAAGCACCAGAGCCAGACAAAACAAAAACTGTCTGCACAGACAGTCTGAAACAGCAGGGGGCCAAATAGCAACATAAAAGCAAATGTGTTAAGCACCGTTGTATCAGTGGCTACAAGGCCCTTGGTTTCCCTATATCGCCTTGTCTGCAGTAACATGGTAACGTCATCTTATATTGCTGTTGCACATTTGTATATTTATGCTTACAAAGTACTCTGTTAGGTTGTCTTATCTTACTAATGAATTATTATTCGTTCTATTCTGTTTCTTATGGCAAAATGTATGTACTTTCCATTCTACTGCTTTTTAAGTTGTTGCTTAAAGCCAAGTTGAGCAGGGGCAATGACACAGTGAAAATTCTCTGCAGCTAATCCAGGATTGTCACACCTTCTGCTAATTGGCATAATGACCTGGGGGGGGGGGCTGGGTTCTAGTTGATCCAGGTCAGTCAGCCTGTAAATAGGCTTTTTTAAAGCTTATTATGCTCTGGCACAGTGGAATTTAAGTTGGAAGACACACCTTTGCCCCCTGACATAGTAAATCTCGAATTTAATTTCCTCCATTATTTCATTTATGTGTGGACACATCAATTATGCATTAATGTAAAAAAAAAATTATTAAATTTATTAACAGTTCTGGCCACAATTATTGGCACTATTTTCTTTACAATATCTTCATAAATAAATGGGAATTTACCAACTTGTAGGAAATGATTTTAAAGAAAACAAACAAAATATGACATGGACAGTATAAGTGGCAGCCTATTTTGTTGCACACTTTTAAGCAGCAATGACAGCCTCCAAACATTTGCGGTAGCCATGTACAAGATTTTTGCACCAGTCTGCTTGTAGCTTTTAACACTCCTCCACTGCAAACCTTTCAAGCTCTGGGATGTTTGCAGGGTGTCTCTTCCCTACAGCAGATTTCAGTCTCCGAAGATTTTCAGTGGGGTTGAGAGCAGGGCTCATTGCTGGCCAGTTTTGGTGTGTGCTTTGGGTCTTTATTATGCTGGAAGACCCATGATCTTCGACTCAAACCTAGCTTTCTCACAGTAGGCAGCACATTTCGCTCTGAAATGCTTTGTTAATCTTCTGATTTCATTGTTCCTTCGTTCCTTAATTTGTTTGAGTCCTCTAGTATCTGAGACAGCAAAGCAGCTTCACAACATTATAGATCCACCACCATGTTTGACTGTAGGTAGGTTGTTATTTGCTTATAAACTTAATTTCATCTCCTATGATCAAATCACTTGTCTGCATTTCCAAAGAGCTCTTTTTGTTTGGTCTGTTCACAAAACATTTGCCCAAAAGGATTGTGGTTTTCCAGGTAAATTGGCAAAGATCAGTCATAGATCAGTGAAAGATCATTGTGTCTTCTTATGTCTTTCTTTCAGCAATGGAGTCTTTCTTGGCCTTTACCCATGAAGTCATCTTGGTTTAGTGTGTGGCGCACAGTACGGGTTGAAACCATCACTCCAGATTGCCCCGGGTTTGCCTTTAGCTCTTTGGATGTTACACGTTTTTTTTTTGTTTTTTTTTCCACAGTTAACACCAACCTTCAAATCATTTTCTCACTGATTTTCCTCTTTGACCCACATGCTAGGAGGTTCTTGACAGTTCCATGAACAATAAACTTCTTAATTACATTATGCACTGTTGAAACAGGGATGTCAAGGACTTTGGAGATGGCCTTGTACCCTTTACCGTTTCTGTGTTTGGAGATAATAGCACTTCTGATGCTCTCAGACAGCTCTCTTATCTTCATCTTTGTGAAAAGGGGATCAGGGAAAGTAATTTGGCCTTTTTAAGCATTAAAACCATCATTCACTGGTTAATTCCAGCCATGTGGGCCCTCATTTATCACAGGCAAGCCAATAATTATGTTTACCCTTTGCTTTTGTGAACTGGACATGAGTGTATATTGACCAAAGATGTTTTACAACACATTTTTATTTTAGAAGATATTCATATATATATATAGTTTCTACGCTCATTGTCCATTTTATCAGCTCCACTTACTATATAGGTGCACTTTGTAGTTCTACAATTACTGCTGTGTCTGATCCACTCAGACCAGCACAACACACACTAACACACCACCATGTCAGTGTTACTGTAGTGCTGAGAATGATCCACCACCCAAATAGTACCTGCTCTGTGAGGGTCCATGGGGTCCTGACCACTGAAGAACAGGGAAAAAGGGGGCTAACAAAGTATGCAGAGAAACAGATGGACTACAGTCTGTAACTGTAGAACTACAAAGTGCACCTATATAGTAAGTGGAGCTGATAAAATGGACAATGAGCGCAGAAGCAAGGAGGTGGTCATAATGTTATGCCTGATCGGATACATTATATATATATATATATATATATATAGAGAGAGAGAGAGAGAGAGAGAGAGGTGCACTGCCTATGACATGAAAAAGCATCTTCTGATTACTCTTAATTTTAATAGTTTGACAGTGCTAGTTTGTGGAGAACTATGGGGGAAGCAATTAACCCAGATTCTTACAGCCCTATCTACCTTAGATGCCCTTGAGTTTTACTAGTTATCTAAACTTAAAGCCTACGCAAGCTGAGCTTATCCATGATTTGTGTTGGCTGTAGCATCTGGCATGTCACATAAACATGCTCACCCGCATGGAGACAGTGACTTTTAAATCCAATTGGAATGGATTAGCTCACGTTGAGGTGTTAAGGCCAATTTGGTTCCTTCGCAAAGTCAACTGAGAGAGCCAACACCGCTCCCAACAAACACTCTTAGTGGTGTGACCAGTGGATTTATGTGCTGAAAACTCTCTCACTCTCTTAGTAATTTGGCTTCCTGAATGAGAGAATTCACAAGATCTGGTCTTGACTGTCTTAGTAGCGTTACAGCCTTTTCACAGTGAACTGGGTCATAAACATAGTTCAGATGGGATTACATTTACAAGGGGTCCTCAGGTCATTTCCTCTTTAACGAGTGTGACGTGGTGATTTTATTTCTGTCTGGATTGGGCATGTCGGTGTCGTCACTGAGAAAACCTCGGCAGTGGTCGGTGTTAAACACCAAACAGACAGGTACATACATAGCACTGAACTCGCAGGGCAGGGGAGGTCACTATTTCAACTACTTCCACTCTGCGGTGACTAACCCTCAACACAAAACACCCCCAGCCCAACACAAAATAACACAATAAACATATACATACCTTTAACTGACAAACAACAAGAGAAACAACATTTAAGTCCCTTTTCTAGAGGTCACTTGTCTACCAGTAGTCTCTAGTGGCCAACATCTGCCCACACAGCAGGGTCCGAAAGTGCGAGACACACTGAAAACCTACCATTTTTCCTTTAAACCTAGAAATGAACAACAGGAAGTTTTAGAATCTTGAAAAATATAAACAAAGAAAAGTCATGGCAGTTAAAATGAAGAAATATTTGAAATATTTCTACAGTATTTGTAGGTCACTGTTCAAATTGAAGGAAATTTGTGACAGTGACCATGTTAAGACCTTTATACAAAAAGGTTATTTCAGTCTACTTTTTCATTAAAGCTAATGACCAGACGACTGTGGATTTGATCAGCTCATCAGAGGCCTTCGTTCAAGGCTGTCGTTGAAGCAAAGAGAAACCAACTAAATACTAAGAAATTTAAAGAACTGACCCTAAATGATTTTCAACAACAGCGATAGATAGATAGATAGATAGAGAGAGAGAGAGAGAAAAAAAACCTTGTATCGCCAAAATGGTAACGTCACAGTAGAAGGAAAAAACCTACTCTACTTTTACTGTAAGTCAATGGAACCAGACTTTTTTTTCCAAGTCATTTTGGGCCGTTTCTTTAAGTCCATTTATCATGAAATTTACATACAATGTAAATGGTAACAGGGATTTTCAAAATTTTGTCAAAACTGAAAAACATAAAAAGTGGAGATACAAGGTTTTCTTCAGACAACAGCGAGATATATATATCTGGTGTGTGTGTGCGTGTGTGTGTGTGTGCGTGTGTGTGTGTGTGTGTATAAACTGATTTGCAGCACCAGTTATAATGGCTGATGAGAAGGGTGTGGCTGTAAGGAGAGACAGAGAGAGAGAGAGAAAGAGAGAGCAATAAACAGATGACAGGCATCAGGAGGGAAGAGCAGCAATAAAATAAAGGGATTGAAATGGACAAATACAAGGACAGAAAACGGGAACAAAGAAAAGAGAAAGGAGAAAGGAAAAGAAAGAGGTTATGACTGTGATGTCGTTGTTTGTGCTGGGCTGTGCTGTCTCCTCCCACTCTGCATGACGTCATACCACTCACACGCACACACACACAGCCCGCCAGAGCGCTGAGAGGAGGACACACACACACACACACACAGCCCGCCAGAGCGCTGAGAGGAGGACACACACACACACACACACACACACAGCCCGGCAGAGCGCTGAGAGGAGGACACACACACTCGCACACACACACTCACACAAACACACTGGTGGAAGCAGGCAGGGGAGGGCAAAAACACACACACACACACATTCAGCATCTTCAGCTGAGCGTCAGATTTAGGCGCGTCTCACTTCGCTGTCAGGTAGGCCTTCTTTATCACACACACCACCGCAATCAGCACACACACTGAGAATGATTCTGTCTGATCACAGATAAGAGCTGCTCACGTGCAGTACTGCATAAATCTGCTTACCTGATCTGCTTTATATTATAGCACGTAGACTGTCTGTTTGTACAGGGGAACTCCACCAATTTTTCAGAATTTCTGTAGTATTGACTAGATAAGATGTAAACAAAGGCAGTCAGAGTGGTTTGTGTGAAATGCTTCATTCTAGAGAGACTGTTCACAGTGGTGGTGATGGGAACCAGACGTCTGAAGCGCTCAGTGCCTTTAACGGGTCCCTTACTAAAAGTTATTTCATGATACGCTGCCTGATGAAATGTACTTTTCAAAATCAAAATCCAAATATTGTTTCATGGCTAAATTTTGGCTGTATTTGGCCGCTGGTTTCTGTCACCACCACTAAAGAAATCGGAATCTGTTCTACAGTTAACCACTGACAATTAACAATTAACATCTCAACCACTGAATTATGCAAAAACATTTGGACAATCTCATGGATGCTTAAAATATACATTTTTGCATGTGTATGACTATTAAAACACATTTGTAAGCTTGCATATTCCTTGTGTTTTTATTTTAGTGTGTTATTATTATTATTTAGATCATTTTATGTTTTAAGAATTATGCTGTAGCCGTCAGTATAATTAGGTCCAGAGTAACAAAGAAATCAATGTAGAAATAAAGTAGTGAGATTATTTTTTCCAAGAGGTACTAAGTAAAATAAATGTGATTTTATTTGACTTTATTTGATTAATTTGAAGTAATAAAGTCCCATTACAGTTTTATAGAAGTAATTACCTCAACACTGGAGCTCTTTACACTAATAATAATGCTCAAAAAATCCTCCTCTCCATAACGTAGATCATCAGTTAATTGTGGTTTGTATGCAGTATGTAACAACATGGACTAGTCTTTTTTATAATAATATGATTTTATAATAATATGATTTAATAATAATATTATAATAACTGTTTATGTAGGGTTTGGGGCTGCATTGACATTACAGAACATAATCACTACAATCACAAATTATAGTTATATATATGCGGCAGCCTTTGGCGGACGCCACAATAAATTGGAATGAGTTGTTTGATATCAGCACAAACAGCATATCTAATTTGTATGTACATGGGCCTTCAGCTCATGTGGGCCCTGGGTGGCTGCCTACCTTTGTCTAGTGCAGGGGGTGACAACATGTGGCTTCAGAGCAGCTCTTTTACTGCCCTGTTGCGACTCCACAGCAGAATTTTCAAGTAAAAATAAATAATACTTCATGATAGCTGGTTTTCTGATACGTTTAATCTACAAAAAGTAACTGTCAAACACTAAAAAGTCACGTAGCTGAAGTCAGTTTCTCATTACAATTTTTCTGTTCCACCTTAAATGGTGCAGCAGTTGCATTCTTACACTCCAGGCACCATTTAAGGTGGAACGGGAAAATTTGAGCAAGAAGCTGGGGAAAGAGAAGCTGACTTTCATCCTCGTAAAAAATCAAACATTGAGAGATGTTTTACAAGAAACTATTCTACTTTTGTGGAAAGGTTTCCTGCCAGAGATGTGAGAAAAACATCTGTATCTGAGCCAAAGCTTAAAGCAGAGCAAAGTAAGTCTGTGTTTTCATTTATATATTTGTTAAGCCATGCTAACACATTATCACATACTGAGACATATTTGCAGCCAAGACGATAAAATGGACATAAAATGCTGTGGCTCCCAAGGTTGTTTGATTTTTGTTGAGAGGACAAAATGGCTCTTCTTAACATTTGGGTTGCCGCCCCCTGGTCGAGTGCAAAGACCACCTCAAATGCAACCACACTCAAGAATCTAATAACATCGACTTTCATCAATAATAGAATGAACCCACCACATACTCGACACTCGACTGATACAACTGCAGTGAAATGAAGCGAGCATGAGTGTCTGCACAGTGTATTCATTCATTAAGGAGGACAGAAAGCTTTTCTTGTCAAAACGAGGGAGCGGCTGACTCTGGTGGGGGTGCGTGCTGTGTTGAATGATGCTGTAAAAGCTGTGATCAGAAATTTCCTTTTTGTTTCATTTTTGTTCTTGAAGGTGTCAATTTCAATCAATGCTGCCATTCTTGATTTTTGAATCAGAGAATCGATTCTTGAAAATATGCATTCCAAATGTTCTTCAACTAGAAACAATATTGGTAACACTCTCTGTGATAGTCATGTCTATAACAACCTCATTTGTAACACATTATAATGCATTTATAAGGCATCACAAACATGGTTATAAATATAAAAATGCATTACACTTTATAGCTTTATAGCCATGCTCATGCATTATGAACCGTTAAAATAATGCATTATATATAGTGTTCATAACATGTTATAAGTGAGATGTACTGTACTAAAGTCTCCAATATTATGACTAAGGCTTCAAGTTAAAATATTTACTGAAGGATACAAACAACATACAAAGTAAAGCACATTACAAGCTTCAAATGTCAGATTTTGAACTATCAGTAGTGCCATCAGTAGCATTTTGCCCAGTTTAGATAAGTCAATGTACACCACCGTTAGCTTGGCACTAACTTAACACTGCATATCAAATAGAATGCTAGCAGAAATTAGCATTACTGTACTGTAGTGTAGTGATGTTACAAAGTAAAGATTTCTAGTGTTCAAAGTTAAAACCAGTGAGGGAGCAAATAACAGTGATAGCATTCTTTAGTGTCCATACCTTCACTCCACAGTAACTTCATGCCGAGTGTGATGTCAGAGGGGGTTTTAGGGGAGGGTCCTGATTGGTACTTGATTTGCTGTGATGTAATTTTTAAAGTGAGGACGCTGGTTAGAGAAAACGCATTGTAGTAATAACAACTTATTCAGTTATTCAATTCTAGGGCATTTAGGGCTGGACAACCTGTTTGGGGCATCTGAATATTCAGGATTTAAGCCCTAAATGTCATGGTGTAAATAAACTTGTCTCACTTTACCCTCTGAAAGCTGGGACTGACTTCCTTGGCACTGACAATATAACATGGTGTTAACACCACTTATAATGCATTGTGTTAATGATTCATAATGTATAATAAGCGTGGCTTTAAAGTGTAATTCATTTTTTAGAAATATTTATCGCCATGTTTATAATGCCTTATGAATGCATTATAAATAGTTATACATGTGTTTATAGATGATCATAGACTTGCTATTCATAGAAAGTGAATATCACAATATTTAATGCATTTTTAATGAAATTGATCTGATTTTAATGTGATTGATCTCATATTAAGGTTAGAGGCATTGCAGCATTAGACTGATGAATAGGCACATACAGATTTAGACTGAAGAGTTCAGTCTAGACTATTAAACATATTTATCTTTTCAACGTTTAGATTAACTATGAATGGAGCATTTTTATGTGCATTAAAGTATTAGTACTGATACTGTCATACTTGATTGAACAGCAGATCAATAGTTTAATGGAAACATTTTAATGCCAAATACAAGCAAATTCTACTCTGATGCGAGCAAAAATATTGTGTTTCTTATATCACTGCCTTTGGAACAAAACCTTGTATCTCAGAAATGAGAACTTTACAGGAGAAGGAAAAAACAAGATTTAATGTAAGTCAATGGAACCAGACTTTTTTCCAAGTCATTTTGGCAGTTTCTTCTTTCCATTCATGATGAAATTTGCACACAGTATCAAGGACAATGAGTCTTTTCAAATTATGACAATAACTGAAAAACGAAAAATGGAGGTTTTGTTCCGATAGCAGCAACAGATTTCTTATGAATACAATGTAATTGCCACATAGTCATTGCTTCTATATTTCTGTAAGCTTTATTGGCGAATTATTGGAAAATTGTAAGCTTTCAGCTGTTCAATGTTTATTGAAAAAGTAGACATTTGTGTATCTTTACAACATAGTGCTAATAATCCTGAAAGACACAGTACAAATATCAACAAATCGTTTAGAGCTTAGATGTTTTAATCTTTGTATTATGAACTATTAATGTTACATTCAAAACTATTATCATTTGCATTTAGAACTGTTTGAGTCACTACAGCTCCGATATTTTGCTCTGTTTTCTGAAGTTCAGTATCGCCCATGGTTCAGTCTTCATGGTTTAAGGTGCAGGCGTACAGGCGAAAAATTAAACAGAAAATATAAAATATGCCATGACTTCTGCACAGACCAGATTTTGTTCTGTTTCCCTCAGTATGTTTAATTCAGCGAAAAAAAAAAAGAAAAACTGTGCATCAAATATGCAGAAGCGTGTTCTCTGTAGGACTTATTTTCACTTAGTAATGCAACTAAACGTCGTTTGACCAGGGTGCACAAACTTTTGCACACAACTGTACATGTGGCAGAATATGTATAAATATGTGCAGCAATGCAGCAGTGTTGGGTTAAACAATACCCCTGACAAAAAAGCATGACTTGTGTAAACATATAAAGATGTAATTTGCACACACATATATATATATATATATATGTATATGTATATATATATATGCATATTCATATTCGCTGCTACATTATTTATTTGCTAAATATGTTTCCATTGTAATTTATCACATTTCTTTTTATCCACGCTCAATGTTTTAACCTCAAGTGAGGGTACAAAAGTTTTATATGAAGTTTTGTTTGCTGTTTCCACCAAGTCATTTTTATTCTGTATGTCAAAATTCGCATGAAAATATATGAATAAAAGAGTGGTGGTGGGGGGGGTGTCACACATATGATCCCCCTCTGCTGTAATGTAACAGGCTTTCTTACTGATGTGCACAAATTACATTTACTCAATTAGAATGCTTTTAGAGCGAGCACACTGTGAGAGAGAGAGAGAGAGAGGGTTTATTAGCTTGGTGTGGCAGTCAATCTCACTAATGGAGTAAATGAGCAAAGGCTCATGGGATAGCAAAGAGAGATGCTGAGTCATTGTTGTGTCTGACCACCACATAGTGTACATCACCATTAAAAAGTTTGGAATGATTTGCTGTAGTAATATTTTTTTGGTTATTTTACATACAATAATATGTATTATACATAACTTATACATACCTTATATATTTGGTTTTACATATTTAAAACTCTTCACCAAAAGGTATTTTGTGTCAACATTTTATTTAATATTTCAGGAATTACATGAGCAAAAAGTTAATAAAATTATGTAGAATTTACTGGACTTTTTGGATATTAATTTTACTGTAGCTTCTTTCTCAGTGTTCTACAGCTTTCTCAGTCATTTTGTAATCTTCTGCATCTCCGTTCATTATTCTTGACACATTTACATTTGGCAGATGTTCTTATCACGCAAAATGTTTTAAGTACATTACAGGTGTAGATGAATGCAGTGTTAGGAGTCCAGCCCAAGGACTCTTATTAGTGTAGTGTGGTGTGGTAGTCCAGGTGGGGAATCGAACCCCAGTCTGTTGCAGCATTTGAAAAAAAGAAAAACAACTTTCCATTTCCTACTTAGTCCAAATGCAGTCGATCAGCTAAGACATGTTGTTTTCCAAATTTTGCTTCTTTAGTTTCAAACTAGAGCTGCTAGGCTAACGGTGCTAACAAACACTGGAAGTAAATAGTCACCAAATCCCTTTCCACAAATACATGCCCAAAATTTTCATATATTTGCTTCAAATTACATCGGTAAACTTCGGAAATAAGAATTTGGTGGAATAAGCAGACCTTATTTAATAAAACCAAACAGTGCTCAGGAAAGAAGTGATTCCAGTTGTCCTAAATGCATCGTTTAGCTCTTGTTTTTATAGTTCATGGAGTCATGATGTGTTCTAAACAGTATCAACTTGTCCAGGCGACCTGAATGAAGATCTGGATGCAGTTTGACAGACACTTTGTTCATGTATTCTGTGGAATCAGTTTGGGTGACTATTTAATTCTAGTGTTTGTTAGCAACATTAGCCTTGTAACTCCAGTTCAAACAAAAAAAGAACCATTGGACACCAAACATGTCTTAGCTGACCGATTGCATTTGGGTTAAGAGGAGGAGCATGTAAATGTGATTTTTCGCTTTCGATTGAGAAGCCATCAGGACATGCAGCGAAAAAGAAAGAGCCAGTAAAATATTTTATTAGGTTAGCATTCTGTATATATACAGTTCTGTTGCTTGTAATAAGCTGCCTACTGTCCACTTTATCAGAAACAATTTGCTTGTAGCTTCACCTGGCTGATGTGTAGAGTGTAGCTCATCTGTTGATGCCCCAGCCAAGGGGTCGGCAGCTCTTACTGCCCTGTTGCTGCCCTCCACTCATATGATATCTGGACAGCTGTCCTGTGGTCAGAAGCTAACCACAAGCTAACCACTACAGTCTGTAATTGTAGTGGATATAAGGAGCTCATAAAGTGGCCAGTGAGTGGAGCTGTTTCTAATAAAGTGGACAGCATTCGTTTCTCCGTTCTTCTGATGCTTGTGGTTCCTTTGTTTTTGTGCTCTCGCAGGGTGTCTTGAAATTCCCAGCTCTACTCAATATTCCAGCATTTTTCCGGCAGCATGGCAGAAGGCTCTGGCTCAGCATCAGGAGCAGAGGTTGAGTCAGCGTTCCGGAAGTTTGCAGTTCATGGGGACACCAAAGCCACAGGGAAGGAGATGAACGGGAAGAACTTTGTCAAGCTGTGCAAAGACTGTAAGGTGATCGATGGCAAGAATGTCACCAGCACAGACGTGGACATCGTCTTCAGCAAAGTCAAGTACGTGCCTTGGGCAGATCTGGGGTCTCTTGTGGAGTCTTTGACTTTGGCTAGGCTAAACTATAATGCTCAGACATTAGTGAAAGCATTGTGCTCCTGAGTGGTCAACCAGCTAAGCATTGGTCATCTGGAGAGTGCAAGTTTGATCTCTATGTGTGTTTGTTTTAGAGCCAAGACAGCTCGCGTGATCACATTTGAGCAGTTCACTCAGGCCATGGCGGAGCTGGCTCCAAAGCGGTTTAAAGGGAAAGGCCAGGAGGAAGCGCTGCAGCAGCTTTACGGCCTCATCGCAGGAAAAGAGCCGGCCAACGTTGGGGTGACGGTGAGGAGCAGCCGGTCACTGCGGTCCACTTCCTCACTCACTGGTGGAGAGATCAGCAAAGATCATTAGATCTTATTACTATTCAAAAGATCTGAATCTCTCTCTCTCTCTCTCTCTCTCTGTCTCTCTCTCTCTTCAGAAAGTGGCGAAGGCGGCTGCGGTGGACCGTCTAACGGACAGCAGTAAATTCACCGGCTCTCATAAGGAGCGCTTTGACGAGTCCGGTAAAGGAAAAGGTAAAGTGGGGAGAGAGGACATCCCCGACACCAGCGGCTACGTCAGCGCATACAAGGGTCAGGGCACCTATGACAGCAAGGTGAAGGAGCAGGAGTGAAAGAGAGGAGGAACAGGAGGACAGAAGGGAGGAAAGGGAGGAGAAGAGAAGAGGAAAAATTCATGTTACCTTCATCTTGATGCATGTTTCATTGTGTTTTATGAACTTCAGCACCATTGGAGCTGGATTAGTTTTACCAGAGGAGGTCGTGTGTTGTGGATTCTGATTGGCCGTTATTTCCTCCGATAGGCCAGATTGAAAGGTCATAGCCCAACTTGTTCACTCATGCATATATGCAGATATAAAGCATGTATCAACCTACGAATAGTGAAATGCGCCTGTAAATGTGTACTTTGTGCTTTATTTTGATTTGGCCATGACCACAGAACAGGACCTCCATGCTTGTCCAGTCATGAGTAGCAACTTCAAGTAGTAAAATTCAGTAAAATAGCAACTAGCTAATCTAATGCAGTGGTGTACAAAGGAGACAAACACATCAAGCACATTTGCAAGCATGATTTACTGAAAAAAGTTTTCTGATGCCCACAAATTAGTTTTAACATCCATTTTTCTCTCATTTCTTAATACTTTAGATAATTTTTGATTTTCTCACTTTATAAATAAATTTATTCACTTCAGTGTAAAAAATAATGCATTATTTTCATGGTGTTATTTTACATTTTAAAATGACACTATTTTATTCAATAGCAATAGATGCAAGGTAGATTTAAACCACATATATGTTTTAAAAAGTGGGGAAATGTGTGTTAGCTGTCTCTTATATGTCTGTCTGTTTAGCTGCCACTTCACAACTTCATAGCCTGGACGAAGTCAGCGTTGCACCACAGGAAAAACTCAATAACAGTAACAACACACCACATGGCAAGTATGGCAGCAAAAAGAAACAGTGTTGTTATTGGTATTGAGCTTTTCCTGTGGTGCAACACTGACGTTGTCTGGGCTATGAAGTTGTGAAGTGGCTTCTAAATGGGTAGACATATTATAGATCGCTATCCCAATGTGACAACACACTACATGTTGTAGCTCATAGCCTTATTGACAACAAAAAAATTGTCATTGGGTGCCTATTTTTAGCGGTATACTCCTTGTCTTCCTCGCACCAAAAAGTGATGTGAGTGTTTACTACACGATGACACAAGCTAATATTAACACAGAAAACTAGCTAGGTAAGATTAGCTAGCACAGAAAGCTAGCTAGCTAGCTAACATTACCCTTCTGGTTGCTGTAGCTGTAGAGCTATAGATAGTATTTGATTGACTTCACACTTGTCACTGCCACCATATTGTTGAAATACCACCAGCCAACGTGGGCGATGACATCATGATCAACGCCTCCGATCAAACAGACTTTTCCTTGATATCTAGGTTTGGAAGCCATAGCTGATATTGACTGTTCATACACATTATGCAGGCATAATGTCAACAATATGGCCGCCGGACGCTTCACTTTTGTCGTATTCTTCTTCATTTCTGTAGTTCTTTCTTTTCTTTATTTCACATTGTGAACTGTAATAGGTTGTAGGGGTTGGCAATTTTAGTTCCACAAAAAATTAAGCAGCTCTCACAGTGGGGCTGCTTCAGGTTGTAGCTAGCAAGCTATAATGCTAAGCTAGGCTATGTGCAGCCTGAAGTAGAGGTGTCTCCCTGTCCTGACTGGCTAGATGTTTGTGGTCCACTTTGTTTGTTTTTTTCTCCCAGCCATGAAGAGTTGATCAGAATACTCTGACTTCAAAATTGACAACCCCACCTTTAACGTTCAGTACATCACCAGGTGAAACTAATCCAGCTCGAACAGGGCTTTTGTTTCTGTCGCATATTAGTGAAAAAATGCACTGAACCTCAAACCACACTAACCTCAACATCCAGGGTCATTTCTAGAAACCATTTGTACTCACTGTCTTTGGTTTCCCTGCCTATATGGACCTGTGTAATAACGCTTGAGCAAGCTTTGCGTAACGTTCCAGGCTTGTTTTCAGGAACACTTTCTCGCTACTTGTGCCTTATATATTAACTGTTATATTGGTGGTAGTGCAAGAGCTTCACCTGTAGCTGTCGGCCTTTCTGCCCGTCTGCCGCTCTGCCTGCGTGTGCTATATTTACAGCTGCACAGACTGCAATATATGAATATGAATACATTGAAACATAAAGTTGTGGATATACTTTTAAGTGATCATTAAATTATTGCAGTCATTATAACTTATTAATGTATGTTAATGAGTTTGATTCTATAAGCATTCCATGCAATATCTGTTCTCCAGGCACTAAATGCTGTTTTATGTGTAAACTGATGACACTTAGATTAAGACACACTAAACTACGTTGCAAAATTAGCCTGATCTCTCTCTCTCTCTCTGTCTCTCTCTCTATCTTTCTCTCTCTCTCTCTCTCTTTCTCTCTCTCTCTCTCTCTTTCTCTGTCTCTCTCAGAGAATGAGTGAGAATGTCACTCTTCCATGCTGGTTAAGCTCTATTATATCCACTTTGTGCCTCTGTTTTTGTGTCATGTTGTGAGCACCCAGAATACTCTTAAATAAAGCTGAGACTCAATGGCTCTTTTTTTTTGCTTCCACTCACTGGCCACTTTATTAGAAACACCTACCTTGTACTTCCACTTACTGGCCACTTTATTAGAAACACCTACATTGTTCTTCCACTCACTGGCCACTTTATTAGAAACACCTACCTTGTATTTCCACTCACTGGCCACTTTATTAGAAACACGTACATTGTTCTTCCACTCACTGGCCACTTTATTAGAAACACCTACCTTGTACTTCCACTTACTGGCCATTTTATTACAAACACCTACCTTATACTTCCACTCACTGGCCACTTTATTAGAAACACCTACCTTATACTTCCACTCACTGGCCACTTTATTAGAAACACCTACCTTGTATTTCCACTCACTGGCCACTTTATTAGAAACACCTACCTTGTATTTCCACTCACTGGCCACTTTATTAGAAACATCTACCTTGTATTTCAACTCACTGGCCACTTTATCAGAAACACCTACTTGTTCTTCCACTGACTGACCATTTTATAATTTCACCACATTTCTTTCTCATTACAAACTGCTTGCACACAATGCTTTGCAGAACACTACACATCTTTAACCTCAAACTGCATGATAATCCATCAGAAAATACATAAACTTTGCAAGAAATCAAGAAAAACTGCAAGATATTTGTGCTGTTTTCTGGATTGGGCCGAAGTGAACTTCAGATTTGTTTTATCAGCAGATCTGCTTCGGCCAGCCTTAGCCGGCACATTCTTTTGGAAATAGAATACCTGTTTGGTTGGTTCTCGTTAAAATCAGTGTTGTAATATGTTTGACTTTGGGTTGTTCACATTTGATTTTTCACTCAGTATCTTAATGCATTTACACTTTGAACCACATTGATTGTTGGTGAGATCTCACGCTGTTTTCAAATCTCTGTGTTCTTTTTCACCCTCACACACTGTGGTCACCATTAAGGAATCTTAGGCCCAATTCTTCTTTTTACGCTTATCCCTTGTTTTCGAGTGTCTCCTTGCCCTTTCTCCTACAAAATGGGACCCTCAGATTAAAAAGAGCATTACTTCATTAACAGCTACTAGCGCTGCTCTGTAGGTGACCCTGCCAGTCTGCAGTGACAGCAGAGGCGGGTAAAGTTCAGCTCCTCACTGCTGGGCTTTAGTTACATTTAGGGAATCATGCCTTCAAAGAGGGGGATGATAATTATTTATTATCGCCCACCCCTAATTCTTTGGTGATATGCTGAAGCTGAAGTCATTCATATTCACCAGCTTCTTGTTCTAATTTTCCCGTTCCACCTTAAATGGAGCAGCAGTTACATTCTGGTGCTTCAGGCATCAGAACTGCTGGACTATTTAAGGTGGAATGGGAAATTTAGCTAGCTAGCAACCTAGACATCAGCAAACTACTAGCGTTTTTTATGCTTGTTATGAAAAAAAGGACCAAAATACACTGAAACGACATTAAACTAAGACAATATGATGGTTCTAGTAACTTTTAACTGAGAAAATTCTCATATTTGTGGGTTTCTTTGGCCACTTGCACAGACATCTTCCCGTTTTTTTTTCCCTTATAACATTCTGTTTGGAGTGTGTCTCTCCATTTAGAGGGACATGTAGCCCCAACACTTTGCCCTACCCCCTGATCTCTACCAAAATCAGGACACCCTACCCCTAGACATGAACGCGCAAAACAGAGGGGTAAGGGCTAAGTGGTAGGGGCGAGGGGTGAAGTGGGATTAGGCCTTTTTTAGACACACACATGGAGTTAACCTGCAGTTGCTATTAAACTGCTTTAATACACATCATTCATCTCATAATAGGGTTGATTACTCAGCTGAGGTAATATGACATTATTAGACCTCCTCAATGACCGACTTGAGAAATCAGCTCTATTTTTATAAGTTACACATACTTTTAAAATGTTACTGCTCCTTTTTCTTAGCACCCTAAAGTTACAATATAAAGAACATAATGCATTGGAAATTTGGCATTATTATTATTATTATTATTATTATTATTATTAATATGCAGTGTCCTGTCTTGGACTGGAAGAAGTGCTCTATTGCAAATTATCTGACTCAGTTGTTTACACTATTGACACAGGAATAAAATATATCAACACATTTTTACTTTATTAATTTTGGCAATAATTGTGTTGATGCAATTTCTTTGATTTGGTTGAGATGTAAGCAGAGTCATTCTGAGTGGTTTGGTGTGGAACGGTTCATTACAGACTCAGATGTCTTTACAGAGGTGGTGATAGGAACCAGGGGTTGCCATGACTACAACACAAATATAGCCATTTTATTTACTATCCAAAGCCAGCAGTGAACCTACACCTCAGTTTTCATCAGAGGTCCTTCATTGAGGTCAGATATCTGGTTCCTATCAGCACCACTGGGAACAATTCTGTCTCTGTAAGTTTCTCTGGAACAGAGCGTTTCACAACAAACCACTCCGAATGACTCTGTTTATGTCTCGTTGATGTTGTTGATGCACATTTAACCTCCTCCACTTTAGCTTTAGACTGGAGTCTGACCACCAGATGGCGCTGATTTACCAACTGCACTCAGTCTGGGCCGATTACACACAGGAAGAGCAGCACAGCTGCTCACACAAACACGTTCTGTTAATATTAGCTATAGTATTACAGATGCACCTACACACACCCTCACACACCTACACACACCCTCACACACCTACACACACCCTCACACACCTACACACACCCTCACCCTACAATGCAAATATAGCCATTTTATCTACTATCCAAAACCACCAGTGAATCTACACGTGCCTTCTTTTTCTGTCTACTCCTGATAAAAAAAATAAAAAAAAAATGATTTTGCTCTATTTTACCTGGCCCTCCACCTCTCCACCATCACATCTTAAAACTATCATAAAAGAATGTCTGATACTGTAGGACATTCCTATCGGCACCACTGTGAACAATGTTTGACTCAGTAAGTTTCTCTAGAATGAAGCTCTGAATGATTCTGTTCAAAAAACAAAAATGTGGTGGAATTCCCCTTTAACTTTGGCGAATAGGAAGCAATGGAAATGTGCTGGTGTGTTTCATGTGTTTATTCAGCCCACACAGTCTAGCAAAAACACAGGCTAGTAAAAAAGTTCAAAGTCAACCGTCAGCCAATTAGTCTGTAAAGAAATCAGAATGATAGTAAAATTAATGATAAAATTCACAGTTGTGTGTTGGAGGAGGGACGACACCCCACCCCACCCCACCCACTGATTTATTAATCAATAATCAGTAAACAATACTAACTCAAACATTACGCACTGATAGACTGAGTGATAAATGGACATAAACTGGCCAGGCTTACAGTTTAAACACACACACACACACACTATCTATGACGCGGTGGGTGCTGGAGTCTATCCCAGCGGTCATCAGGCAGAAGGCAGGAAACATCCTGGACAGGTCATCATTAGAAAAATCTAATTCATGCTTTTTCCACTGCTCACCCTGGACGTAGCAGCCAAGACTGTTTGGCATCTGAAATTTGCGTCTTTAGTTTTACGCTATATAACAGTATGTCATTCGCTAAAACCACTTTAGCCTAACAACTAGATCAGGGCTGGACAAACAGGTTACTGCCCTGTTGCGGCTCCACAGCAGAATTAGATGATTGTAAACACTGAAGTTAATGTAGAACTGCTAATTCACCCTTTAATCCTGAAGGTTGGCATGCAGACTGCTGGTCACCATCAGCAATGACAACAATCTTGCCTAGCTAGTGGCTAACGAAACAGCAAAGAGAAAGATTTAAGATGGACATTGATAATTTGGAGACAAACAGACTTATTTGCATTTATAATCACTCCAGCTGGTTTCCTGATACATTTAATCTGCAATGAGAAACTGACAAACACTAAAAGGTCACGTAGCTGAAGTCAGGTCCTTGTTTGAATTTTCCTGTTCCACCTTAAATGGTGCAGCAGTTCTTTTCTGGCGCCCCAGGCACCTTTTAAGGTGGAACAGGAAAATTCGAACGAGAATGAAAATCTGACTTCAGCTTTCTAAAAAATCGAACGTTGAGAGACATTTTACAAGAAACTGTTCTACTTTTGGAAAAGTTTCCTGCCGGAGATGCGAGAAAAGCAGCTGTAGCTGAGCTAAAACTTTAAGCAGAGCAAAGTAAGTCCGTTTTCATTTAGATTATATTTTTTAGCCTATACTAGTGCATCAGCACATACTGAGACAGGTTTACAGCCCAGATGGTGAAATAGACATAAAATGTTGTGGCTACCAAGGTGGTTTGATTTTTGGTGAAAGAAAATGGGTCTTCTTAACATTTGGGTTCCAGACCCCTGAAGCAAGTTGTGGTAAACAGGTTTTGCACAGGGCTAATTTGTTAGCTACTTGTTAGCTACATTAGCCTTGTAGCTCCAGTACAAAACTACAGAAGCAAACTTCAGACACCAAACATGTTTCAGCTGCTTGACTACATTCTACATTTGGGGTTAGAAGAATTTGATATCTGGTGAAATTATTACTTTAGTATGATGCTGATTAAATGACTTTTTAGGGTTTTGCCCAAACCTTTAAAAGAGAGACAGAGAGAGAGAGAGAGAGAGAGAGAGAGAGAGAGAGAAACGGAAGCATAGTCAGTATCCAGTTAGCATTTCTGAGGGTCTGATGTGAACACCACTCAATCCCGTCCCAGGGGGGTCTGATGCGGCTGGCGCTCCGTCCTGTGTGGTGCTGTTGCTTCGTCTGCCATGATTGGATGGGCTGTTCGCGTGCATCGTAGAGCCTTGTGCTATGTGGATCCTTGTGTGGTCTTCACTGTACAAAGGACTCTTAACTCCATACCCAACACTGCCCAGAACTGTAAAACTGTATCCATTTATACTGTTTTGTGTCTGTGCTGGTATCCAGTGTCGACCAGAGGAGGATGGGTTCCCCTTTTGAGTCTGGTTCCTCTCAAGGTTTCTTCCTCCTTGAGGAGGTTTATCTTGCCACTGTCGCCAAGGCTTGCTCACTGGGGGCGTGGACCCGGATTCTCTGTAAAGCTGCTTTGTGACAACATCTGTTGTAAAAGGCGCTATATAAATAAATTTGACTGACTTGACATTTCATCAGCTGCATTTCTAAATCATCACTTATTTCCAGTGTAACATTATGACCCTCAGCATGAAGCCATAGTTTAATATGAAGAAACAGAAGGTTAAAGTATGAGTAATGGTGATGATGAAGAGGCGGTGATGATGAGCCTGCTCTGTAACCATGACAACCAGTGAGGTCAGACGATAATGTCATGAGTTTGTCGTAATGTCAAGCTTTGCCCTAATGATGTCATCACACATGTTGGAACGAGACCCGAGGGTGCCCGGAGGACTGATGGGAGTGGTGTGTATTGTAAGGTTGTCACACAGCAAAACTGTTGTTCATTATGGATTCTGATGAATCTGTAGCATTTACAAAATATTTCATAGTAGTTATGAATAATTTGTTGTATAGTTACAAGGCATTCATAGTGGTTAATGAACAATATGTAGCGGTTACAGCACATTCAAAATAGCTATTGAATGATCACAGTAGTTAATGGACAATGAAGTTGTAGTAGTTATTGAGTAATTAATTGCAGTTACTAAATAATTTATTTTACTTACAGAATAATTAATAGTAGTTACTGAATAATTCATAGTAGTTATAGAACAATTCAAAATAGACATATGGTAGATTTATAGTAGATACTGTAGATGTATAGTGGGTACTGAAGTAGTTACTGACTAATTTATAGTGGTTTATGAATAATTCATACTGATTACTGAATAGTCATAATAGTTACTGAATAATTCATAGCGGATATTGAATAATTTATAGTGGTTACTGAATACTTCATAGTGGTTACTGAATAATTCCCAGTAGTTCCTGAATAATTCATACTGGTTACTAAATAATTCATAGTAGTTACTGAATAATTCATAGTGGTTCATGAATAATTCATACTAATTACTGAATAATTCATAGTGGTTTATGAATAATTCATAGTGATTACTGAATAATTCACAGTAGTTACTGAATAATTCATAATGGACAAAGAATAATTCATAGTGGTTATTTAATAATAGTGATTTCTGAATAATTCATAGTGGTAACCGGAGAGTTCACTCAGGATAAACTGGGATAATCAGTGTAGTTATAAGTCTAGAGCTGAAGGAGTTAATGTTTTATAAACTCTGTAATTACAGTAGTCCCCCCCCAACCCCACCCCAAATACCATCCATCTCTCTCATTCATCCTCTAGCCCTCCCCCCATCTTTCTCTCTCCCTCTCTCTCTCTCTCCCTCTCTGTCTGGTAGAGGAGGTATTTGGAGAATTCCTCTCTTCTTCCCACTCCCAAAAAAGGAGGCGTGCATGAAAAAACAAAAAAGGCAGGAAAAATGACAAGAGGAAAAAGGAGGGGCGGACATGGAGAGGGAGCAAGAGAGACCAAAGGAAAGAGACAGAGAGAGAGAGAAAAGGACGTAACCACGACCATAAAAGGCCATGTACTTTATTCTCTGCCCTCCCTTTGTGCACTTCGGTGAAATCATTTTCTCCTGAAGTGGACACGCCCTCTGCAGTGGACTCTGAGACCCGCAATAAAGAGGAAGCACACAGCGCACACACACACACATACACACACACACACACACACTCGCACGGTGTGGAGGAGTACACGCCTGAGAAGCAGGAAGAGGCAGCAGCTGCAGACGCTGATTTTTCTACACTTTTCTGAACTGTGAGTATGTTCAGGTTACATTACTCTCATAGAGATACACAGTATGTATACATACATACACAGCCCATGTATACTGTACTGTAGAGTATGGAATACTGTAGAGTATAGTACATGTACAGTATCAGGTTTCTTGCCTTTGCACTATATTTCAGGTAATGAGGAAGTCAGTGTAGAATGTGAGAGTTAATTCCAGTTTCAGGATCAGAGATTAAGCCTAAATGTAAGAGTTTAATCTCTGCACAAACATCCATCTTCACAGTCAGGAGGGCTGTTAGATTAGTGTGAACTCCATTTCTCTTTCACACACTCGCTGCATTCCTCTGCTTGTTAGCGCACGTCCCGAGGCCTCGCCGACACGAGTGAGCGGCTGAGTGAGCGAGGGAGTGTGTAGGGTTTCATGGGGAAAGTTTTCATTGGCAGCTGATGTGTTACGGGAACCAGATTCCTCTCTTTATTCTCGTTCTCTCTTCCCCATCACAGCACCGCACACACCGTTTAACCTCCTGACTGCCTCTGCAGACCAGTCTGACCACGTGGTGTTCTGGATTAATTCACTCTACAAAATTCAATAAACTCGGACACTTTCCTCTTAAAAACAGCCTCTCGCCCTCCGTCTGTGTGTCTCTATGTCTCTCTCTCTCTGTCCCTTCCCTTTCTCCCTTTTTCTCTGTCTATCTATATTTTTATATCTCTCTTCTCTCTGTCTATCACTCTCTCTCTCTCTCTCTTCATATATATATATATATATATATATATATATATATATATATATATATATGCGAGTGTGTGTGTTTCTCTGTTTCTCTCTCAGGGCCTGAGACTACTTTAGATTCAGTGTGGGGATTGGGGTTTGGGGTGGGGTGGGGGGGTGGGGGGGTTTGGGGGGGGGGAGTGGGGTTTTGTTATTTTGAATTGCAAATTCAGTTGCATTATATTGAGCCTTGAAGATCCAGTGCAAAACTAAAGGAGTAAACATGTTTTGGCTGATAGACTGCATGCTGGGGAGGTTGGACACTTACAGAGTAAAGTAGATGCACAACGTTTTTGCTTTAAAACAATCAGTAGACAAATGTTTTAGTTTTACTGGGTGTAAAATGGAGCACACGGTTCTCTAAACCAGCAAATACTTCCACAAGCTCAGTTAAACCCGTATTTACTTTTATCAGCGCAGTCAATTGTGCTGCATTCTTACGCCTGCTGAGGCCTATCAGGACATTGTGTAATAGCTCTGTGTGTGTGTGTGTGTGTGTGTGTGTGTGTGCGCGTGTGTGCGTGTGTTGAGCAAAAGCGAGGTTGGGACATCATAACTCATGATACATGTTTTTAGATGTTCTTCAGTTCTGGCTGAGATTCAGCATCTGCGCAAAAGACAAACTTCAGACAACAAGCACACATGAACAGAGGAAACACCCAGTCAGACCACTTACAGAACAAAATACATAAATAAAATCACACACAGGACAGTTTACAGGATGGGACAGGCCTACAGAGAGGATACTGTGACATCTCCCTCTCTCTCTCTCTCTCTCTCTCTCTCTCTCTCTCTTTCTCTCTCTCTCTCTTTCCCAACTGTAAATGTAGAAGCCCAACCTCGCACTAAAACAATTTCATTACTTTCAAAGTAGTTAGTGAATCATTAGCAGTTATGACTGGATAATTCATACTGGTTACTGCATAATTTTTGGATAATTCATAGCAGTTACTGGATAATTCATAGTGGTTACTAAATAATTCATAGTGGTTACTGAATAATCCATAACAGTTACAGTATATTTAATACTGGTTCCTTAATAATTTAATAGAAAGAGGATGTTGCAACATCACTCTCTGTTTCTATCTCTCTCACTCATTCTCAGTTTGAACACTGTTAACTGTAAATGTAGAAACTTCTGTCACTTAACAAAATAACTACTGGCCTCACAGTCGAACAGCTTCTGTATGTTGTTGATAGAAAACACATGCAGGCTATGGAAGGCAGACAAGGCCAGCATCCTGACACACACTTTCACCAGTCCAGGTGTTCAAACACACACAGACACGCCCAGTGTCTCTCACAGACGCAGACAGGACCAGTAGAAACATGCCATTATACTACAGAAGATCAGCACATTAGCAGGAACAGTGATGTCATCCGAGTTCATCTCAGTTCAGAGTCAGTCACTGTGCAACATGTATTATAATCAAAATATGAAAAGAGAGAAAGGAGGAGACTATATTACATCCAGTTACCTGTAATATAAGCTCTCATTTGTTTAGAATACTTAAATTGTTGATAGGCCTCAGAGACTACAGTTAAAAATTAGCCAGTTGGCTAACACTGGAGCATTTATCTTAGAATTAATTAGTGTGTTTTGTCCCAAATAAATAGATAAATAAATAAATGAATAAATAAATAAAAAGTAGTATGCTACACATTTTAATGCATATTTACTTTTTCTTTTCTGAATTCAACATATTGGCAGAAAAAAAAAGCATAAAACGTGGCCTGTGCAAAAGTTATGGCACAATTTGTATTTCATGTTTTATTTTTTACCAATATGTTAAACTCAGGGGTGTTCAAACTTTGGCATACAGCTGCAAATGCATAAATAAATGAAAAGGGAGGAGGTTCACAGGAAACGGCAAAATCAAGCAGGAGCAGGAAGCCACCCCTGAGGCTCTGGTCAATGATTATATGGCCTCCGACTCCTAATAGGCCAGAGCTTAGCAGAGCAATGTGACCTTCTTTGGCTCTGTGACTGTCCTCCACTCTGTCTCAGTGCTTCCTTCTTTCACATGGATTTGGCAGAAGAGGGGGATTTGTTGCCTTGATGAGTTCAGTCTGTTCGGCCTGTCGGTTCCTCATCACCCTTTTGACATGTGATTCCAAGCTTTTTCAGAAAAACAGCACAGAGACGTAGCTAAGAGCGATGAAGGTGTCTTGACAAAATGGTTGCTTGTGTAGATTAACCCCTTAAAATCCCAGGTTTATTACATAATAAGTCTAATTATTCAGTAACTACAGGGATTCTTGGGCTATTCCTGGTTATAGAAGTGTGGAATAAACTTTGGGCCTGTCAGTGGACTCTGGCCTGTTAAAGGGTTCAAGTGATAGTTCAAAAAACTACATTTAAGTAATATTTATCTTACCCCAAATGCCGTTCATCAGATCATGTTTAGGGTCTTACATTTCGTCCTTAGTTTTGCACTGAAGCTACAAGGCTAATAAGGAAGGTTAAGGCTTGCTTCTTTGAATAACAGCCTGTCATGCAGTATCAGAAACCACACAAGCAAATCTAACAGAGATTACAAAACAACTTGATGCAATTTGAGGTAAGTACATGATGCAATTGTGCAGCCATCATCCATAACAAAGGACAGAAGTGCAGTCAAAACTCAAGCCTCAAGATGGCTACTGCTGTTTTTAGCTATGAGATGCACTTTTGTCTGTTTTTGTAGATAACAGTGTGTGATATAGTATCAGAAACCACGTAAGCAAGTCTGTCAGAGGTTGCCTAACAGGTTGACGCAATTTGAGGTAAATGTGTGGAGTGTAGAGCCACCACCTTCAACAACAGACAAAAGTGGAGTCAAAATTCAGGCTTAAAAATGGCTGCTACTATTGTTTTTAGCTATGCGATGCACTTCTGTCCTTGTTTGTAGATAAAACCGCGTCATACAGTGTCAGAAACCACCTTACTTAACAACTTGACAGTTTGAGGCAATTGTGTGATTGTGTAGTCATTCAGTTAGCACAAAGCTAATTGGGTTCCATTGTCCCATGGAACAATAGCACACATACCAGCCTGAATTCCATGTTCGTCTTAGCTGATTTATGCTACTCTGGTGCTGATTTAGCTGGTCACCCAGCATGGTTGTGCTGGTTGACCAGCATAAGAGCATCCAAAACACAACATATGCTGGTTTTTCTAGTAGGGTCAGTATAAGCTTTCATTGCCTGATAGCTAAGTAAGCCTCTTAGCTCCAGTGCAAATCTAAAGAAGTAAAGATTAGACATCAGTGGCTGCAACAATGTAAAGTATTTTTTAAAACTGTAGCCCTGTTGACACAAGCAGAGATTCAGTCAATGCAGAATGTAAATTAAATTTGTTATATAATTAATAATGACTTTTCAGTAATATAGCAAAACAGCAACAATAACTCTAAATTTCTAAGGGTTAACGCTACTGATGCTATTTTGACCTTGCCAGCTGGCCCAGCAGGTAGCCGAGGAAATATATTGTTACAAAAGGACCTCTGTTATCTGCTTGTAATGAATCACATGCTTATAAATCATTCTGTTGGTGTGGCTGTGAATGTTATGGTTGTTGAACAGAAGCTCCATCACTTCCACCCTGCGTTCAGTTCCACAGTCAGATTGTCTTGGCTCCAGATGGTCTATGGCTGAAACAGAGACTTCACACAGAGCAACAAACTCAGTCTAAATTGTGTTTGTTGACTGATTTTATTTCTCTCCCTTGGGGGTCACCCCCGAAACTCTCCCCACCCATGCAAGGGGCAGTTCCCTTTTGTTGTTGTGGGGAGTAAATGATGCTAAGAATGCGCCCTGCCCTCTAGATTTGATGTCTGTAAAGTGGCGTATCCAGGGCCCTACCTTAGGCCCAGTTATGTTTTGAGTATTCACTGTCTTCTACTTATTTTCAGGCAATATTCTTTAGAGCTTATGCATCGTCTACTTTGTATTTAACTCTTAGAAGTCACAACTATTATGGACAATCACAAAAGCATGTCATACTTTTTTAGAAATGATTTTATTATGATTTGAATTTGATGAAATGTTGATGTTGTACAGTCATTTGACAATGAAGAGAAAGGAAAGAAATTGGGTATAGACTCAAATCTGTCAAAAGAAATGTAAATGTAATTCATTATGTAAATATATAATTATGCAGTTATGCAATTGCTATTAATTACTCAGATTTAATTGCAGTTGATTACATTGTTTAGTGTGGTTGATCAAAGGTAATTGCATTTGTCATATTTGCTCAATTTTGAACCTGAAGAAAGATTTGTTGTAGTTTTGTGAGTGTTTAATATAAGCTTCATCAGAATGCATTACTTTTCTGCATGTGGCTGCATGTTCCAACATATTCATCACATACAGTTGCTGCAAAAGTTTGGGCGCCCCAGTCAAATGATGTTTTTGTTGATTATTAAGTTAACTAACTTACTATTTAAAAGCGATCTAGTGTTAGTATTTATTAACACTTGAATAAGAAGACTACAGTCATAGTCACAGCAACAGTGCATGAGCAGCTGGGCTTTGATTTGAAGGGTCACACTAGGAAAATGCATTTACAGTGTTAAAAAAATAGCGGCGTTGAACATTTATCATGTTAACATGCTATTACCTTTGACACAACTAGCAATTATGTTTAAATAGTGTAGCTAAATGACAATAATAGCTTGTAAATGTTAATTCTTTTAATAGTGTGAATGTTGTAAGCTGTAATTTACTTAATGTCTATTGACTGTTGGAGGTTTCATTTTTATTGTTTCACATGCTGAAGGAGCTCAGACTGCTCTCTCTCTCTCCCTCTCCCTCTCTCTCTCTCTTTCTCTCTCTCTCTGGCTTAAATGTGTTTGTGTTAGACGGAAAGTCACACCCATTTTTAAGCATAATTGATAACTAATAATTTGATAATATTTGAGAAAACTGATAATGTAATGGTCCAAATCCTGTTTTAACACCGTGAAAACACACACACACACACACACACACACACACACACACACACACAGAGAGATCAGCAGTTTGTGATTACAGAGTTTACTGACTGCGGGCCAGTTTAGAGGGTGTGTGCCGCATGCTCAGTCAACCAAAAGGCCTCTTGAGGGACACACACACACAGAAATGACTAACGCAGCTGACTTTTTCTCATGTACCTGAGTGGAGCAGTGGATAAACACTAAAGCTCAAACAAAACACTAAGATTATAATGTACAAGCCTAAACAAATTGACTTAGTTACAAATAAGGCCTTGGGGATCTGAGGCACATCATGTATAAATAAGTATAATGTGTGTGTGTGTCCCCATAAGGGTTCTTCATGTCCTCACATAGATAGCAAAACAAACACAGCTGTTTGTAAATGCACTACTGCTGCTTTTACATGCTTTTGTTTTAAAGGGCTCATATCATAGAAAACTAAATTCTCCCTTTTGCATGCAATTCTCACTTTTCTGAAACAAAGGAGTTTTGTTGTTGTTTTTGTGATGTCATGAGAACCAACTCAGTTTCATAGATTCGCCTTTTCAGCCTACAGCAGTTTAGCTCTGCCCATTACACTTAAGAATAGGCCTCATTTACCAACCGTTCTGAAGAAAAAAAATCTTTTTAAAACCCACTTACACAGTTTTCAAGATTCTGACGTTCACCAATGTTTTCTTATCTGGGATTTGTTCTTAGGTAAGAACCGAATCTACACACACTCAAGAGCACAATGGTGCGAACAATTCTGCAGTTTAAGAAAACGTCATAAATCTGACGTAGACTTTTTCTCAGGACCTTTCTCAAGAACTTATTTATTTTGGGAGGTATTGGTGAATGTGGCCCAGTTTTTCAGCCCAGGATGCTTTTTTAATAAGCTACAATACAGAACAACCAATCAGAATGGAGCTCATTTACATATGCAGCTATTAAAGGCAGAGTAAAAAAAAAAAGATGCTGTTTACATTTAAGGGCTAAAGAGAGGTTAGAAAATGGTCATGTAGAAATTAATTATGACTGTTTTTGGAGGATAAACATACACAAACATTGTACACGGAGCAGAAAAATACAGTTAAAGAAAGACGTAGGACATGTGTGTTTTTTTATATTGAGGTTCGCTTTGGGATTTTTTTCCTTTGCTCGATGGAGGAATAAACATATAGAGATGATTGTGATTGGCTGAGAGGTGCATAAATCCAACAAACAGCAAACGGTCAATTAGAGCTGCCCTATGTAATATTTGGGGATTTGGAGACCTCTCTGGTAGAAATGTGTAATTGCAACATGCAGAAGTGAGTTGTGTCTCAGACCCCTTCAATTCAAAAAGAACTCAGTCAGAACTTGGTGAAGGGCGTGTCTTCTGAGGATGTTAGTGAATTATATTGTCACTATTGTCATCATATCTTCATCAGTAATATTAATTCTGCATTTGAGACCTAAACATTGAGTCTGACCTTCTGATATTAAATGAAAATGGATTATTTTTACAGCTTAGCTTCTATATATGGACTATGGATCTATACTGATACTGAAGCCTTAACAATGTTTACATGTTACATCAATCTCTTATTTTAAAAAAGCACCTAAAATTAATTTTATATGATTATATGTTTTTGTGTGTGTGTGTTTGTGTTGCAGGCGTGATGGCGAACAAAGGCCCGTCTTACGGTTTGAGCCGCGAGGTGCAGAGCAAGATCGATAAGAAGTATGACCCAGAGTTGGAGGAGAGGCTAGTGGAGTGGATCGTCGCTCAGTGCGGACCCTCGGTGGGGAGACCACAGCCCGGCAAGCAGGGCTTCCAAACATGGCTCAAGGACGGATGTGTAAGTTAGCACAGCATGTGTGTGTGTGTTTGTTTGTTTGGCTCTTTGTGGGGACCATATGGCTCCAGAATGATGACAGCATGAACATTTTGACTTTTTCGTACATAAATTGCAGCTTTTCGTAAAAATAAAAGAGGGGAAGAGGCCAAAGGTGATGCTGAGGTTTCTGAGGTTGAGGTTAGGGTTGGGTTAGGTGTGTATGTTTGTGGTTAGATGGAGCTCAGCAGCACTGACAAACACTCATACAGAAACACATGGAAAAACCCCACACACCAGTACAAGATGTCCTAGAAATTTTAGTAATTAGTAATTTTTTATGTTAAACATTTAAGGGGAATTCTTTTGATTTTTCAAAATGTTTGTTCACTGAGATTTAAACTGTACTATACTTTAAACTGTACTGGACTGTGTGGTGTTTTCTGTCAATTTAAACAGCTAATCTGATTCCCTGCAGCTCTTCTGATTAACAGTAGTATTGTCAAATTTGATTTGTTGACATGGTGCACCACCCCTGCCTGTCCTTATTGGGGAAATATATCACTGATGTTGGAACAAAACCTCATATCTCTGAAATGATATCTTTACAGGAGAAGGACAAAAACATACTTTACTTTTAATGTAAGTCAAAGGAACCAGACTTTTTTCCAAGTCATCTTTGGTCATTTCCTTTGGTTCATTCATCATGGAATTTACACACAACGTAAAGGACATAAAGACAAGGTTTTGTTCCGACAGCAGCGATATACAGTTAAATTCATAGGTTTGAACACTGTAGGTAAAAAGTGCATTGATTTTCTAACCAAAAATAAGTTGAAAAATAACAACAAACAAAAATTGGAAATTTTTTCCGCAAATTTTAGTGCACAATTTCTATTTACTTGCTGAATTCTTTCCAACATAGTGTCTATATTGTTTCCCAATATTCTGTAGGAGGTACATGCAGGGCAGTGTTAGATAAACAGTTTCCAAATAAACCTGATTTTTTCAGACTTACACCCAGTTTGGTATGATAAGTTGTTTTTTTTTTTGCTGTCATTGTGTTGTAGAGGTTGTAACCCCCAGTTCCTGTTATTAACCCTGTAAAGAAACTACAGTCTGTAAATATCTCTAGAATAAACCCTTCTTTTTTAAAAGACTCTTCATGACTTTATTTACATCTTAATGCGCAAAGAAATTCTCCTTTAACAGATTTATGTCTCTCTCTTTTTTCCTTCTTTCTGCTTCTCGCTGTGTTTAGATTCTGTGTGAGCTGATTAACAGTCTGCACAGGGACGCAAAGCCAGTGAAGAAGATCCAAAACTCCACCATGGCCTTCAAACAGATGGAGCAGATCTCCCAGTTCCTCGCCGCTGCCGAGAAGTACGGCGTCACCAAATCTGACATGTTCCAGACTGTCGACCTCTGGGAGGGTGAGTCCCCCCTCACAGCCTTTCACTTGCTTTTAAGGGGAGAGTTTGGCCAAAAATCAGATGCACACAGTTACCTCAAATGTAGTCAGCCGACACGTTTGGTGTCTGAAATTTGCTTCGTTAGTTTTATACTGAAGCTACGAGGCTAATGTAGCTAACAAGTAGGCCTAATGGAAGCTTAGACAGCATCTAATTAGCAGGGTGCTAACTACATGCCCAAGTCATCACACACTTCTCTCAAACTGTGTTGAGTTGTTCAGTGATCTCTAATAGACTTGCTTATGTGGTTTTGACACTGTATGATATGCTGTCTATAAATGTGGACAAACACACCGACAACATTCAGACTCCTGCTACTGTTTTTAGCTATGCTAGCATAATTTTGTCCTTTTGTAACTTGATGGGATGGAATTCATGCTGGTCTAAAGTGGTCTAACCTGGTTTATGCTGATCTGCTGCTGGTTTAGCTGATCACCCAGCATGGTCATGCTGGTTGACCAGCATACCAGCATCTAAAACACAACATATGCCAGTTTATGCTGTATTTTCCAGCAGATCATTGATTCAAAACCACCACTATCCAGGTCAAAGGATCCAGGAAAAAAAAACTTATACAGTAATGCTAATTTCTGCTAGCACCCATATTTCTAATGGTTTCTTAGGGCTAAGCTACAACTGGTGCACGTGAACATTTTTCAGTAGTTCTAGATTAAACAGTCATTCGAAGCTTATATAAAAGTCATTCTATGTGCGTCACTTGAAGCTCAACACACATTAATGTACATATTTTACCGTGTATATAGCAGTTTTACAGGGACTCTGTCTGGCATGGAGCTGCCACTGTTGTCCATTTCTAAGAAACAACTGAAACCTGGTTAGACTGTGGCTTGCATTCATGGTCAGTGACGTATCTAGAACTTCCAGAAGGCCTGGAGTGAAGTTTTTTTCCTCAAGAAATCGGTCCCGCCCATTGTAAATAGAAAAGTGATTCCCCTGTCACTTAATTATGTTGGTAACTAGTAAGGCCTTCTGTTCAGCTCCTGAAGTCCTAACCAATGGGAGCGCTCTATGTAGACATAGTGGGACTAAAAATCTGATCGGAGACTTTTCTTTCAAGAATTTAACCCTTTTGTTTCCAACCAAAGCTTTTCAAGTTTTAAGAGCATCACTATGATACTTGCAGAGTTTAAATACAACATGCATGATGACTTTAGTAAAGAAAATAAATGAACTAAAAACCACAGATGTTTTTTTTTAGCTCCCAGAAATCAGCAGGCCTTCTAAACGATGCCTGTGCTTGTGTGCAGGTAAAGACCTGGCCGCTGTGCAGATGACCCTGATGGCACTGGGCAGCCTGGCCGTTACCAAGACTGACGGATGTTACCGTGGTGACCCCAACTGGTTCCACAGGTGAGCGCGGCTGCTTCCTGTTCCTTTTCCTGTTCTCGCTTTGACACGGCCAATGGGTCGCCATGGCGACTCGACAACAGAAGCAAATTGCAGCACGCTGGCAGGATGACAACACTAATTTTTTTAAGTTTTGCTGCCATAGAAACCAGAAAACAAGCACTTATCAGTCTGACTGTTGTGCACTATTGGCTGATTCATATACAGAAGCGTGAATGTAGACTGTGATATGAGCGCTAGACTCTAAATTCAAGGTCCAAAGTCTGTCATTTTAGTGAAGTTACATTAATATGCCGGCAACGATCGCTGTTTATAAAATCCTTAATAACACAAATGATACAAATACGTATAAATCTGCATCTGAAAACACATATCAGTAAATTGGTTACACCATAGAAGGAAAATCATTATCTATATAGGTGCAAAACAGGCCATTTTGAATCCATTGTCTTTGTGATGTCACAAAAACCAACACATTCACATATATCTACCCATTATGCCTATAGCAGTTCAGCCCCGCCCTTCACACTGAAGCTTAAGGCATGTTTCAGCCCGTATTGCTTTTTGAACCAGTTTTAATACAGGGCAGCCATTTGGAACAGGGCTGACCTGCATAAATCTTATAGTCTTAAAGGCACAGTAACAGAAACAGTAGTGATACACTGAAATGAAAATTCTTGGCGAAAACTTTTAGGACATTTAAAATACACTGGGCTGAAAGCCAAAACTGGAAAAAGTTGACAATAATTAAAAAATGACTGTTGTTATATTTTTGTTATATTTTGCGCTTTTTCTGTCATTTTCTGCTTCTGTGAATTGTGCAAGATGTTTCAGGTGGTATCAAACCTGTAGTGGAGAAGCTCTTGGTTATTCATCCCCTCGTTATATTTGACATGAACAGAGATTATAAATCATTGTTTAATTCTCGTAAAAACAGTGAAATAGAGGGGTAAAGAGATGTGAAAATTATTTATAAATGTCATGGTGGACTTCAAGAATAAAAAATTTAACAAATGCATAAAATTGGCCATTTAACTTTAATGTAAGGTAATGTAACAAGACTTAATTCTAAGTAATTTTGGAGCATTTCTATTTGTCCATTCGTCAGCAAATTTTCGTCTGTCGTGCTTTTTAGACAGTGATCTGATTGTTGTATGTGTATGTGTTTATTAGGAAAGCTCAGGAGAACAAGCGGGACTTTTCTGATGATCAGCTGAAAGAAGGTCAGAGTATCATTGGTCTGCAAATGGGCACCAACAAAGGAGCATCGCAGGCCGGAATGACCGGCTACGGACGACCCCGACAGATCATCAACTAAGGGTCGTGACCTTTTACCTTATCCTCCTGACTAATCAGTGAGGACTAAACAGGCACCAAGGCTCGTCCCATCAATGGAAACAAACTGGACAACCACCGGGACCAAAACACACCCACCCCCACATACACGTACACATACACCCACATTCATTAGAAAGCCACAGTTGACCGTTTGCAAAATTCTGAAAAGATTTCGCCTCCCTTAGTTATTGTTGTTACATCCGTCAAACTTTCAGCTCAGCCTGCCTGGTAGAATCTGTAACACTTGTGCTAACAGACTAAAATCGTTCAGTAGTGTGAAGGAAAGTGCAGACGAACAGAAGAACAGAGGAACAGAGGAACACGTCTGAAACACTTATTAAACTTTGAACACTTCGAACAGACAAACTGTGAATGTGGGCCAATCTAAAGCAAACAGTGTTTACATTAATCAGAAGCCTGTTTAGCTACTCAATGTTAAAGCAGCAAGTTTTCATGCCGAATAAGGAAGAGCTTTTAGTGACTGCCTCTTCAGATGAGGTAATGCTAAAGCTAACACTGGACCTAACCTGAGCAATGTTAAGGAATCTTTTAGCAAACTTTAATGAAACAATACAAAGCTCAGTACAGTTTACATTCAGCTGGTCTTCCACATAGTTTGATCCAAAATGTTTTCAGCTTCAATTAAATGAAAACAGCTCCACCCTCCAGATTATTAGACTAACGTGTCAGGCATTACACATTCCTCAGTAACACCTTTCCACCACTTCTAAGGCTACTAATTCTGACTAATTTACTGTCACTGCCGTTCTCACTGCAGATTTGTTGTGAGGGGTTCTGTCAAAGTTTTGATGGAGGAAGGAACTTTCAGAGAGACAGTTGTGACTGGCTGAAAGGCATGTCAATAATAATTTTGCAAACGGTCACTGGGGATGAGCTTTTTTAACCAATTTTGCTTTTTGCTTATCTACATTTTTAAATAAATCCAAATATTTGAATATTTCAAAGCAAACATTTTACACGGTTATGAATAAAACTGAAAATGGAATGGAAGGTTTGAAGTTTAAGGTTGTTTACTGTGTGTGTGCAGCTAGCATATGAGCTAATCTGTACCTGATGGTTGATTTAATGATTTAACTTGTGTTTTAGACATGATTAAGTAAGAAATATTTTTATGTAAAGATCTGTTAGATGTGGCCATTTAGTGTAACACAAGCTGGTTGTGTCAACCATTAAAAACTTACTTAAGAATTACATTATAATACGAAGAGTATTTCTTTTTTATTCCAAACCACACACGCCTTATTCGAGTACTCAGTTAAGTAAGTGAATGCTATGAAGAGTTCGCATGTCTATATAATATTCACACCTAATCGTAACCCACACAAAAACAGACCCACACAGATAATCTGTGCTTTTTTCCATTTTTATTGTCATATAAAAAAACTCATTGAATTACTCATGTTATTCTTTTATGTTTAACAACACTTTCTACTTCATTCTGGTAGAACGCAGTTTGTTCGCTGGAACTGGTTCAAGTATTGTTTTCTACAGAAACCATCTCAGATTAGCCTAATGCTAATGTCTTAATCTCAGCAAGTTTGTACATTGTATATTGATTTTCAATAGATGATTTTGAAAATAAAATTCAGCTCAACTGAACAAAACTCTGTGTTTTTATTGTGTTCAACAATTAAATGGGACGTATTTCGTTTTGCACTGGAGCTACGAGGCTAATGTGGCTAATAACCCTACTGAAAATAACAGGAACAATGTTTATGCTGGTCTAGTGCTGGCCTGGTGCTGGTTTATGATGGTTTATGATGGTCAACCAGCATAGCAGCATCCAAAACACAACATACGCTGGTTTTGGTGTTGTGTTGTGGATGCTGGTATGCTGGTCAAGCATCATCAACCGTAATAAACCAGCTATGCTGGTCTATGCTAGTTTTTCTAGCAAGCAAGTAGTAGAAACTTAGTTAGCATCCAGTTAGCACTGTGCAAAATTCATACCTAAATCATCCCACGCTTATCTTACACTATGTTGAGATGCTAAGTAATCTCTAATAGACTTGCTAATTTGGTTTCCAACGTTGTCTGACTACTATTATTTTTTAGATAAAAGTATGTAGCATAGCTAAGAACAGTAGCAGCAGCCAATCACCAGCACAGCTGGTCACCAGCAAAACTAGCATGTGTTGTGTTTTGGATGTTAGCATGCTGGTCAGCAGCAATGGAAGTTAATATAAGGTTGACCAGCTAAACCAGCACTAGACAGCACACACCAACATATCAGTTTAGACCAACATGGAGTGCAAGCAGGTCTGTGCTAGATTTTCCAGCAGGGATCTTGAAGCCAGTTTTATAGATCACAGTGTGTAATGATTTAACCCCTTAAACGGCCAACACCCACCGGCGGGCCCAAAGTTTTATTACACACTTCTATAACCTAAGAATAGCTCAGCTAAGTCCCTGTAGTTACTGAATAATACGCCTTAGTAAGTAATAAGCCTGGGATTTTAAGGGGGCAGTTTGTGCAGAAGCTAATTGGTGGTGTACAAGCTTCCATCACTTATTAGCCACGTGACCCTTGGAGGTAAATGTACACTGTGGTTAACCTGTGTAGTTTCTGATCTATATGACAAAATATTAGCTATAAAAATGGGCTAAAATGCAGGCCACATTCAGGCTTCAAGAAGGCCACTATTACTGTTTTCAGCTGGATGATGTTCTTTTTTCTTCTTTACTGGTGGCAATAAACTGGGTCATAAACCTGATCTCTGGGGAAACCAAGCTTTTTCACCAAGCTATCGCTTTAAAGAGGAATTTCACCAATTTTTCAAATGTTTGCATAATTAAATCATTAGGAAGTAAACAAAGTCATTCAGAGTGGTTTGGTGTGAAATGGTTTATTGTAGAGAAACTTACAGATTACTGATTACTGGTGGTGATAGGAACCAGGGGTCGCCATGACTACAACACAAATACAGCCCTTTTATTTACTCTCCAAAACCACCAGTGAACCTACACATGTTTAATATGTGATGTTGGTGGTGATAAAAAAGAAGTAAATCTTAAAAAAAAATAATTTTAAAAAGTTTTTGGGGAGATTTCATAGACTTTCAACTCTTCAGACATCTGGTTCCTATCACCACCACTGTAAAGAAGAATGGTGAAGTTTCTCTACAATTAACCATTTTTCATCAAAGCACTCTGACAGAACATTTGAAAAATTAGTTGAAGTCCCCTTTAAGCCTGGGAAATCATATCAGCAGGGATTCTCCTGTGAATTTCTTTCACATAGATAAGTAATTATGTGTTTATACTGGTGCCCATCATTACATAAGAACATAGGAACTTACAAGACATTACAATCATCAGATAAGAAACCAAAGCACCCTTCACTCCCAGCCTTTTCCCTTCTGAATAAACTAACCACTATCACTTCATCTAGGTTTGCCCTTCGGTGTGGCCTTTTGCCACAGCAGCACAGATAAGGGCAGGAGAGAGAGAGAGAAAGGGAGCGCGAGATAGAGAGAGAGAGAGAGAGAGAGAGAGAGGGAGAGAGAGAGAGAGAGGGGAATTAACAGCATGACTCATTTGTAAGCAAGAACCGAAAGCGTCTATAAATAAAATGTTTTAAGAATTTAAAAAAGTTACAGGATGTTTAGAAAGTGTCAAACATTTTGAGGCCTTTGCTCACTTTCTGCATCCTTATCTCACTCTGGTGTGTTTCCTAGCAACGTTATATGTGTTTGCACAACAGTACGTAACACCCCGCTCACGCACTGAAGACTCTAAAACAAGAGTAGACAAAAAAATAGATTTGCTTAAGAAGTTTCAGACACTGTGAAACACTATTTTCTACAAATGTACAAAAATACGACTAAAATTCAGGCTGCTACCGTTTTAGCTTTACGAGGTTGGAGAGTGCGGGGCACAACCTAACCTGGGGTAAACTGTAACACAGATATTTTGTGTAGTTAAACCCTTACTTCGGGCCAGGGACCGCTGACAGGCCCAAAGTTTTATTACATACTTCTGTAACTTAAGAATAGCTCAACCAGTTTGTGTTGCAGTCCCTGTAGTAACCGAATAATAAGCCTTAGTATGTAATAAGCCTGGGATTTTAAGGGGTTAAAGCTCTGGTTTACTCATTTTCATGAATTTCTTATATTATCTGTAGTTTTCGTGATGTTTTTGCAGACAACTGGCAGAGAAAGAATGCAGTTGGTCATTTCTGTTGACAGATTTTTGGTTTTTGGTTTAAGATAAGTGGGACTAAATTTGGTGCAGATGCTGTCAGATCTACCAAAGTACCAATCAGAGTTAGCAATTTATATACATCCCTCACTGATCTTCCGCTGCTCCGAGTCTCAGCCAAAACTCCAGGCAAGCAGGTTATTTAGGGTGTTTTAAATCTGCTAACAGGGCTTGTTATGAAGGTTTATTAGACCGTTGTTTGTAGCTTAGCTAGACGCTGCTTTCTACTTGCGTTAGCCACCTGCTGTAGGTGACTTAACTTCATTTTCGACGGCTGGATAGCTGGTCCACCTTAACTGTAGGGAAAAAATGATACATTGGCTTAGTATTATGTTAGCTTAGTATTACTTTAGCTAACTCCACAACATCAAGACTTGCAGTGTTTCCTCACAACTGTACTTTACAGACATGATGCACAAGAAAGAATGCAAGAAATTTCTCCACTGTGTCTGGAAACATGACAGTGCAGACTCATAACTGGTGGGACTTCAGTTTCAGAAGCACGGCCCACCAGTTAGCTAGCTAGCTATAGGTCATGGATATGAAGTTAGTGCTGAGTGGTCAAATATCAGACGTGATATGTTTGTGATCTGCCCGTCAAGATGAAAGCCTGAATTCTCGGACATCAGCTACAAAATGTAAGTAGATCTATGAACAGCTCGTTCTGCTTTTTGTACTTTTTACTGACCATTCAGAGAGTAAAGAGCGAAGGGGGGCTCGAACGTGTAGCACTGAACCACACCGATTGGTGGTGTCACTCACCACTGCCACCACCATGGGGTTGTCACATTGCCTGGGAGACACAACTGTCAATCATTTTACATTCTGACACACTCACACGATTCCAAACAGCAGCTTGGAATTTTTGGAGCATTTATTAACTATTAAATTGTATTAATTTGTATATTTCTTGAATAAAACACTGGCAAACGCTTATTCTGTGGCATATATTTACAATTTGTTTACATTTGAAACCATGTTGTCAGTGGTTTTAAACAGATTTGGGTCCTTTTGTGTGCTTTCGGTCACCTTCTTGTGCTCCCATAAATAATTCAGCCATCGTTTTTGGTCTGATCCACCAGTTTAAGTACATATTCTTTTCACTTTGTGTCTGTATGTACTGTTTCTTTCTTCTCCTCTTGTTTTGAGGCCACTACAGCACCCAGAAGATGACCATTCCTTGACAAAAGTGATAGTGACACATATAAGAGCCACCCAAGGCTTGTTGAGGCTTTGGGCCTGACCTAGAGTGACCATTGCAAACTTCATGGGATGGACCTCATTAAATTTAACCAGTGACATTATCCTCGCATGACTTAAAGGCCCATCTTACATTTTCAGTGCATTTTTTCTGACATTTGTGTGGGGTTTATGTACTAAAACCAGTCATAAGTCTTTTTTACATGAACATTTTTGCTCCTCTCTTCATCCCTGATTTTGTTACTGTTCCTTTAGGACTGATGTATGTAAATGAGCTCAGTTTTGATTGGCTGCCATGTATTGCGCTTCATTCAAAAAGCAGTCCAGACTCAAACACTTACAACTTCAGTGTGAATGGGTGGGTCTGAACTGCCGTGGGGTCAATAAGTGGATATCTATAAATATGTGTGACATCATAAAAAGTAGTGAATTTAGAACATGCTGGTTTTGCAGTTCAGGACTTTGAGGCCTAATATAATGTTTCTGTACTTTTAATTGTTTAACAATTATTACAACTTTAATATTTGTAATTATAAGCATATTCTGTATTAGTAATATATAATATATATATATAATTTATGGAGGGGTAAAGACTCTGCCTGCTCTTTATCTCTTTCTCTCTCTCGGATTTGTAACACTTTAGTAGTGACCACAAAAAATGTCTGCTGTATCCCTTACGCTCTGTACGTCATCCTCTCACCCTTCTTTTCTTCATCTTTCCTTCCTCCTCTATGCCTCATCTCTTTGTCTGGCCACAGCAGGAACCCTCAGGGATTCTTCTGGCCTGATTCAGGTTCCTTCCTGCTCTCATGCCGTTCATTGAGATCGGCTTCCTTCAATTCTCTGCGCCTTGTGTATTATAATCATGATTTAATGGTTCAATTCAATTCAAATTTGTTTGTGTAGTGCTTTTTACAGCAGACCCTGTAAAAACAGACGTTATGAAGAACAATAACTGCCACCATTGCACAACAAGACGTGAAGCAAATTCTCCTTCTTCTTCTTCTTATTATTATTAAATACTAAACACAATTTCTTCATCCAGTGAAACAATACATTTGTACAATCTGCAAAAAGTCAACCAATGGCCACAGAAAATTATGCTGCCATCTGCTGTTTGAATGTGGAAGTCCATAAATTTACCACTCCGGCCACTCGGTGGCACTGTGGAGCGGTGTTGGCTGCCTCTGCACAGTATACTGAAGAAATGTTTCATTGTGCATTTGGCCAGAGAACTTGTAGAGAGGAGAATTCCCACTCTGCAATGTCTTCAGGGTTTCTCAAACGCTAGAGGGCGCTCCCGAGCGAGTCCACAATGAATGGGTTGATATGGAGCCTTTGAGCAAAATCATAGTTTATAAGTGCTGAAACATTTTTAATGTAAAAGAATACAATCATTTCCTGAACACAGAGCAGCATAAAACATTTTAACACTGCTGTTATATTTTTAAGATCTTTTAAACTCGAGTTATAGGAGTTTAAAACAGTGCCTCATGTATATTCATGACGTCAGTGAGCATAAACAGCCAATGAGCTGCTCCGCTCGCCGATCAGTCGTCATGCTTTAGCAGTAATGTCAGCGTCCTGCTGCACAAAACCCGCTTGCTGTAGAAAAAAGGAAACATACAGGTGAGATTTCTTTGTTTTTTTTAGTGAAACACATCCTTCTACTTTCTAAACTTAAAGAAACGTTCTGGGCGACTGATTAGAAACTATTTTAACTTTTCGTTTTTATCCGTTGAGCGCCATTTACTCCCATTCATTGAGGACTCACTCGCGGGCGCCCTCTGCTGTTTAGCAGTCCTGTTTTTGATATAACGGGGGAAATAGGAAGAGGCCAGGCTCCTCATAAACCGACTCTGATTTGGCTGCATCTGAATAGTGAATGAAATTTTCTCTCTTATCATCTTTCTTTGAATTGGCCTGATCTGTAGCCATGTGGATCCACATGCTAGTCCGCTGAATATATTTAGTATGCTGGGTGAGGACATGGGCTACAGGCCAGGCAAAATCAAGGGAGACAAATACGAAAGAAAGTTTCCTAACTATTAGGACGTGGTCAGCGTAGCATTTACTACAGCGTGAACTGAATGGAAGCACTGCAGCAGGGGCCACCAATGCTTTATTCACAAGGGCCAGTGTAGATGCAGGCCTTCATTCCAATAAAGCAGATGTACACCTGATTCCACTTGTTTAATCAGTTAATCTCAGTCTTCAGACAATTGATTGATTGACTATTAGTTATTATAGGAGTTGTGCTCCTGCTTGGTTAGATTGACAACCTGTGCACTGGCCCTTTTGTGGGTAAGACTGGTGACTCCGGAGTTGCAATGTCAGAGGGTCAGTTGAGATCCCTATGAATAAGGCAGGACCAAACAAATCTCCACCACATGAAAATCTCTCCACATGAGAACCCAAAACTGCTTGACAAAGCTCACATGAGCATGCAGGCCCAGTAGGGTTTCATTTGATGTCATATGCCTTTAGAAGAACCTGGTGAGCGTGTGCTCTGTGCAAAATATGGAGCGCGGTGCTGAAACAGAGATTTAACAGTGCGACAGCAGCATGTTACAACTACGGTAGGCTTTGATTTGCAGGCTGGTGAACCTCCTTTGATATTTCAAACAGACTAAAAGTCTGATTTCTGCCAGAAAATAAAAGCTTAAGCGAAAGTGCATTAATCAAGTTCATTGATAAAAAATACAGGAGCAACTATTATTGCTGCTGTGGACCAACAGCTGGTCTATTTTCTCTGTTGTCCTGTGCTGAATGGACATATAGCTGTATATATTGTCCATCTGCACTGTCTGCTGCTATACTGTGCTAAATGTAGCACTGTGTCCTTAATAAACTACATTTAGTTTTTCTAGATTTTCACTGCATTTGGATTATTTTTAATGTTAATTTCTAAATCTGATTTGTATTTGTAATCAAGTTAACACCCCAAAAAAATATAAAAATAACAATAATTTCAGGAGGATTTCTTCCTGGCCTGCAGGCCACAGCTTAGAAAACCTGGCCACTAATTACATCAATGAAACAATCATTGTCCTGAGATTATTGTTATTTTGTGTTAACTTGATTACAAATACAAATCAGATTTAGAAATTAACATTAAGAATAATTCAAATGCAGTGGAATATATATATACATATATATATATATATATATATATATATATATATATATATATATGCAAATCAGATTTGGAAAAAAAATCACATACATATATATTTTTAGATTTTTTTTTCCAAATCTGAATTGTATTTGTAATCAGGTTAACATAATTATTAAAATTAAAATAATTTGTGTTATTTTTAAATATTTTATTTTATTTTTTTTTTTACCGAAAAAGCAAAAGAAGTTCCCCGGTTGGTAATATGACGTCATATACCGGAAAGACGAATCTACAAATAACACACAGTCCTTTCTGGGTTTCAGGCAGTATTAATTTAGATTCATTATTATTTATTTATTATTTAATATCAGGAAACTTTGACATACGGTCCTTCTCTGTTGGTAAGGAGTAAATAAACTTTTTTTTTAATTTATATGTTTAGTTTTAGCTTTCACTTTTGTTTCCCATGCGATGAATCCATCTGTCCTGGTCAGAAAAGAGGAAACGCGGCTGTTTTTACTGTATAAAATGAGCTGAATCCGAGTATGAATCGTTACTTTACCCGGCTGATTAATAAAACACTGCGTGTTTCTCAGCGGAACTAAAGGCGTCCAGTCCTGCACATGGAGAGCGACGCACAAACCGAGTGGAGCTCGGCATTAGAAGACGACTTAGCCGCGTAGGTATTTTTATCAGTAGTGAATTTCATATTTATGTACACATTTTAAACCAAAGCAAAAGTTTTATGTTGTTTTTTTTCGCGCATTGTTTCCAGCGGTGACATTCCTGTGTGCGCCTCTTTGTGGTCCGTCCCCGCTCCAGCCACTCTGTGGTCAGTTCCGGGTGTTGTAGGTGCTCCGGTAGCCGAGCAGGACGCTTCGTTAGGCTGCTACGAACTCGCCACTATGCCAGAAGCGAACGACCAGGACACCCAGGTGGGGGAAATGACACGACCTCCACAGGGGAGGTGGGGTTGTATCGTTAGGATGAGAGAAGGAGAGGCCAGCTTTCAGTACACAAACAAACAAGGCTAATGTTTCTGTCTCTTTCTGCCTGTTAGCTTTTCTCCTGTTCAGCCGAGCCTGTTTTTCCTTCTCCAGTCAGACTGTCCGAAACTTACTGGCTCTCTTTGTGAAATACCATCTTTTAGAACTGGATAGTGTCTTATTTCTCTGCTCTGACACACCCAACCTTAGTTCAGCTCTATCAAAAAGGACCGGGTCATCCGTTAAAGGGGCATTCCACTGATTCCCCCCAATCCTGCTACATAGTACAGGCATAAAATGACTTTATTAAAGGCGAATTCTACCATTTTTTCAAAATTGCTGAATAATTCAGTCCTTGAGATGTAAACAAAGTCATTCAGAGTGGTTTGCTCTAAAATGATTCATTGTAGAGAAACTTACACCTTCAGACTTATTCACAGTGGTTTTGATGGGAACCAGGGATCTCTATGACTACAACACTAATATAGCCATTTTATTCACTATCCAAAACCACCAGTGCACCTACACGACTCTTCTGAGTTATTATATGTGATGTTAATGAAGGTAAAAGGCATAAATCTGAAAAAATAAGTTCTCTTTGAAGAATATTTTGCCCTACAATGCCTTATAGCTATGTACACCAGGAATGGATTAAAATAACTGGGTTATTAAATGCTTTAAATGCTTCAGACGTCTGGTTCCTATCACCACCACTGAACAATTCTGACTCAGTAAGTTTATTGTATAATGTGGGTTAAATTTACCATAAGAATTTAAAAAAAGTAGAAATTTTCTGGTTTAAAATCCAGGGAAATCCTCTTTTTATGATTGTGAAGGTGGGAGGAACTTTTGGAACCAAAACCTCGACTGCTTTGGTGGATTTCTGTTGTAAAGTGTTTTCTCTGTTAATTGGTGAATACAGAAGGAAGGCAGATCACTAATGTTATTGCTAGGAAGCAGAATATCTTATTGCAGCCATATAACTACTGTAACTGTCTTGAAGTCATCTTTACTGTGGTGAGAATGGATCACTGAAACAACAGGAGTGACTCGGCCGATGAGGAGGACGACGAGCTAAAGTTAGCAGATGCCTCACAGTTTGCTGGCTGAAATGAGAATTAACTTGTCTCTCGTTTCTGCTGAATAAAGATAGAATCTCTGTTTTCTTTACAATTTTGTTCCACGACAGAGATTAGAGGTACAGCAGTGGTAGCTTAGTTGCGTTTATTAGCCTGTAGATCAGTGGATAGCAGACAAGATTGGTTGACACCACAGGGATGATTCTCAGTGATCGTATGACGTAATTCTGCATCACTCTAGAGCTTTTAACTCAGAATTTCTGACTCCCGACGAGGAAAAATCGACGAAAATACCCTGTTAGATGGGAATTCCTACCTGAAAGTCAGGATTGTGTTCTCAACTCCAGCTTCCCACTTCCAGGTTACATCAAAGGCAGCATATTTCTGTAATGCCGGCTGGGTTTTGTAGTGAGAAAACAGTGATAAACGATATAAAATGTTGAGTTTTGTCAAACCGATTTAAATAATTACGTTTTAGGCCAGAATCTTCCTTTAATGATGTGATTCAGGCAAAATATGTAACTGTACAGCTGGAGTGCAGGATCAGAGCTGGAAACACTGCTGTAGACCAAAGCTTCTACTAATCTGGTGAGTTTGTGTGCTGTTATCTCTCTGCAGACTGAAGACTGGACAGAGGAGAAGGGCTCCAACACTACCGATGACTGGGTCACTGTCATGGTAAAGTACTTCTGTTTGTTTGGGTGCTTGTAGTTTGGATGGAAGTGTTTTCTGAAAGCTTTGTAATGCTAAGCGCTTCATTAGCTTGATCTTAGGACTGAGTGTTTCCTGAAACCCCTCTCAACTAAAGCTCTATGTAAACCCGATCTATTACTCATGAAAGTGCTTCCTTATTTGGATTTTGAATGCAGTTCCGTATTAAAAAGCCAGAGGCCGCTAATGTGAGTGCAGAAAAGCATGAGTATGTAATCATTTTGTCTGTTGTCCTCCTCTCTCTCTCTCTCTCTCTCTCTCTGCAGCACTCTATAGATGAGTACAGCTCCAGGCTGGAGTTACAGTATGAGTCTCTGTTGAAGCAGGAAGATACTGACCAGGCTGAACACACACTCCTCCTCGAGAGTCTGAAGAAAACGAGGGATGAAACGAAACGGCAGCACCAGGTTCGCTTCCAAACCCACGCAGCAGGTCCACTCAGCAAGGGCCAGAGATGTTTGTTCCACTCCATCAAATGGGCTCTTCCTTTTAGAAGTGGTAGCATTGGAGTTTCCCTTTTAACTCGAATTTTAACATGCTAATTGAACCTTACCCCCCGGTTAGCATTGTGCTAACTGCTTGCCAAAAGAGCAGAGTTCCCTGGCTTTATTTACAGAGAGGCTGCGTGGGTTCATGATTTTGTCCTTCAGGAAATGGACACACTTTCACTCTTTCACTGCCCAAATTGTGGCACAGTCTAGACAGTGTATATTATGGGTGTAAGTTTCTGACCTGAGAATGATTTGTTTTGATTACAGTCTGTAACACTAATCAGTGCTTTTGGTTTGGTTTGATAAGATTGTTTAGGTGCGGTTTATGCTGCGTTCACAGGCTCACAGCAGACACATGCTGGAAAACCGGATATTCCATTGTTTTCTGTGGCGGAATATTCTGGCACTGCAAGTGTCACCGTACCACAGCGTTAAGTGGAACGCTCTGCCAAGAATTCAGTTTTTCCAACTTTTGCTGTTGTCTGCAGCGGTAGCATAAATCAGATGTTGGGTTTTTTTTTTTTGGGTTGGCCAGAGCGCCAGACGTCAAATATCCCTGCAGATTTCTAAAAAACTGAAAGCGAGACTCCTGAAAATAATGAAAGCTGTAATGAAGGCCAAGAGTTGGAAACACTAAATGTTGAGAATTTTATGTTAAATAAGAAGCTCCTGTGTAATTTCATTATAATTATCTGTAAAATATGTTTTCTGCTTTTTTTTTTTTCCTGACACTACAATAAATGTGGGCATATGACTGTATTTTATTGTTATGCAGAAATATGCTTTTCTAGATATATTGTGGATATGATCTGTACTTGTAGTGCTGAGAGCTGATTGGTTGTTTTTTTGTGTGCAGATTCTCCTTGATAAGATCGAGTCTCTGCAGGTGAAGCTGGAACTGAACAGCAGTAAGACCACCCGGAAAAACTTCTCCACTAAGCTAGAAGAATTGACCGCAGAGAGGGACCGACTGGCAGAGGGGAAGAGAAGGCAAAGACAAATAAAATATATACTTTGGATAAAAGAATTGGGTAATAATGTGTTAAATGTGTTGTTTATTCCTATTTTTCTGTTTTAGATTGACTCAGGAGTTGGAGGAGGCAGACAGGAAGCTGAAGCAGCTTACTGAGGAGCAAAACAACGAGAAGTAAGACCAAAGAAAGATCCCAGTAGTGCATAGTTTAGTATTTCCCTGCTCTAACAAGTGCGATTCAACTCACTGACTAATTCGGAAGCCAGACAGAATGCTTAGCTGTGCAGTGCGTTGGCCTCCACTGGGAGTTTCTTCGATGTTTTTTGTTCTACCGCAGGCTTTCATGGGAACAGGAGATAGCTGATCTGCAGGAGGAGAAAGAGAGACTTTCAAAACAAGTGGAAGAAGCCAATCAGATGGCTCTAAAAGACGAGGTGAGCCCAAATGTTAAAGGCAGATGTCTTCAAATCAGGAGCTTGAATCCAGCTTGTGGTTCTGTGTTAACTGAACTATTGATGGACCTGATTAATGGACCTGATCTAGTACCTGTGAACACAAAATCCAGGACCAGAAACTAAATTCAAGTTCCAGATTTGAAGATTGTTATAGAACTAAAGTCTGAAAGTGACTTGCTGGGATATCTTTATATTTTTGTCTATAACTTGGTGGCGTATTAAATACATACGTGATAATGTTTTGATTAACTCAGCTCTTGAGTAATATCATTTACTAACTACACACTTGATAGTCTTTCAAGGGTTCTGTACTAAAGAAAATGGTTCTGTCTAGAACCATGAACAGTCAACAACCCTTTGCATGACTAAATAGTTCTTTGCATCCTGAAATCGTTCTTCATATTGATGGAAAATTGATGGTGTTTTATATGATTCTATATAGCAACAAAAAGGGGTCCTCTATTGTTACATGCTTGACATCGTAACAATAGAAGCATCCTTTTGGTGCTGTATGGAACCCTTTTCAAATAGGTTTTATATAAACCATCTACAGCACATTCTCCATTAATCTGAAGAACTCTTTCATGATGCAAAGAGTCCTTTAAGCATGCAAGAGGTACTTTGACTGTTTGTGGTTCTGTGTAGAACCATTGCCTTTACTAAAGAACTTTTGAAGAACCATGTTTTTTTAAGAGTGTAGGGATGGTAATAATTAACCGATAACCAACAAATACATAAATGTTCGACCAGTGCTTGCAAAAGCATTAAAAAGTAATTTAATTTCTGATAAATAACTGACATTTGAATAGGTGGGTTTTTCATATGACATGAGAGACATTTTATGTATGTTTGTTAAATTGGGCTAATAATATGTAGTGTAAGTAGAAAACATTGTTATTGTCATATCTGTTACGATAGGCCGAATATTTTCATTCAGTAAAGCCTAAAGCCTTGTTTATATGAAACGCAGTGCTGTGTTTGATGTCTTCATGGGTCGTATACATGATTTTTAGATAGTTTGTTAAGAATTGATCACCCCTACAATTAACACACATCCGTGTTTAAACCCAATACCGCTGTGCCTGTGATTGGATCTGCTGGGTGGTGTATTGAATCCTCTGATTGGATACAAAGTGGTGACAACAACAACAAAAAAGTGTAGAAAAAAATGTCTGCTGGACATCAGCCTGTATGCACTGGTCTGATGAGCCAGCAACACAGCCGACTCTGAGGGTGCAGTGACGGTCAGGCTTGGGATTTCAGAGGGATTTTCGACACACAGTACCAAATGTGGTGGAAAGCTCTGCATATCTAGTTTAATGTGGATTTGGAAGGTTGTCTGAATCTCAAATGGTAATAGTAATAAAACAGCAAATCATGTGACGTGAACATTTCTCTGCTGAGTCTTGAAGGGTTCACATCCAACAACAACATCATTTGTTTTCTTGTTATGTATTAATAATAGTTTGAAAAGGGTTCAGGATCATTATGGCGTGCGCGCGTGCGTGTGTGTGTGTGTGTGTGCGTGTGTGTGTGTGTGCGTGTGTGTGTCCAGATAGAAGCTTTGGAATCTCAGAGATTGTTGGCGATTGCTCATGTAGAAGACTGGCAAGCAGAAGCTGAAAGATACCTGGGCAAGCTCAGGTAACGTTTCTGTGTATGTATCAATGCATTTGAAAGTATTTTTGTTTGTTTGTGTTTTAATTGATTGTTTGCTCTGTGGACAGGATGGAACATTCACCACAGCATGGCCGACAGCGGATGGAGTGGGAGAAAAATGTGGTGATGGTGCGAAACAGCCTGACTAAACTACAGGTGAGGAGGGAAGGGCTAGTCCACCTGGATTGCAGGTGGGGTCTAAGACTCGCCCACCTAGATTACAGGTGGAGGGGTAAAACTCGTCCACCTGGATTGCAGGTGGGGTCTAAGACTCGCCCACCTAGATTACAGGTGGGGTCTAAGACTCGTCCACCTCTATTACAGATGGGGGGTAAGACTCATCCACCTAGATTACAGGTGGGGTATAAAACTTGTCCACCAAGACTACAGGTGGGGTCTAAGACTCGTTCACCTTTATTACAGATGGGGGGTAAGACTCGTCCACCTAGATTACATGTGGGTGGTAAGACTCGTCCACGTAGATTACATGTGGGTGGTAAGACTCGTCCACCTAGATTACAGGTGGGGCCTAAGACCCCTCCACCAAGATTACAGGTGGAGGGGTAAGCCTCGTCCACCTAGATTACATGTGGGTGGTAAGCCTCGTCCACCTAGATTACAGGTGGGGGGTAAGACTCGTCCACCTAGATTACAAGTGAGGGGAGGGGCTGTTGCACATGGATTACAGGTTGGGGGTAAGGGGTGGAGAGGCGTAATACCATAATTTGTGGTGCTAAAATCGCTCTCTGTCTGCTTTTGTTTTATTTTCTTTTATTTTCAGAATATGTATAATGAAAACATTAAGCTTCTACAGAATGGTCAGCAGCTGGACAGTTTACCCCCAGTCTCCTTGCCATCACTACCTGTTGTCCCCACGGTAGGTGTCTTTATGGAGTGGATATCTGACTGTACATGCTGTGTTCGTGCATATTTTTCAAGCTATGTTATGTTTCCAAGTGATGAAGTAGGTTGGTTATTCGTTGTTTACACTCCTGTGCAAAATGACTTTTTCACTTTTCTTAGTCTTAAGGGGTGTAATTTTTTTGTGCAATAACGTACGTCAAATAACTTTAACTGTATTTTAGTTGTTTTATTCATAGTTTCAGTCTTAAAGGAACATCAAGGACTTATTAAATGATAAATAAGGCAATGTGTTTATCTATTTACACATTTTTGTGTCATTATCTCTCCCAAAGGCGTTGTGGATATTAATTTTAGTATAACTTCATTCTCGATGGTATACGGCTCGTTTTAGAGTCACTTACAGCTCTACATTCTCTCTCTGTCTCTAGATTGAGTTGTTTATGAGTCCGCTCAGAAACTCAGTGCAGATGCCGTATTATGGTGGTCCTATGGTTCGTATCCCTCCTCCCAGCGAGTTCCACCTCGGTGGTGCCCCGGCCCACAGAGTCACCCCTCCGCTCTCTCATTCCTCGTCCCAAAGTCATTCAGCTCCCATCATGACCTCATCATCACACGTAGTCAGGCCGAGGCCCCAGCTGACCATGCCCACAAGTTTACCCCCGCAGCCCTCCTTCCGCATGCCCGTCATGCCTTCAGCTCACCCCCCACCCTCCACACACACCTTACCACACACCATCACACCCGCTGGGTCCTACAGTGGCCCTGGACCTGCTCACGTTCCCCACAGCAGCAACTCACATTGCTGTTTCCACGGCAACAGCTCAGGCAGCAGGTTTGCCAGCCCAGGCAGCAGCAGGACGGCCGCATGCGACCCTCCCAGCTGCCCCCGCCCGAAACGCCTCCCCACACACCGTCCTGGAGAGACTGGAGAGACAGTTCCCACAGTGCACCAGGTACTGCTGACGAGGTCATATCCTGCTTTAAGACTCCTCCCACACCTGTTGAACATTCAGTACTAAATATTAAATACATACTACATTAAATAGTACATATTAATCCTTTCTTGCCCAAATGAAGTCTAGTTATTCTTGTCATTGTGCTATACGTTTGATTTACAGGAGAATTTGTGTAATTTATTTCTTAATTATATAATGAATAATTATTAATTATGTAATAAATTGCATTCAAATTACATTCTGTATGGACAGTTGAGTTTGAGTCGGCAGTTCTGATGTTTTTGTTTTAAAGGCACAACAGAAATGGAAATGGATGTTTTTCTTTCTGTTAAATAAGACTATACACATAGCAATAACTTTTAATCAAATTTAAATCATAATAAAATATCTACTCAAGAATAGGCCTGTCTCAATTTTTACATAATCTCCTGATGAGTTATTTGAGCTGATTGCAGTTATTACATATTATTAAATCTCTCTCTGTTTAGAACTCAGCTGATGAGTGTGCTGCAGCAGATTAAGAGTGAACGTGGCACTATGGCTGGCATGTCCATAGACGAGGTCATGCAACAGGTGTCCCAGAGACTGGCACAGAACGACCGCCCGGTGAGTACGAATCCACATCCATCCATTGCTCAGTGTTCTACCAATATAATTGCTTACTGTATTGATTTCCTTTATTTTGAGTGCAGGCTGTGTGTACATCACTCACTTTACAACAGAAGTCAGTGGTAATGCTTAATGAGAATTCATATCTAATATGATATTACTTGTAATTTGCAGCATTGATTATTTACCTTTGTATTTAAGGAAAAATGTAAAATGTTAATGTGCATCACCGTTAGCTTAGTGCTAGCATGGTATTAGAAACTTCATATGAGCGCTAACTGAAATTAGCACTACTGTAAAGCTGAGATTTTTTGTTGTCACTGAAGGTTGAATAGTCACGGTTTGCAACCCTTAAACAGACAGTTTAACGTTTGTGTGTGCAGTCTTGCATTTTTTTCATGTGATCTGTAACCCTAATGATGCTCCTTCAGCCTCCAGGCCCTATAGCTCCTCCGACTGGCTCTCGCGTCTTTGCCGGTCCTCCTGGTCTAGTCCAGAGGCCCTCTGTCCAACCTCTGGCCGTGCGTCCCCCTATCAGAGCCTCCAGTGCCCCTGTCTTCCAGCCAAGACCCTCACAGGTCAGAACTAAATCTAATACCCACTTTGTGTTTGCTGAATATATATCCACAGTCATCCCCCTTTACCTGAAATCATTCAGCCAGGACATGTTTGGTGTCTGAAGTTTGCTTAACAATTGTAAGTAAGTAAATAGAGTGTTGGGTAACTAAATGATTGTAAATAGATAAATAGATTGTTGGATAACTAAATGATTGTAAGTCAATATAGTGTTGTGTAACTAAACAATAAGTCAGTTTATTGTGGGGTAATAAAATGATTAAGTAAGCAAATATACAGGGTGATATATATTTTTACGACCGTGAGGTGCCTAGGAACCAATCACAATCCAGTTTAAAGAGGGGGTCATAGAGTTTCTGACTGTAACTGGAAGACGGTTCCCTTCAGTCTGCGAGGAGATGGAGACCCGATAAGAAACTTCAATAAGAGTGAATCCGTCATAACTGTGCAACGTGATTTTCGTGGGCAGTGAACCTCCAACAGCTCAGAGTGTTCGTCGTTGGTTTACAACACTGCAGCCGTGAGTGCAGCGACACCCGACATGCTCAATCCAGCATGGGATGAATCTGACTATGGCGTTGATGTTGTCTGTACAGCTGGAGGAGGAATTACATGATAAACTTTATTCTCACTTAAACCATTTACAGTTCACTGCATTGTTCTGTAATGATTTACAAGCGAAATGAATCATTTTGAAATCGGATGATTGTTTTTGAATCACCCTGTATTGTTGGTTAATTAAATGATTGTAAGTAAATACAGTGTTGGATAATTATATGGTTCTGAGTAAGTAAATAGAGTGGGATAACAAAGATTGTGAAGAAATATAGTTTTGGGTAATTAAATGACTGCAAATAGATAAATAGCATGTTTGGTAACTAAATGATTGTAGGTAAATATAATGTTGGGTAATTAAATTTTTGTGAATAAGTAGCGATGTGTAACCAAATGATTGTACGTAATAATATAAAGTGTTGGGTAACTAAATGATTGCAAGTAAACATTGTTGAGTAACTAAATGATTGTAAGTAAGCAAAAATAGTGTTGGGTAACTAAATGACTATAAATAGATAAACAGAGTATTGAGTCACTAAATGATAATAATTAGTAAATACAGTGTTGGGCAACTAAACCACTGTAAATAGGTAAATACAGTACTGCGTAACTAAACGATCAAAGAAGAGTAAGTACAGTTGTGCGTATTTAAGTGATTCCAAATGGATCATATCTCTCTCTCTCTTTCTCTCTTTCTCTCTCTCTCTCTCTCTCTCTCTCTCTCTCAGGCTCCACCGGTGCGTAAGCTGTGTTTGATGTGTCAGAACCATGTTGAACCTGGAACCCAGTACAACACAAACTGCCTTCACACTCTACACAAAGAGGTGAGTGTGTAGAAGCAGCTGAATGATCAGAGCACAGTGGTCTGTGTGTTTGTATGTGTTTGTATGAGAATGTGATGAGTTTTAGGATGTGACTCCAGTAATAACTGAGCCAGCCTGTTTTTGTTTGTGTGGTTTCACTTTGTTTGATGATTTGTTTTTGTTTCAGTGCATCAGTGTGTGGCTGAAGTCCAGCAAGGACCACTCCTGCCCGTTCTGCCCCAGCAAATGAGTGACTGTGAGACTTGATGTTGAAATCTCTGAATAACTACAAAGAGCATTTCATTAACAGAAACTGATAAACTGGTGGCTGGTTCTGAATAATGTGATGTTACCAAAGTGGTAAATTTAAGTTGCTTTAAGATGGGATGATACTTTTAATCCTAAAGGTTAAAGAAGACTTGAAGGGGTTTGATTTCAGTAAGGAAGACTCGGTTTCTAAAAATGTAATAATAGTAATAATGACTTTATCTTTTATAATAATGTTTTCTATTACACGTTTGTTATTTTTTAAATTAATGACAATAAATATCATTTAAAAGTTGTGTTGAGTGACTTTACAAGGTACGCTACTCGTTCTAAATCCCAGTACTGGTGACCCCATAGACTGCAAACAAGCTTTGCTGCTGCTATCTACATGATTTATTCTACTCATCAGCTCGTTACCAAACCTTTAATAAGCTGTGGAAGGTGTGCTGGAGCAGGGAAAACACCACCTGGTTCCCATGGCTGAGATCGAGAGATGCTGTGATAATTTGAATATTTTCGTGAGCTGCCTGAAACCACACTCAGTTAAAAGCCCTGTTACTTTAATGGAATAATGACTTTTAGAGGTGTTTTTATATTTAGAATTCTAGTGTATGTGTGTGTATATGTGTTATATATATATACACACACAGCACTGCTGTGTCTGATCCACTCACTAACACACCACCACCACGTCAGTGTTACTGCAGTGCTGAGAATGATCCACCACCCAAATAGTACCTGCTCTGTGGGGGTCCTGACCACTGAAGAACAGGGTAAAAGGGGGCTAACAAAGTACGCAGAGAAACAGATGGACTACAGTCTGTAATTGTAGAACTACAAAGTGCTCCTATATAATAAGTGGCGCTGATAAAATGGACGATGAGCTGATCGGTGTGTGTGTGTATATATATGATATATATATATATATATATATATATATATGTATCGATATATATATATATATATATATTGCATTGTATCATAGAGATATATATGCTGGTATTGCTTATTGATACAATACTTATCAATATTCTTATTGATACTGTTCTCCATAATTTGGTGCAAAAAACAAAGACATACTATGAAAAGATGTCAAAATGTGTTCATCCCCCTACAGTTGAAAATATTAACAACCATAAGCAATACAAATTTACTTAGCCCTGGTGTTTAGGACAGCTCACACTAAGCTCAAACTTAGGGTACCTAGCAGTTAGCGATTTATGCTATGCTAGCTACCGAATGTTAATTTAGTACAGACTCATATTTATATTACTACTTTCCTCCTGATAAACTCATTTAGGCTCTCAAAAATGTCCTAATTATTCTTTTAATGCTGGAAACATTTTCTGTTAAGGACAGTTAGACTACCACACTGTCCTACCTGTAGTTTTAATACGAGGTTGAAGTTGGCTTCTTATTCACATTTTCCCGTTCCACCTTAAATGGTGAAGGCACCAGCATGTAACTACTGCACCATTTAAGGTGAAACAGGGAAATTTGAACAAGAAGCTGGCTGCCTTTCAAGCTTTCATGTATCCAGATCCAAAGATTTATAGAATACTGGATATGGTAAGTGTTTCGTGTGGTTGCTGGTGTTACTCCCTTTACATGCATCTACTACTTAACATATTGTGGCGTAGCGACGCTGTGGTGCAAGCATTTCAGTCGGAAAAGAAAAATGTTTAGTTTTGGCTGCCTGAGTTTCAAATTCACTGGGACTTTCAGGTTGAAAAGCCTGAATACTGGTCGGGTGGTGGGGTCTGGGAGAAGGAAAAAAGCTAGCAAGTGCTTTTGTTTTTAGCCTTTAGCTATGGTAGGATGGTTGTTTTCCTGGCTGTCCCTGCTGATTTGTAGAGTTGGAATAAAAGCTTCGGTTATGGACCACAACCTCTGACTCCACCAACTTTCTTAGAGAGAACCAGAACATCACAATTTATTGCCTTTGGCTGTGTTATCATTAAATTTAAAGTGGGCCCACACTTTTGAACATCTTACCCTTTCAGCTATGACCAGAGAGCACAGAATGATGCTGACATTCGAAAATGGTTAAGGTACTCAGAGGCATGCGAGAGCGCCACCCCCAATCCAATCTTGCACCAACCGTTGCCTGCTATGTAGAATGAATGAACATTTGTCCAGAAGCCTATTGATATTTTGGTACTAACCAGATACCAATCCCTAGTGAGTTGCCTATAGAACCGCACTGGAACTTCATAGTTCAGTCTTATGCTGATGTTAATGTTTTATAATATGGAAATGTGATGATTGATAGATTTACATCGATAGAGATTTATAAGGTATTTTTTAATAAAGTAACGATGGACCACTTTTTTGAGGTGTTTCACAAAGCAGGATTACTCAGTTAGCTAGATAACTCAAGCCTGTCCAATAGTAGCAGAGATCAGGGGCATTCATGTTAAATATCCCTCAACTAAGGCTTCAGTTATGCAGCTTTCCCGATAAATCCAGGCTGGAGTGACCAGTGATCTACTGGTGTGAAGGAGACACTTGGAGATTTTTGGTGTTTTATGTTCGTTTTTTTATTTATTTTGCATCGTCACATTATAAGTGAATGTTGTGGCCGACATACAGTGTTAATCCCAAGCATATGAATCTGAGGTGTGGATTCGGTGTGCATATGAATGAAAATGCAGTTCTTCTAGATGTATTTTGATAGCATGTCATCAATAGCATGGGCAAGGTAGACATAGTAGGATATCAGCTGGCACTTCCTGGCCTTCAGGAAGGGCTCCACATGTCCATGCAGCTCAGCGGTGTGGGAGGCCAGATTCTCCTTCACGTCCTCCACAGCCTTCAGTACATGCTCCTTGTACTCATTGGCAATGGGCACCAGTTTGGAATGCAGATTCTCCAGCTCAGACACAATGTGCTCATGCACCTGCTTGGCACTGTCCATGAGATGGGTGGTGTATGGGCTCAGGGAGTGGGAGGTGGTCTCAGCGTACTGCTGGAGTTTGTCCAGGCTCTCGGTCAGCTTCTGTCTAGGATGGTTGGAAAAATAGGGAGTTTAGCTGTATCTCCTCGAGCAGAGGTCACGAAACCTCCACCTGGAGATCTGCTTTCTTGTAGAGTTTAGTTCTAACCTGCATCTAAGATGCTGCCCCCCTTTACCTAACACTGATGTGATGTGCCTGATCCAACCAAACAAGGAAGTAAATTAGCTGGAGCAGATGTGGCACATTTGTGGTTGGAACTACAGTCAGTAGCCAAGTGGATTTCCAGGACCAGGGTTGGTCACCATTGTTCAAGAGCAAGGGTTCTTAAGTTTAGTTCCCTGTCTCAACACATCTGAACCAGCTCCTTGATTAACTATCAAGCCCTTCATGACTTGGTATGTTTAGGACAGGAAACTAGACTTAAGAACCCTTGCTTTTTATCAATAGCCACCAACTTTGGTCCTAGAAATCTACCTGGCTACTGACTGTACTTCCAACCATAAATGTGCCATTGATGAGCAAGAGTTCTTAAGTCTAGGTCCCTGTCCCAACATCTGATCCAACTCTTAGACTAGTTATCAAGCCCTTCATTAGCTGGATCAGGTATGTTTAGGACAGGCATGCATGGCTCAGGGCTGGTGTTGGGATCCAGTGCTCTAGATCAATGGTCACTAATCTTCCAGCAGAGCTCAGCTCTCACCCCTAACATAACACCCTGATCCAGGACTGGCGTTGAGAACCACCACATTGGACCGGATTAAGACATAATTAACCAGTTTAAGTTGCTGGGAACTGGGATACAGGAGGTTTGTGAGAGGGCTTTGGGATTTCCTGCAGAGTTTAGTTTGATCCCTAATCTTGTACACCTGATCCAAGAAATCAATCTATTCAGCTGGATCAGGTGTGTTACATCATGATATTAGCCAAACGGTAGATTTTCAGGGCCGCGGTTACTGATCACTGCTCTAAGTAAGTGTTTCCCAAGCCAGTCCTCAGGATCACAGCTCCTGGCACAACTGAATCTTATATTTATGATTGCTTGGTCCATTTGAGAGAAAGCACAAATGTCAACAATTTGGGGATACCCAGAGGGCTGGGTTGGTAAATAAAGCCAAACAAAGCCAAATCCTAGACATTTTAGGCAATTTAGAAATCCCATCTGGTTTTTAGGTCCCAAATAGAGGACAGGTCCTTTTAAAAAGAGGACGTATTGCTACCCTACCAGCTCTCATTCAGTTGATCAACTAGTTCAACTCATGACGTAATTACCATTGATTAGCAAGAAAGGTGTTCATATTTACTACTGACAGAAGGTTAAAATCAGATGTGATTGTCTGTGTCTCTTACTTGTACTGGTCATACTCAGTTCCTTCCAGGTGCTCCAGGGCTTTGGAGGCGTGGGCTTTCACCTGGTCCAGGTAAACCATAGCAGCTGCCTTGTAGTACTCCAGTTGAGAGGGAGCATCTGCCTGCAAGGTACGAGCATGGGAGCCTGGGAACAAACAGAGAGGAAAGACTCAGGCTTCAGAGTGTGCTAGGCCTCAAACAGCTCCAGAGAGGTACAGTGGGTAAAATCTACTAAAGCTAATAGCAACAAAACTAAGAACAGTACAGTAAACCTGATGTACATTCTTATGACTCTAACTGAGCCAAATTGTCCCCCTTTTGATAATCAACTAATTGAAATCACTGTGTTGAGTAAAACACTAAAGCGTAGTGAACTATGACATTATGGAATATTGCGTCTTGTAAATCTTAGTAAATCAGGCCTGATAGATGCAGTTTGTCATTTGCCATTAATCTCATTCAGATTTGAGGCGACTGTTTCCAGTCAAAACAAAAGCAATTAAAGCGACTCACCCAAGGCCAAGAGGAGGGTCAGTGCAAGAGCCACAAGTTTCATGGCTGAGGTCTACAGAAGGAGAGAGAACATTGCTTTTATGTAGTTACAGCAATGCAGTCATGAAATAAGAAGGGATGCATCGATGTGGGAATTCTGGGCCAATGCTGATATATTTGATATTTTTCATGCACATATCTGCTGATGCTGATAAATAGACATTTCTAGAATGTAGAAATTGGGACTATATTTTTTTCTAGCTGGATGTAACCATGTTTGCGATAATTCAGCACTGGGAATTTTTAGTTGCGAAGCACTTCATGGAACTGGCATGTAATTCACTCACTCACATTTAGCAGGCAAAAAATTCTTCACAAGGGGGCGCCAAATAGCTTTTGATGCTTGTTAGGAAAACTGCTTTGCCTAAGTAACACTGTGTCCTAATTTTGTTTAGCACTGAAATTGTTAAACCAGAAAAAGCAAATTAATAGGTACTGTTTTTTGGGAAAAGAGCGAATTAAAACAGATTGTTCATCAGTCATTTTTCCTCTTTTTTCCCAAATCGTCCTCCTCACTAATGCAGATGATCTGATTATTAAACCTTCTTTCCTCTTGGCTCTTTTCATGTTCTGTATTCTGTCGTTTAGGCTGACTCTGCATTACTCTTTGGTTCTCCTATTTCTTTCATTCTCTTTTCTGCCCATTTCTTCTTTTTCTTTCTTTCTCCATAGATCAGAAGTGTTCTTACCTTGGAGGTGGTGCTCTGGTGAGTGACGCTAAACTCCAGGGGTGGTGGGTTTACATAGGCCGGCCACTGTGAGCTGGAGTTGGACTCCAGCCCTCCTGCATGGAAGAGTGAAGTTCAAAGGTTAGGAGCGTGAAGGAGAATGGTATCGGCTGTGAACTAATCAGTGTAGGACACCCCTTTACCACCACCAGCAACTGCATGACCACCTTTACACATTTTACCTTTTAAACTAATGAAAAAGTGAAGTTTAGGTTTAAAATCAGTCACAACAAACACACACATACGGCATCCTTGTCCCTTGTGTCTATATTGGGTAACAAAATGATTATAAGTAAATACAGTGTTGGATAACTAACTGATACATACATACATACATCATCTAAACCACTTATCCTTCTGGGTCGCGGTGGGGTGCTGGAGCCTATCCCAGCTGTCATTGGGCGGAAGGCAGGGTACACCCTGGACAGGTCACTAACTGATAGTAATTACATAAATACGATATTGGGTAACTGAATGATCATAAATAGATAAAAATAGTATTGGGTAACTAAATGATTGTAAATAGATAAATACAATATAGTGTATCTAAGTGATCGTAGCTTAGAAAATACAGTTTTGGGTATCTAAATTATTGTAAATAGCTAAATCTCTCCAGGGTTTACTAAAATTAAAGTGTGTATTTGCTGTTATTCTATCGCTTGTCTTCTGATATTGCCAGCAGCTTGTGCTGCCAGGCCTATATAACAGTCTTTAAAAAGAGTTAAATGTTAAAACAGGCAGATTATGCGGACAGTAAAGCGCTGATGTGCACTGAGAAAAGCAGCCTCTGGTGTTGAATTCTGTCCTTTGTTGAGGACCTTCATAAAGACTCAGCTGAGTAATCAGTGGTCTGTGTGTGTTTGCATATGTTTGTATGTGCATAAGTGCACAGTATGGGAATGCGATGAGTTTTAGGAAGTTAGTCCAGTAATAACTGAACCAGCCTGTTTTTGTTTATGAGGTTTCACTTGTTTCTGTTTTAGGGCAGCAAGAGCCACTCCTGCCTGTTCTGCCCCAGCAAATAAATAAACACTCCCAGCGTCTCTTCTGACTTTAAGACTTGATGTTTAGCCTCTTCAACTCCTTGAGACCACCGGTGGTTCCAAAACACACTTTGTCATATTCTTCATAGAACTTTCATATTTCATAAGCTACATTCAAAAGGTAGGGGGTCGTATGAGGCTGTAACTGTCTTCTTTCCAGTCAAATAGATGGGTGATGTCATTTTAAACCCTTATAATAAAAGAAGCTGAACTCACATTTTTTTGTCTACTGAAAGTCGACCCATTTTTCCACAAATCTGGGCTGTAAACTATAAACAGACGGCGTCTCTTCAGTGATCTGCTCTGTAAAAATGATTTATATAAAATAATACAAACAGCGTCTAAGATTTTTGGCTTTCAGCAGTAAATTGTAAGCATACAGCAATATGTGTATCATAAAACACATGTTCTGTTAATTTGAGGGGAGCTTTTACAAAATAAATAAATAAATAAATAAAAAAAATAATATTTCATGCAGTTACTGAATAATTTGCCTTACTATTTGGTCACATAAATTCAGATGGACAAACCAAAATATACCCTGGAGAATAAGAGGTTAGTTGATGTTTAGAAAGGCAGGACAGTCAAAGACAAGGGATATTAAAGATTCATTTTGTTGTTTGTTTTCTTTTAAGCCCTTACAACTGGCCATAGACTCCCAGTCCTGCTCATATTTATCGTGTTTCTTTTTTTATTCATCATATCATTCATTTTTATTCATTTATAACGTTTTGAAAAAAAATAAATAAATACAAAATGTGGCCTGTGCAGAAGTTATGGCGCATGACATAGAAAAGAACTGCTTTCAAAGAGCCTGAAACCACACTCAATTAAATGTCTTGTTACTTTAATGGAGTAATGACTACTAGAAGTATTTTCATATTTAGAATCCTGGTAAAAGTATATATAAGCATATATAAAAGAAAGTAGTTACCAAAACCAACCGGAGTGAAAAATCTCCAAAAATGTAAAATGTAATGAGTGAATTGCCCACAGAACTGCAGTGGATTGTCATAGTTGAGTCTTGCACTGATGTTTTATAATATAGACACTTAATAATTGACCAACTTATGTATAAATATATTTATAAATGTATACCTAAGATATGCTTTATGAAGTTTTTATTCATAAAGCTGCTTGTACTACAAGTACATCTTACTGTCATTTCCAGTGTTTATGATGTAATTGTTTAGTGCTCTTTTCCTCTAAGGGTCTTTCACAAAGCAGGATTTCTCAGTTAGCTAGAAAACTCAAGCCTGTCCAATAGTAATAGAGACCAGGGACAGTCCTGTCAAACAACCCTCACTTTTGGCTTAAGTTATGCAGCTTTCCTAAAACGTCCAGGCTGGTGTGACCAGTGATCTACTAGTGTGAAGGAGACACGCAGATTTTAGTGTTTTCTTTAACGTTTCATTTATTTTGCATCATCACATCATAGGCGAATGTTGTAGCCGACAGACAAGCATATGAACATGTTAATCTAAAGTGTTGACTTTGTATATATGTGACTAAGTCCTGGACAGAGCCGTTTAGGCATTGATAGCTTGGGCCACAGAGTCATAGATGGATGTAAGTCTGGCCTTCACGGTCTCCAGGTAAGGCTCCAGATGTCCATGCAGCTCAGCAGTGTGGGGGGCCAGCTTCTCCTTCACATCCTCCACGGCCTTCAGCACATGCTCCTTGTACTCCTCGGCGTAGGGAGTGGCCAGATTCCTGAGGTTAAGCAGCTGCTTGGTCAGCTTGGCGCGGACGGCCTCCACAATGGGCACCAGCTTGGACTTGGTCTCCTCGAAGTTGGTCTCCACCTTCTGCCTCAGATCGTCCAGGGCAGGCTGCAGCTTGAGACGCAGTGCCTCCAGCTCCTCCTGGTTGCTGGCGAGGTACTCCTGGAGGATGGGGCCCGAGCTTCTCGCGGTACTCCTCTACGTGCTTTTCAATGACCTGGCGCAGCTCAACACCGTGAGGCTCCACCTGAGAACGCAGGTTCTCCAGCTCAGACAGAATGTGCTCACGCACCTGCTTGGTGCTGTCAATGAGATGGGTGGTGTATGGGCTCAGCGAGTGGGAGGCGGTCTCAGCATACTGCTGGAGCTTGTCCAGGCTCTCGGTCAGCTTCTGCCTAGGAGGGTTGGAAAAATAGGGAAGAAGTTTAGCTGTACTGCATAGAGCAGAGGTCACAAAACCCCTCCTGGAGATCTGCTTTCCTGTAGAATTTAGTTCTAATCTGCGTATAAGATGCTGCACACAGGGTGTTTTGGAGGGTCCCAAGGCCCTGCTCTGGGACAGTAGTCACCAGCCCCCCTCCTCGAGATCCTGTGGAGTTTAGTTTGAACTCTAATACTGAACACCTGATCCAACCAATCAATCTAATCAAAGACTTTGATCAGCTGGATAGGTTCTGGAAAAAGAGGACGTAGGAAACAGCTCCCATTCAATTGATCAGCTTGTTCAATTCATGAGGCAATTATCATTGATTAGCGAGAATGAAATGTAGCGATCAGGTGTTCATATTTACTACTGACAGAAGGTTAAAAGCAGATGTGATTTGCTGTCTCTTACTTGTATTGGTCATACTCAGTTCCTTCCAGGTGCTCCAGGGCTTTGGAGGCGTGGGCTTTCACCTGGTCCAGGTAGACCATAGCAGCTGCCTTGTAGTGCTCCAGCTGAGAGGGAGCGTCGGCCTGCAGGGTACGGGCATGGGAGCCTGGGAACAAGCAGAGAGGAAAGACTCAGGCTTCAGAGTGTGCTAGGCCTCAAACAGCTCCAGAGAGGTACAGTGGGTAAAATCTACTAAAGCTAATAGCAACAAAACTAAGCAAAGAACAGTATCCAAAGTCCTGAACTGCACTTTTACAAATATGAGCCGAATCAACCCATAAAGGCTTTGACAAGCAACTGATATGAATGTTGAAGTCTCATTTAGATTTGAAGTGACTGTTTCTAGTCAAAACAAAAGCAGCTGTCTGCACTGCAGAGAGGTCTAAAATTAAAGCAAACTGGGACAAAATGGTAAATAAGTAGGGCAAAGAGGACCAGATAAAGGACAAACAATAAAGGGACTCACCCAAGGCCAAGAGGAGGGTCAGTGCAAGAGCTACAGCTTTCATGGCTGAGGTCTACAGAAGGGAGAGAGAACATTGTTATTATGTATCGCAGTCATGAAATAAGTAGGAATGCACTGATGAGGGAATTCTCAATTCTTATATTGGATACTTTTACATCTGCTGTACATTTCTGCTGATGCTGATAAACAGACATTTCTAAAATGTAGAAATGGGGACTAGATCTACCTAGAGCCACAAAATAGAAAAATCTAACCTTTATCTGTTAATTATAAACATATATATTCCGATATCACCATGCATCTCTAGAAATAACCAATTATTAAATATCAGACTCAGACAGAAATTCTGTTTAGGCAGATTTGAATAAACATATGTCTCTTATAATTTAAATAGAGGTTTTTAATAAGTGTCCCGATCTCAATTTATGCCTCGATCACAAACCTTGGGAACACTTACGAAATAAAGAACATTTACCAAGTTACATTTTGAAAAGAATTTTCCAGTGAAGATACACAACAAAATCCCCAGTGTTGAATTCACTCTTACGGGCATCTCTTTCTGGAACTGTCCGTATCCCTGTATCACTGGGAATTTTTAGTTGCGAAGCACTTCATAGAACTGTCCAGTCATTTTCTTACTCACATTTAGCAGGCTAACATTTCCTCACAAGGGGGCGCCAAATAGCAGCCAATTAGCTTTTGATGCTTCATAAGAAAGTGCTTTGCCTAAGTAATGCGTGTCCTTAATCTGTATAGCATTGGAAATTGTTTAACCCAGAAAAGCAAAGTAACAGTTACTATTTGATGAGAAAAGAATAAATAAAGTTTTCTTTATCTCCCTCCTCACTAATGCAGATCATCTGATTGTTAAACCTTCTTTCCTCTTGGCTGTTTTCCTGTTCCACATTCTGCCTTTAAGGCTGACTCTGAGTTATCCTGCTTCTTTCTCTTATTCTCCCTTCTTTTCCTCTCTTTCTCCATAGATCAGAAGTGTTCTTACCTTGGAGGTGGTGCTCTGGTGAGTGACACTAAACCCCAGGGTCTGTGGGTTTATATAGGCCGGCCACTGTGTGTGAGATGGAGTTGGACTCCAGACCTCCTGCATGGAAGGGTAAAGTTCAAAGGTTAGGAGCGTGAAGGGGCATGATATCAGTGAACTAATCAATGCTGGACCTACACCCCTCCACCACCAGGAGCAACTGCATGACCACCTTTACTTCACTTCACACTTCAAACTAACAAAAAAGTGAAGTTTAGGTTTAAAATCAGTTCATCAAACACACACATACTGGATCCTGGTCCCTTTGTCTATAATGTTATATTGCATCACTGATTGGCCTGAACCACAATCTAGTCAATATAACTAACATTTCTCATTATGAGAGCTGTAAAAATATTCTAAGATTACTTAACCTATTTTTGGACATTGTCTCCATCTTTTTAAACCCTTAAAATCCCAGCTCATCACATACTAAGGCTTATCATTGTGTTATTACAGGGACTTCAATGAGCTATTCTTAGGTTATAGAAAGTGTGTAATAAAACTTTGGGCCTGCTGGTGGGCCCTGGCCTTTTAAGGGGTTAAGTAGTTGTGTCTAGTGAGGTTTTCTCATTTAAGTGACAGGTAACTTTGCTTGTTTTGGGCATCATTTCTTTATCCAAGCAAATTATCTGCAACTTTACTAGATAAAATGACTTACAATGTACAAAAACTAGTAAGAAATCCATAAATAAGTTTGTTATAATGTTCTTACAACAATGTCATAATGAGAAATATTACATATATTGACTAGATTTTTCATTACCACAACCCCTAAGACCTCTCCATCACTTTGAGAGCTTTTAAACCTCTCTTAACTGTTGATTATTCAGTTACTACTCTTTAGACTTATTATTCTGTAACTACTGTAACTAAAAGTAAACTATGAAAGTAATTTATATTTTATGTGGGTATGAGAGTGAGGATCTGAAGTGTTGGAGCGAGGAAGTGGGATTTTGAGGGAGTTTACATTAGAAAAGATATTATTTACTTCTTACACTCTGTGGGCTTTGAAAGACGTATAAGCTCTACGTTATGATGCTTGTTTTTATAAATTACATGATTACATAAAGCAGATACTATTTAGACCTATCTTTGAGCACTGCATAATAACAGTTGTTATTGTTATTATTTTTTATTATTATTTACATTACTATTTCATATCGTTTGCAAATGATTCACCTTCCACGCTTTTTATGGCATTTTAATGGCCTAATTAAGTTTTATGATGTCAGGCGATCACTATCAGTCGGTGCTTTAACAGCTACTGGTTGGAACTAGACAGGGTGATCAGAAATACAGCAAGTTAAACTAGAAAGCAGAAAGTTTGTAAACAAACTTTAGGTTGGCTCAGCAAAGCCAACTAACGCTTTAAATGTTTTGCAGTTGCAAAACACTGTTGATTGTTTTTAATAACATAACTGTGCTTATGTAATTCCAGGGAGTTGCTATGGTGTTGCTATGAGATTGCTATGGTATTCCAGCTTGTCATTAGGACAATGTTTGGTGGTTGTTAGGTGGTTGCTAAGGCCATTACTATGGTATCCCAGGCGGTTATTAATGTGTTGCTGTGTTGTTCCAGGTGTTTGCTAAGGTATTGTTTGGCCTTTGCTATTGTATCCCAGGTAGTTGCTACTATAGTGGTTGCTGCAGTGTTGCTATGCTATCCTAAGTGCTTGCTAAGGTGCTGCTAAGCTGTTGCTATCATATCCCAGTTTGTTGCTAAGGTGTTGCTCTGTCTCTGAACATTCCACTATTCATTTTCTATGGAAAAATATTATCTTTGAACAAACACAATAATAATAAGATTACAAAGACTTTGTGAAGCCAACATAATAAAGATACTGTTCACATTACTGGTGCATTTCTCTGTGCTTTTCTTTGTGCTCAAACCATTTTTTTAATCATTATGCTTTAAGTAAGGCTCCACCTTATTTTGTTAGCAACTTGCATGAAGACTCTATACCATAGGCTAACGTACAACATAGCTCTGATAAAATGTGAGAGTTTATGAGATTAATTAACAGATTCTGCTTGTAAAATGTAAAACCCACTAACTTGTTTTTTATTTGGACCACGTAATGTTGCTAACTAAATTAGCATGCTTTAGTGCTCCAGCAGCTACTCGGTTGAGGCTACAGGCTCTGTAGTTGCTGTATTTGCGTTTAGAAGAGAAATTAATAGTAGTTCCAAGTTGCATTGTATTATATCACTGTTGTTGCGAGAAAACCTTGTATCTCCAAAATGATAACTTTACAGGAGAAGGAAAAAACCTACATCACTTTTAATGTAAGTCAATGGAACCAGAATTTTTTCCAAGTCATTTTGGGCTGTTTCGTTTGGTCCATTCATCATAAAATTTACATGCGATATAAAGAGCCACATGCATTTTCAAATTCTGTTAAAAACTGAAAAACGACAAATATGGAGATACAAGGTTTTCTTCTGACAGCAGCGATATACTCATACAACAACCAGCAAGAGAAAGCTCACTGTTAACTAGCATACCGATGGCACAGTATTAGGTAATATAATTCAGAATTCAGCAGGTCCATTTGGCTGTCTGGTTAACTGTACGAGTATCTTCCTTCCTGTTATCCAGGGTTTGGCAGAGACAGACTAGTATTTTAATGCATGCTTTTTCAGTAATCTGCAGGCACAGAAACTGAGAGGCAGAGGTAAGTGTAATAAAATCAATGTAACCATCCACTGATTTAGGTTTGCATGTATTTTCAGCTGAAATAACGGGTAAATAATAGTTGAATGATTAATTAAATTCAGCAGGGTCACTAGAGTTTATAGAACAGTAATAGCAGTTAAGGGAAAGCTATATGCTATACATTCTGCAATAATTAGGTTACAGCAATGGGTGACCCTTGGTCAATTTCTCCACCATTTCGTTCCACTCATTCAATGATGAGCTTTTCTTGCAGCAGTTGATTTGATCAGTCTCTTTAATCTGATTGGCTGCCTGACCGATGCTCTGGACCAGTGGAAACGCAGCTCAGCTCTTTCACTCTGATGTCAAAGTGCACTGAACGTCATCCACTCAGCAGCGATAAGTTATCTGAGAGTCTGGATTGTCTCCAGGTATCGCTCAGAGACGCGCTTCGCTAGCACTGTTAACAGTGTTGTGTGCGTGAGATACAGAGACAGAGATAATAACATCATTTTAGATGTTCCATGGTAATACAGTGATGACGGATTGATGACACGTAGATCCCTGACCATGTGAGGTTAAAGGGGAACTCCACACTTTGTTTATTTCTATGCATGATTTAATCACTGAGATGTAAACAGAGTCGTTCAGAGTGGTTTGGTGTGAAACGCTCGGTTTTAGAGAAACTTACCGAGTCAGAATTGTTCACAGTGGTGGTGATAGGAACCAGACGTCCACCTCTAAAAGCGCCCTCACAGAAAGTTATTACATTGTAATAAATACTCAGCCTGATGTCTGAGACACTGTTTCATGATAGTTTTGACATCATATTTTGGCCTAAAAGCCATGCAGGGTGTTCTGTGTTAGTACCCACAATATTATGATGTCATAATATCATCACACTTAAAAAAGACGGCTGTTCAAAGGTTCTTTAGTAAAGAAAGTGGTTCTGTGTAGAACCATGAACACTCATGTTCATCCTCACTCACTGAAGCGTTCTTCAGATTGATAGAGAGCGTGTTGTAGGTGGTTCTATATAGAACCTTTTTGAAAGGGGTTCCATATGTCACCAAAAGGGTTCTTTTGTTGTTACAAGCTCATCTTAACAACACAAAAACCATTTGTGGTGCTATATGGAACCCTATACAAAAAGGTTCTGTATAGAACCACCTACAACACACTTCCATCAGTCTAAAGAACCCTTTAATTATGCAAAGAACCCTTTAATCAGGCAGATGGTTCTTTGAGTGTTCATGGCTCTATATAGAACCATTTTTTTTATTTAAAGAACTTGAAAGAAGTGTGAAGTGTTAAGAACCATTTTTGGTTCTTTAGCAAAGAAAATGGTTCTACAAATTACCATGAACACTCAAAGAACCCTTTGCATGTTTAACGGTTCTTTACATCATGAAAGCGTTCATCAGATTGATGGAGAATGTGCTGTAGATGGTTCTCTATAGCACCCAAAAGGGTTCTTCTATTGTTACAAGATTGACATCATAATGATAGAAGAACCCTTTTGGGTGCTATAGAGAACCTTTTCAGAACCTTTTCAAAAATGACCTTTCCTATTTTACCCTAATCATAAACATAATGTTAGAAGTTTATTTTGATTTTGAGACATTTAGGAGGTTGAAGATGATAACTAGGAAGTCCTGGACCCCCCAGGACCCCCTGTGTTTCACACCTTATTACTGAAATGGAGTTTTAGATGTTAGAGCCACAAATCTGATCAGAACTAGAGCTGAAAGTTAAACTGAAGTGTTGAAACTTTATTTATTGAGACAGAACTGTCGCCATCTGCTGGTGAAACAGTTACTACAAGGAAACCCTGACTTTCAAGTCATTGGATTAAGCCTGATCTTGGGCTAAACTGCAATGCCAACTGTGGTTTGTCACTTTTAAATCCCTCTTAGTCTAGACTTCATCTGTGAAAGTGGCCCAAACTCTTGTCCTCGTGTTAAACTAGTCAGTTCTTGGAATAAACAGTAAAGGCTGGTTCCCTGGTCAGGGATTAAGCTTTAGTCCTGTATTAGACTTTCCTTTCAGTGGAGAATCTCCATTTAGAATGCTGTGTAGTCCAGAGCTAGGCTTAAACCTTGTCCTGGAAACCGACAGTGTGACTCTTAGCCAAGTCAAATGGGCTGAAGTCGTGGTGCAACGGGTCACCTGGATTTACTACGACTAAAATGTTCAATGACTTAAATGAGAGCAAAAAGTAATGAGTTTTAGTTTTGTTGTTAATTTGGAGAATTAATGACTGATGTAAAAGTCCGTATGATTTTTCATATGGAAATGGCATAATTAATAGAAATTTTAAAATAACTTTTTTGCAGCTGTGCTTTGTATTTTGTTGCCATATGGCAACAGTATGTAACAGTGGGACTGCAATCTGCAATGCATACAATGGGAGTAAACCAATAAACCACCACATAGATATTCATCACCCAGGCACGAAAAAATGTGCATAACAGCAAAAGATATTTACAGATATCCATGTTTTGAGAATGACCACTGATGAAGGACTAGAGGATGACCAACACAAACTGTCCAGCAGCAGATGAGCTATCGTCTCTGACTTTATATCTACAAGGTGGACTGACAAGGTAGGAGTGTCTAATAGAGTGGACAGTGAGTGTTTAAAAACTCCAGCAACACTGCTGTGTCTGATCCACTCAGTACCAGCGCAACACACACTAACACACCACCACCGCGTCAGTGTTACTGCAGTGCTGAGAATGATCCACCACCCTAATAGTACCTGCTCTATGAGGGTCCATGGGGGTCCTAACCACTGAAGAACAGGGTAAAAGGGGGCTAATAAAGTATGCAGTATGAGAATATAGAAAGAAATATTAAAACAGTTGTACTTGATTGTAAAAAAACAATGAGAAAATAGCAGCGTCCAGTGGTCGTGTGATCATTTGTTCCCATTGTACGCATCACAGATTGCATTGTCTCATGCTGTTGCCATATGGAAACAACTATATTTTAGAATTTTATGTGAAGTATAATGATTAAAAATGAAACTGTAACCCTCCACATATTGTGCTATAAGTTATACACACATTGTGAAGGGGCTTCAGAATCTGGGCCTCACCATGTGATGTGTGTGATAAAGAGGTCTAGACTGCGACAGGAAGGCATGTGATCAGTTAAAAATATACCATGTGACTCACAAAGTCTTCAGTTTCCCAAAAGAAAAGGAAAAGACTGACTTATATTGCAGTCATGAAAAAAAAGAAATTGTTGCCTTATGGCAACACCATGCATTAAACCTATAGAAGTGCAGTGGAACTTCTTAGTGTATTCAGTGTCTATCAGTATAAAACTATGTTTGTTGGACTCTTTTGGATCCTTTTGGTCTGAAATAAAGTGATAAAACTCTTACCGAGTCAGAATTGTTCACAGTGGTGGTGATAGGAACCAGACGTCCACCTCTAAAAGCTCCCTCACAGAAAGTTATTACATTGTAATAAATACTCAGCCTGATGTCTGAGACACTGTTTTACGGCAGTTTTGACATCATATTTTGGCCTAAAAGCCATGCAGGGTGTTCTGTGTTAGTACCCACAATATTATGATGTCATAATATCATCACACTTAAAAAAGATGGTTGTTCAAAGGTTCTTTAGTAAAGAAAGTGGTTCTGTGCAGAACCATGAACACTCATCCTCACTCACTGAAGCGTTCTTCAGATTGATAGTGTGTTGTGGCTAGTTCTATATAGAACCTTTTTGAAAGGGGTTCCATATGTCACCAAAAGGGTTCTTTTGTTGTTACAAGCTCATCTTAACAACATAAAAACCATTTGTGGTGCTATATGGAACCCTTTTCAAAAAGGTTCTGCTTAGAACCAACTACAGCACTTTCCATTATTTAAAGAACTTAAAGAAGTGTTAAGAACGATTTATGGTGCTATAAATAACCCTCAAAATACTTATATGTTCACTCTTAAAATGGTTCTTCAAGGGTTCTTTAGCAAAGAAAATCATTCTACAAAGAACCATGAGCACTCAAAGAAACCCTTTGCATGATTAACGGTTCTTTACATCATAAAAGTGTTCATCAGATTGATGGAGAATGTGCTGTAGATGGTTCTCTATAGCACTCAAAACGGTTCTTCTATTGTTACTATTGTAACCTTTTCAAAAAGGTTCTGTGTAAAACCACCTACAACACACTTTCCATCAGTCTAAAGAACCCTTTAATTATGCAAAGAACCCTTTAATCAGGCAGATGGTTCGTTGAGTACTCATAGCTCTATATAGAACCATTTGCTTTATTTAAAGAACCATTTTTGGTGCTATATACAACCATTTTCAAAAAGGTTATATGTTCACTCTTAAAATGGTTCTTCAAGGGTTCTTTAGCAAAGAAAATGGTCTCATAAAGAGACACGAGGCCAATCGCAAAGCAGTAAAGACGATAGTCACTACATCAGTTAATGACCGATATGCCAACATTACTTTTCTCACAAATATACTTGTAGTAGAAGTTGTCATTTGAAAATACTCCACAAGTTTACTTACATGTACATGTGACTGCATCAATGGAGCTACCTGCCTCTGCCTACCACCATTAGATGATATGAATATAACGACACAAACAAAGGCCAATCACAACGTCGGCTTGAGGTAACATCCCTGCATCTTTAATGGAATGTCTCTTCACTGTGTGGCAGTGCAGCTAAACTAAACAGTGCAAGCTCAGTGGCTAAAGTGAACACATACATACGCCCAGCCGCACAAACTAAAACCCAAACACAAGCAGTTTCATTTATCACGTCACCAGCTACACAAGCTTTTACACAGACTATTAATATATACAGACATGGAGTTTCCACACACACACTTAGGCATGTTCAGACACGCCTACACACACGGACTCACACTCACAGACCCGTTTACACCTCGACGTTTCATGCGTTTCGAATATCGGGATTTTATATGGATAGTAGAGCTAAACCAAACTGCATTTTACAGACTGCAAACGATCGTCAGTGGATTAACCATCATTTTAAGTCTGCTTGCTACTGCGGTTCAAAATACAGCCAGTAGGTGGCGACAGGGTGTTAATAATCAGGCTGAAGCCCGGCTGCTTGTGTGCTTTATGTTGCTGTGATGGCTTCAGTTGCAGATTCCATCTTACTGACACAGCTTTCTAAGTCACCTTTATTACTTACATATCATATATTATTTATATTGTTTATAAGTCATTTTTATTTTCTTTACAATTTCTTTTATGTGGCTAATTCGCCCTTTTTTATCATAGAAAAGACCACTCAGAGCAGGTCCAACGTACCGTATAGTGTGCAGAAAACATCGTCTTAAAAACCATGTCAGTGGTGGAGTAATGAAGGTTTTTAAGCCTTTAAAAAGTGCTTTACATCAGACATCGTACTAAACCTAAGCTAGCTAGCTAGCAATCCAGATAAGCAGGAAACGTATTTGGAGTTAAAACCGATACTGTCGCCTGGAAAAGTCTCGCAAACTGTGCACAAGGAGCCCCCCGTTGAGCCCGGCAGTGAAAAGCTCATACTTGGCTTGATAAACATTTCTTTCTCCACAGAAGTGCCCGGATTTAAAGCGGTACGTTTCTGTTATTCGGATGGATTTTTCCGTTTTCCATTTCACGTGAAACGACCAGGTGTAAACAGGGTTTTTTTACACCCACTCTTCATAATATGAATACACAGTTTTAAGACAGCATGGTCTTACATTAGATGGTCTCTCACACGCACACAGTGTGACCTTAGCTGATGATGTGGTGCGTCCCAGTGCTAAGCAGTTTCAAACACAGATCAAAGGTCAGCTGGAACAGAGAAACCACTGTACACAGTAAACAATAAAAATGGTGAGTGATGGGGAGAGAGAGCGAGAGAGCATCAGAGAGACTGTAACTATTGTTTGGAGAGAGAGAGAATAAACAAGTGTAGGTCAGAGAGAAACACTAAAGATACATTACTAGAGACAGTTATTCTATTTCAGCGTCTTCCAACACTGAAAACTACCAAACCCATCAGATTAGATCTACAGATCTTCTTGGAAAAGTGTAAGTGTGCGAATATCAACAATCTCTTTGTGAGTGAAGGCACAGAGAAGCTGGCAGTATCAGTGCTACGTTCAAGCCTCAGTCAGCTAATGTGTGTGTTAGTGTCACAGTAATCAGTAACGGAGGCTGTTCAGTGCTGCACTGTACTTTTGAGGACTTAATTAATAAATTAAAGCGTTTAACAGGAATAAACAGACCCCAGAGATCAACTTAAGGGTCGAAAAGCAAATACATAAATATATATAAATGCACACAAATTAGTGAGAATCAGCAAAAAGGAATTCACATTTTTTTTTCTTCACATTTTTCTGAGGACCATCTTTGTGAGGACTTTTACACACTCAGGTCCTCACAAATACACATATACATCTGGCACCAATGAATCCCTCTTTCTCAGTGTTCTGAATGTGAGTGTTTATGACCAAAATACAAATATACGGCTCTGCTGGTGACGTCCGGTATAAATAAAAATAATGCCGTCCACGCCTTAATTAAGGCGGGTCCACACCTTAGTAAGGCATGGGAACAACATCATGCTTTATTAAGCTGTGGTCAAGGCTTAATCATCTCATTCCCACGCCTCATTAAGTTGTGCCCATACATTAGGATCTTGTCCCCACGCCTTACTAAGTTGTGGCCACAGATTTATTTGATTTATACGGGATGTCACCAGCAGGACTCCATACAAATAGGCATGTTTTCTTTGTCAGTTTGCAAAAGGTTCTTTCTGTGAGTTGTTGGTTCTTTCTGTGAGTTGTGGGTCTACAATTGTGTCTGAATCCATATAAGGTGCCTAAAAGGCCCCCCTTTGCGATGGGTCCAGGTGCGACTGCCCCCTTCGCCTGCCCCCCAGCTGTTACGCCACAGTGCTTAGGCTGTAATATGCTGTTATTACAAACCTACGAAGAAAACGCACTCGTTTACATTAAAAACGTTGAAAATGAAAGTGTCCCCAAACTTTTTGATGGGCAGTGTGAACACTTTGAAGTTCAAATCAAAACCTCCTGAAACGCCACTCAAAACCATCAGATTCTTCATTTGGGTTCATAATTTATTAATTTCTCTCTCTTTTTTAATCATGTATAGATCTAACTGATCTCTCTCTCTCTCTCTCTCTCTCTCTCTCTCTCAGTGCACTACTCATACAGTATGTGATGTTATTATGGTAGTTTCCCCTTAAGAAAGTGACTCTTTTTTTTGCTCCGCCCCTCCAAAGTAAGATGCCTCATCCAATCGATTCCTTTCAGACGAGGGAAGCCCGCCTCTCCTGGGGCGTTTCCTCCAATAGCTGAAGAAGCAGCTCATGGAGGGGAGTGGCTATGACGCTGTAACCGCTGGCCGTCAGGTGCAGGAAGTCAAACATATCCCGACAGGAAACGGTGCCGTCCGAGTGCACGAAGCCGCCGCCCACGTCCAGGAACTGCACGGGTCCCAGACGAGGGAGAGAAGCCCGAAGATAATTATTCACCGCCGAATTTTTCTCCCTCAGAGGGTTCGGGAACTCCCCCCTCGGCAGGAGGCCCTGAGTGACAGGAACAGGACAGATCAGGTTCAAAGCCATAATCTACACAATTTTCCCTCTTAGTGCAAATGTGCTCAATCTATCAAGACACTGGGTGCCTGAAGTTTGTTTACTGCACTGAAGCTTATAGGCTAATGTAGCTAACAAGTCACAGAAGCTTGTAGTCCAATACAGGCATCGATACTGGCACTTAAACGCAGTATCGGTATCAGAGATGGGGCAACCGAGACCTATGACTGACACCACAAACCGTTCATGTGCGGCAGCAGACAGAGCTTAACAATATGTCGGCAGTGTGGGATGACAAGCAGCCGTAAAAATGCTCATGGCAGAATCTGTAACGGCAGTTCTTGGTGTGAACAACAAGCTAACAGAGCCGCTTACCTGAACGGCTGAGCTGCTTCTGTCAGTTATCACTCGTCTGCCGCTGTGTGGTCACTTACAGTCTGAGTTAATGTTATTGAGAAAGCGGAATGAACCGTTGGACTTTTGACATAATAATAGCCTTTAGCCTCGATTTAGCCTTTAGGATAGCAGCCCACTAGCCAGACATGTGCGTCCACAACTACCTCTGTCAGTCAGCTGTGTCACTCAGCAGTGGGGTCTTGTGGCCCATTGCTTCAATCAAGCCAGAAAAACACTGTCGCTGATACTGACAGTGTGAACGACAGTGATATTTACTGAACTGATGCTCAGAGATGCAGCGCGAGTGAACAAGACGCACGTCTGAGACAAACAGAACAACATTCAGCTCCGTTTTTGAGCCAGAGAAGCTGCTGTGTGCTGATGTGTCGACACCACAGGTTTATCTGTAGACTGTTCAGTTCTGTTTTTACTGTTTTGCACAATAAAGATATTTTACATTTACTTAAGTTGTTAAACATGGTTCTTATTACTAATTATATAATAGTAAATACTAAATATATATAGTAAATAATCAAAAATAGGTCTTCTTTAGAGTCTAACAAACATAATCCAACAAGTAAATCCCATCTAGCCAAGCTGAGTGTTTTATTTGTGATGCAGAACATAGATTTAACCAAAATATTTCTAAAATGTAATTGTACAAATATCAGGACTTGTATGTGAGTTGGGTTAGATAGTGTTAGTTTCAGTATCGGTACTCAGTATCGGCCACTACTTAAGGATCAGGTATCAGTATCGTAACGGAAAAAGTGGTATTGGTGCATCTCTACTTGTAGTCATACACCATATGGCTAAATGTGTGTTTACACACCTCCTAAATCATTAAATTCAGGTGCTTCAGCCACACCCATTGCAAACAGGTGGATAGAAATACAAACACAGTCATGCAATCTCCGTAGACAAACACTGGCAGCAGAACGGGTCGTGCAGATGAGCTTAGTGGCTTTAAACTATGGACTATGCTGAACTACTAGCCTGCATTTTGAAAGGCTAGTAGTTCAGGATAAAGCAGTTTTTGAGCTGTGCACATGTTTGTTTTGTAATCGGATGTTTAGTCAAATGGTTAAGTCACTCGCTCTCCATGCCACAAAGCAGGGTTTGAATACTTATCAGTATTAAAATACTTATTCAGTTAAATTCCTCTGGCGTTTGAGGTAATTTGATCCATTCTGTCACTTAACTATTTGTTTATGACTGATAACAATAAAAAATGATGTCCTTCTGTTATCTATACATGTGTACAACAGCACCCCACACAGCTAAAACAGTAAAATCGTGTGATTTTTTGCTTTAATGCTAACTGGTGGGGTATAAACTTCTATTACCTGTTAGCCGCATTAGCCTCGAGGCTCCAGAGCAAAAGTAAAGAAGCAAACTTCACACAGCAAACATGTCTTGGCTGATTGAGCACATTTGTGGCCAGGAGAAAATTGTGATGTTGGATTTTTGGCCACATCGTTACTTTAGCAGGCAAATAAATGAAAACACAGCTTAACACACAAACACAAGCACATGTTCTCTTGTCTCTCTCTCTCTTATAGACACACACAGTCTCCCCTTACCAGAACGACGATTTTGGCCTTGGGCAGGCGTGAGTGGAGCAGCTGGACGATGGCCACGATTCCCCCTGCAACCTGCTCCGCTGTGTGCTCATGATTATTGGTTCCAACCCACAGCACCACCACCTGAGGGGAACCAGAACACTCAGTCACTCACCAGTAACACCTTCATAAGGACTGGTTGGGATCAAAACTCTTATACTTTATTATAATGTAGCAATAATATTAAATGCAAAAGAATCACTTCTGCTCCAATAATGATACCAATATTGAAGCCTTGAAAGTCGGCCAACTCTACTCTCCCTAAAAACTGCTAAATTTAAAATTAATGCGTGCATTAACGCATGGGAACAAGATCCTAAAGCACGGCCACGAGTTAGTAAGGCGTGGGAATGAGATAAGTCGTGGCCACACCTTAGTAAGGCATGGGAACTGCTCAACAGCTACAGGGATGGGTGGAGTTAACTCTGGATCTCTACTCTTAATCTGACATGAATAATACTGTCCCTGAGTTCACCATGATGAGCATCTCTTGCGCTCTTTCTATGGCATTTCTCTTTTTTCTTTCTTTGGTGGGTTGAGTTTGCGGTCTAAGACCACCTAACCAAACGATAATGACACAATAAAATGATCTTATACTACATTTGTTTATCAGATTACATATAATTAAAGCTGGCTAGGTAGCTAGTTCACCAGCCAGCCTACACCACACACACCCCAAACTAACTAGGTAGATATGTGCATAGTACAGGCCAGTGGTCACCAACCCTGGAGATCATCTTTCCTGCTGCCTGATTGGCTGGATCAGATACATTAGTGCAGGTAAGGGGATTTGAAAGTAGATCTCCAGGCGCAGGTTTGGGACCAATGGTGTAGGCTAACTTGTGGCTTAGGGATTAGCTAGCTAAGTCAACCTCTGTAGCCTAGCTAGCTATGTTAGCTAACTTTACATTTACATTTATGCTTTTATCCAGAAAGACTGCTTTGTTGTCCACTAGAAAAAGTGTTTGCTAGTTACACGTAGGTTAGAGAGAAAGCTGGTCCTGAGCTCAGAAACTACTAGAAACAAAAGCCCAACTTTAGCAAACGGTATGTTCAAAATTCCAATTTAACTCTTGCTAGTACTGTATTTTGGACATGTCAATGCAAAACGATCTCCTGCTCACACGTGGCCTGATGTTCTCCAGTTCTCCGTTCTGCAGTCTCCACAGAACGTTACACGTGGTGTCTCCTCCAATACCGAAGTTCAGCGCATGAAGAGGTGAAAACAGCTCCCGCCACACCTGGACCAATCAAAGCACAGGCTGTTAACAGTATCCCACCCACCCGAAACGCAGCTACCAATCAAGTACTAGCTTTTATGGCCCAACTGATACAGAAGTCATGTGACCGACACCCATTTTAGGGAACTAAAAATTCTCGCTGCGTCCCAATTGTGCACCTAATACTAATACTAACTGGTGTTTGAGTATGCAGTATGTAGTATAGTCACAAGTGTCAAAGTTGAGTATACTCAAAGATCCACAATGCGGACTTAGAACCAGTCGATTTTTGAGTATAGTAATGATGGACACTATTGTCCCACAATCCAACAGGAAACGAAAAGGGAGGAGCTTCTCGCGTCTGGAAAATTCTGAAAAAATGGCGGACAGCGATGCGAGAGCAGCAAGCGGGACCAGAAATGGTGTATAAATGTGAGTTCATCCCAAATTTGTAAAACATTCTGTAAAAGTTTTCATTTGTTAGCGTTTCTGTGAGAAATCTGTTTGTGAACGCACTGATTTGTTAGCTAGCCTTCAGAGTCTACCTTGCTATGATGTGCGTTGTCATAGCAACGGTTCGTCACTTCCCGTTAGTAAGAATGGCGTAGTATGTTAATATTTTTTTAGTGCACTAACCTGTCGAGCTCATACTATTAAGATTAGTACGCAGTATATCCTGTATAGTATTAGTGTGTAGTACACAATTGGGACGCAGCCTCTGTTAACTAATAATACTGGTTGAAATAATTTAATTTGGTCAAAAACTAAACAGTGGACGGATGCTTGGTGATGTGTTTAAGGTACTCTGGAAGAGTAAAGTGTTTAGCTGACATTATACTGGATTTGTACACTGCTAGAAATGAAGGTTCTGTGCAGCATTCTTCATTCATCAAGGTACAAACAGTGGTTTTAAGGTCCAACTGAGTACCTTAAATAAGCTTTTCCAGGTGAAAAGTTCGTATTTGTACCTTTACATAACCGAATGTTTTAAAACAGAACAGTAAAATAAAACCTGGAGACGAGACGGGGTGTGTGGAGTCAGTACAGCTTAGAACATATCATTTCAGTGGATTATGGCTCAGTTATGTTCCCAGGTACATCTCAGTAAGATAATCCAGCTAATCCAGGTAGATGTACATTAGAAATGTCTATGTATCGGCATCAGCAGATATGTAAGGGAAAAATATCAGATATCAGCATCACCCCACAGGTCCCATATCGCTGCATCCCTAGTTGTCAGTTTTCAACTGTTTTATTTGTGAAACTCAAATAACTGGAAGAAAGTCTTACAAGACACTAGTCCTGTAGTGTTGGGGTAGAATTTTCCAGCTTTCTTAGTGTTTTGTTAGTTTCTATGAATTCATTTTTCTATATATAGTTTTCATCACTTCTCTTCATAGAAGGATTTTGTTGTCATATATACAAGTTCCACTAGATTCCTTCTCATTATCATGATTATGAAGGTGTTTGCTGTTCAGATGTACCAGTTTGGTCTGTATTGCTCATAATGAATGTGATCAGTGTTTACTATCAGCTTAACAGTCTCTTTAAGACAAACTGTTTTAACTGTAGGTGGGATTTTTCAGATAAACCTGCAGCACCTTAATACTGGTCGTCATACTGGTTAAACCTGTTAACATCAGACACGTTCAGACGCAGCCACCCATCAAAGAGCTAATTATCATTATTCCACTCATCTATTAACCAGGATTACATACCACTGAACTGCTAACCGCGAGACCTCAAATTACAAAACAATGCAGCAGTAGCCTTCTGTCCTTTCCAGCACAAAATCCCATTACAAAACAGCTCAGTCACAGACGTTACACAATGGAGCTTTCTGCTTTGTTCTTTATAGCACTGTGATGGCAAAAGGGCCCGACTGGCAATGAGACTTCAGACCCAGCTGAGTTTCTCCATACAGTTAACTTTTAATGATGAATAATATTAAAATAACAAGGATAGAAACAGAAATAGCATAAGTGTTCATTAGTAGTAGCTGACAGTGCAGCCAAAATGTTTGTGTGTGTGGTGTGTATATATATATGATTAGTAATATTAGTAGTAGTAAAATAATATATATATAGTGGATTATTATGGGATGTCCCTTCACTTTTTAAACCATTTTTAACAACTAAAACGCAAATCTACAACATTTTTACTTGGCAGCTTTCTGTTCAAGCAGCAGTCACATTCTGCCACCTGTACAGGTGACTAAATGCTATTGCTGAGTCAGGAACAGGACACTTGAATAACATGCTAACTTCAGGTTTGGTAAATTTCTCAAGCCATTGGTTTCATATCGCTGCTGTCGGAACAAAACCTCTTATCTCCAAATTGAGAAATTTACAGGAGAAGGGAAAAACATCTTCTACGTTTAATGTAAGTCAATGGAACCAAACATTTTTCCAAGTCATTTTAGGCTGTTTCCTTTTGGTCCATTCTTCATGAAATTTACAGAAAACATAAAGGACCACAGACATTCTCAAATGATGTCATAACTGAAAAACAAAAAAAAATGGAGATACGAGGTTTTGTTCTGACAGCAGGGATGTGTGCGTCCCATATACAAGTGCCTCCAACCTTCAGACACTGCTGGAATTTAGAAATATATTACAGCCATTCACGATCGTTAGAGTCATTACAGTTTTGTGCCTAATGCCACAACTGCCCTGGCAACATCCCTGACTCAGTCATTCAGCTAACTGGGAAAACGTTTGTTTCGCACTGTTTGTTTGTTGCATTATCTGCGCTTATTTGTGGTGGACTGGGATGTTTATAATACAGCTGACAACCGAGGAAGAATATCAACTGTTGTACTGGATGAACCGACATTCTGGCCACTACTGCTGATTCCTGATACACCAAAATGAAAATTCAGACACACCGAAAAAGCCCCATTTCAAAACCTACGGCTGCAGATGGGTGAAGGTGTGCTCCCAGGGACTTCCCTTTCTGCTTCAGCTGTTTCGCCATATTTCGTGTATCGAGCAAGATGCAACACTGTTGTTTAACATTCCTTGTAGAAACTGATATTAGTTGCACACAGCTGACATTTTCACTGTTGATCAGCTGCTGTTCAAACTGTTTGAACGCATCTGTGTTGACGGCGCAAGAGAGTGAATGAAAAAACATCACTAGCCTATTTTAAGCAACTCTGACTATTTTCGGTTCGTGAAATTTCAGTGCATCCCCAGTGCTGACCATTTTGTGTGTGATCGTCATTGGAGGTCATGAACAAACTGTAAGGAAACTGACTGGGCAGAAAAATCAGCCGTAAGCTGAAACACAAACCTCATACTGCTGCATCAGCTGCACCATGGAGTCACCTACAAACAAGACGTCAGGTTCTGCATCCTTACACTCCTGAACGAAGCGATTATGCTGTACACACAAACACACAGAGGTCACATTATCAGAGTGTCTGACCTGCGCGGTCAAGTTAACGTAGCTAAATTCCTTCTGGTTCAGAAAATGCCGAAGCAGCTGTTATTAATAGTGATAATCAGAGTGAAGTGAACAAAAACATGCAAAGACACTTTCCTTAAATAAACACACACCTCTATACAAATATATAGAGTGAAACAAACATTTGGACACTTTAATAACAGGTAAACTTTCGGTTCTCTAGGTAACTTTATAAAATGTTTGATAAAATAATATCTGTTCCAGAGAAAAACACTTCAGCACAACTTCAAACTGATTGTAGACTTTTTGTGTGGAGACAAAACAGAGAAGAATTCAAATTATCCAGTCTATAACAGCTCATGAATGGACATCTGGTTAACCTCAAGAAAGGAAGGGCAAAAAAAAACAAGAAAAAAGAAAAAAAAAGTGTATTTTCTACTCCAACATCTGCCGACACGATGTTTGTCATAGAAATACATTTTCATTCCAGACCAAGCCAACATCAGCTAGAGTAGTGAAAATTAATTAAGGCTAATTAATTACACAGCTGCACTAACTCAGCTGCCTTCTCAGTCACATCCTTAACAATGTCTCTGGCAACATGCTAACGTTTAGGCACTCGTGTTTCAGACTAGCGACAGGTGTATAAAATCAAGCACATAGCTATGCAGTCTCCACAGACCAGCACTGGCAGTAGAATGCGTCCTACAGGAAAGCTCAAACGTGGTGCGCCACCTTCGCAACAAGTCAGTTTGTGAAATGTCTGTCCTGCTAGATCTGCCCCAGACAACCGTAAGTGCTATTATTTTGAAATGGAAGCATCTAGGAGCAACAGCTCAGCTACAAAGTGGTAGACCTCACTAACTCACAGACTGGGGCTGCTGAGGGCTGAAGCATGCAGCATGTAAAAATCACCCATTTTCTGTTGCATCAAGTCCCAAACAGCCTCTAGAAGCAACATCAGCTCAAGAGTTGTGTGTCAAGAGCTCCATGAAACGGGTTTCCATGGCTGAGCAGCTACAAACAAGCCTAAGATCACTATGCGCAATGCTAAGCGCTGGCTGGAGTGGTCGCCACTGGACTCAGTGAAGCAGTGTTTACATGTTTATATGTTCTCTAGAGTGAAGAATCACTTCCCTATCTGGCAGTCCGATCTGAACTTGGCGGGTGCCAGGAGAGCGCTACCTACTGGAATGCATAGCAACTCCATATTAATGCCCATGGTTTTAGAATGGGACGTCCAACAAGATCATATGCGTGTGATGGTCAGGTGTCCACATACTTTTAGCCATACAGCGTATATACATACACATCATGAGTAAAAATAAAAACATATATAACTTCCCTGTTCCTTACGTTGCTTTGCATAAGAAGTGTCTGCTGGGTAAATATATACGTTCCAAAACACACCTTCGTTACTTATATTCAACACCTTCTGTATACATGCACATCTACATAAACCTGCTCCAAACACCACAGACAGACAGGAAAACAGACAGACCTGTGACATCCAGCGCCCATCACCCTGGACGTCCTGCACTGGTAAAGGCTCAGCGGCAGGGTTCTCCTCTTCACTCATCCTCTAAAACGAATATTTCCAAAAGAAATGAAAGGTCATGGTTATTACACACTTCATATGTCATGTTGATGTAAAACAGTGATAAACCTGAAAAATATGTTTTATTTAGGCACTAGTTTTGCCTTACAATGCCATCAAAACACAATGTGTCAGGCATCAGGCAGAGTATTCATCACCATTTCATATAGTAATATTCAGTGAGGGAGCTTTCGGAGGTGGATGTCTGGTTCCTATCACCACCACTGTGAACAATTCTGACTAGGTTTCTCTAGAAAGGACCATTTCACATCGAACTACTCTGAATGACTTTGTTTACATCTTAGTAATTGAATTATAAAGTAATTTTGAAAAATTGGTGGAGTTCCCCTTTCATGCATTTCTTTCCAGGCCCCACCTCTAGTCCACCTGTGTTTTTGAAGGGAAATTCCACTAATTTTTCAAAATTTCTGTGTAATTAAATGGCTACATGTCAACAAAGTCATTAAGAGCAGTTTGGTGTGAAACGCTCCGTTCCAGACAAACTTACAGAGTCAGAAGTGTTCACAGTGGTGGTGATGGGAACCAGACGTCCACCTCTAAAAGCTGCCTCACAGAACGTTACTTCAAAAAATGGTTATGAATTCACTGCCGGATGTCTGAGACCTTGTTTCACAGTAGTTGTGCCCAACAGTGCCCAAATACAACTAAGACCCGTGTGGGTTCACTGGTGGTATTGGATAGTAACTATAACGGCTATATTTGTGCTGTAACCATTAGGACCTCTGGTTCCCATCACCACCACTGTAAATCTGAGTCTCTACGTTTCTCTACACATGACTTATTTTACATCAAACCACTCTGAATGACTCTGTTTACAGCTTAGTGATTGAAATATAAAGACATTTTGAAAAACTGGTGGTGTTACCCTTTCATGCATTTCCAGCATTACTTTCCAGGCCCAACTCTAGTCCACCTGTCTTTTTAAAGTGGAAATCCACCAATTTTTCAAAATTTCCTCGCGATTAAATGGTTAACGTGTCAAAGTCATGAAGAGCAGTTTGGTGTGAAATGCTTTATTCTAGAGAAACTTCCAGAAACTTCACAGTGGTGATGATGGGAACCAGACGTCTGATGCGTTTAATGTCTCTAAAAGCTCCCTCACAGTAAGATACTTCAAAAAATAGTTATGAACACACTGCCTGATGTCTGAGACATTGTTTTACGGTAGTTGAGTGACAAAGTTTTGGTCTAAAACGTATTTTCATCAATTTATTTGAATCCGTTCATGGTGGAGGAACACTGAAGGGTGTTCTCAGGCAAAATGGTCCCCAAAGATAACTTACTTTTTCAGACTTTTGATTATTTTACCATCATTAACATATATAAACTCAGAAAACACGTGTAGGTTCACTGTTGATTCTGGATAGCAAACAAAAAGGCTATATTTGCACTGTATACATTGGGCCCTCTGGTTCCCATCACCACCACTGTAAAGCAGTCTGAGTCTGTACGTTTCTCTGCACATGAATTACTTGATATCAAACCACTCTGAATGACTCTGTTTACATCTCAACCACTGAATTGCCTAGAAATTTTGAAAAATGGGTGGAATTCCCCTTTAAGGGCAAGAGAAAGGCTCTGGCTTCAGCCTTAATCCTCTGCTCAGTCTGTCAACACAGACAAGCAGAACAGTGTGCAAGTGATACAGGGCCAAAACACCTCACCTCAACCTTCCTCCTCACCCTCCTCATCACTCCACTGCTGCACCTCCCACACCAAACACACCACCTATCCTTCTCACTCTATCTCTGAATCCAAGCTGGACCAAATATGAGTTGATATGAAGATGACTGGATGGACATGGCACTGATCTCTGCACGCAGGCTTTGCCTGTAGTCTAATGTCTAACGCACAAGGCCTCCACCCCAAAGCCCAAAGCCCAGAGCTCAGAGCTCAGTGCACATCCCACACAGGCGGGCTACCTGCTAAAGGCTCCGAGGATGCTGCTGGATGCTATCGGCTGCTCCCGCCGTGCACTCCCGTCCGGCCCCGGAACGACGAAGCGGGTCGATCACCTCCTCCACACCCCGAAACCTTTCGCTTAAACCGATATTCGACCCGCTCTGCGTGAATCACGGTTAACGTCTCCCTCACCGTGTCCGACCGTGTCTGCCTCCCGTTTTCCTCTATAGAGCGCACTTCCGTCCGCTGCTCTCGTCACGCGCTTCCCGTTAAAGCCCAGTCCCGCCCTCTTTAGGTTAATGCAGATCACAAACCGGGACACTTTACGTAATAAAATAAATTAAATAAATCAGCATTTTTACACGAGGTCATTTTTTCATGGACTGCTCGGGTTAAGATGCGGTGTTCGGGCTGGACAGACTACTTTAGTGAGTCTAAGCCTTAACGGACTTTAGATCTTCTTAAAACACCGTATTTAGTCCTGCGGTCGTTTTGGGATCTTCGGTTCTGCGTTATGAAACCCCTTTTTGTATGAGAGCGAGGTGGCTTTTCAATGACGTCATTTATTTGCTGTCGCAGGACTGTGTGGCGGCCTGCTGCTGTAGTGGCGAGACGCGGCCACAAGAGGGCGGCAGAAGCGCGCAGTCAAAAGTCACAAAGCCACGCTTTGACCCACAGAAACAGACACTGAGCTTACCGAGTTCATTTCATTTGTCTCCCGCTTTGGACTGTTTTTAGAGCCAAGTAGGACTTTTATACACAGTTTTAAGGCGTCATATTTTGGTAAAAGTTACAATAACTGATTTTCAAGCTTACAGAATTATATTTTCATTGTGATCTATTTATTAAATGGCGTTTAATTTTAGTACTTAACATCAGAGAGTCTGTAACACACATTGAAGTTATTTTATTCATGACAATGATTGTGATTATTATTTATTGTTATTATCAACAATTATTTACTATTAATTAATTTATTACTCATTATTTATTTGTGTGATCATCATTATTATTATTATTGTAATTTATTCATTGTTAATAATACGTATTATTATTTATTAATACTTATAATTATTATAATTATAATTTTTTTTTCTATATAACAATGTGATATTCACTCGTTTAAAAAGCTTCGAACACTCCTGGTCAAATTCAAAATGTTTTCTTAATTTTCTAAGTGAAAATAAGTGAACACACTCTCTACAGGGAACCAATGTAAATCTGTTTATGTTCTAAATGAAAAATAAAATAAAACGTAAAATATCAAATGTGCCATTAAACTTTTTCACGGGTCAAATTTTACTTCTTTATGTAAAAGAAAAAAGACCCACTGAAATAATGAGAGATCAACAACAGCCACAGGCTTCACCCTGACAGTGACCAACCCTCACATTAGCCCACTCCCTGACTCAGAACAGCACAAGCAACACGCACGCATGACTTAAATTAACAAACAACAACATTAAACCATACAAACAGTCCCTTTGTCGGAGGGCGTGTCTACCATGAGCCTTTGCGTGTGCCTGTGTGCATAAGGACGTCTCCAGAGCCAGAGCCAGCCAGAAGTAGTCCCTACAGTAATGTTAATATCTGTAATTTTGAAACTTATTTTCAAAATATTTATTCATCATCTAAACACTTATCATCCTCTGGGGCAATTTAGCATCTCCAGTCCATCTAACTGCACCTCTTTGGACTATGGCAGCAAACTAGAGCCCCCAGAGGAAACCCACAGACATGAAAACACCACATAGAAAGGACCCTGGCTGCCTGGGCAGGGAATTGAATCCAGCCCCTTCTTGCTGTAATGAAACAGCACTAGCCATAGCACCATCAGGCCACCTCTCTCACAAAATAACAAAATATAATTTGCCCAAAGTATTAAATAAGACTGTATGCACTGTGAGAAATAAAGGTTCTATGCAGGTACGTTTGTAAATGTACCTCAAAGGTACAACAGTGGTTTGAAGGTCCATAAGTTTTTTCCAGGTGAAATGTACATATTCGTACCTTTTCATAACCTAAGCTGGGCTTAAGACGGGGTATGAGGAGTCAGTACACCTTAGAAAATATAATTTCAGTGGATTATCGTGCAGTTATGCTCCCTGACTAAAGGTACTGAGATGTACCCTGGAGGGTCCCACCCCAGTGGCAGGAGGGGCACTGCCCCAGTAACAGTTTCGTACCTTTATATCTGCGAGTGTGTAATAATGTGGACTGCTGTGGTTTGTAGTTGTTGGACACATACAGTCAGGTGTAAACAAAGTGCCTTAAATATCTGTTTTAATTTTGCAGCAGAGTCTCTGAGGATTATTGATCCAACCATCCACTTCATTATCAGCTCCTGCCGTGTGCTTCCTCTCACCGGCCTCTTCATGAGCTCCACCGGCCTTATAGGCCTGCCATGCATGTGCACAGTTACAGACCATCTGTTGCTGCATAATTTATCAGCCCCCATCTACCTCATTCATCACAGGCCCGTTTCTGACCACAGGACTGCTGTTGACCAGCTGTGGACCGTTCGGAAGACTGTGTGTAAGGATAAAAGTGTATATAGCTGCTCTAATAAAGGTAGGCAACACTAATGTCCATCCTGTAATATGATTACAGGTGCAGTATGGATTATAATAGACTTTTTGTGTACTTTGGAATGTAATCTGTCGTTCATGCACAGGCAGTAGTTTTATGCATGCTTAGATATTTTGTACGAAGTTCCCTACAGATACTGGCTGGAGGAAAGCAGCGCTACGTAAACTGTAGCTATGCTGTGTAAACTCTAACTGTAAATATTTTGTCAAGTCAGGAAAGGCGCAGTAGAAGCTCTTGGCTTTGAATATTTCTGAGAGTTTCATTTGCTTGGAGAACACAAGCTTTATATGTGTTACATAATTATTATTATTATTATTATTATTATTATTATTATTCGTCATTATGAGTGATGACAAAAAAGGTCAGTTAGGCACTGTCAAACGTCTGAAGAATCAACTAAATCAGCACAATTTATATCTCTCAGCCCAACAGTGGTGGACAGTAATGAAGCAAATGTAATTAGTTTCTGTACTTAAGTAGTTTTTCATGTATCTGTACTTTACTGAAATATTTACATTGTTGGTGACTTTTTACTTTCACTCCACTACATTTCAAAGTCAAATATCTCACTTTTTACTCCACTACATTATGAGAAATACTTCATTCCTTTTGGTTTATGTGTGTATAAAAACGTAACGTGTCAAAACAAAAGAAGTTCAAAGTAAGAACACCAATCAGGGCACAGCGCACTTTGTTTTGAGCTTGTTTTGACCTGCTGGTCATACCGACCCAGTGCAGCACACGGTTCAACGTCAGTGCAGCAGCGTAAAATTTTGGGAGAGTCTATTCAACATAAATGATGAACTAACCTAACTTTGTGTAAATAGACCACAATATAGACATATGTACACATATGCAGTTGTGACTGATGCGTCTTTATTCTGAATTTCTACAAACACCATTTCATTTTATAGTAAATTTGTTTTGGCTAGTTTATGTTTATGAACAGAGACCTACAGATGCAGTTTAGTAAAGGAAAACTCATTTGTGAATCTGAGTTTAAAGTTTTTATTAAACTTAAACTTGTAACTAATCTGCAAATAAATCTTAAACTGAAACTTTGTTTGCTTGCAAAAAGTTATTTCAGATCCACTCAGTTCCACCTAATGGAAACTGTTTACCTTCAATGTTTTGTGTTTATGATAATGTTAATAGACATCAGTGTCAGACTAATTAATCACAATCTATTAAAAGACTGGTTTACCAAGAGTGACACTGGAGTATTCTCACCTAAAATGAGTTAACAAAGCAAGAGTCGTCTTACAAAGATGATAACAGGACATTAGAGTCACAATTGATCTTTTAGTACTTTTACTTAAAAGTACATTTGAAAGCAAAAAAACAAATTTTGTACTTTTCCTTAAGTGGAGGTCTAAAGGGAGGAACTTCTACTTTTACTGGAGTAATATTTTACCTTGGGTATCTCAACTTTAACTCAAGTACATGACCTGTGTACTTCGTCCACCACTGCAGCCCAAGACTGGTTTTCCAAACGCAAAATGATGGGCCAAAAGAAAGCTTGAAACCTGCCAATCTGGCAACACTCCACTCCACCGCTGCGGCGCTGCGCTGCAGTTCCTAGAACCGCCGCTACGCCGTAATATCGCTGTTGCTCGCTTTTTACACCAGCGGACACGGTGTGAGCAGGTTGAGTCGAGCGTCTCTGAACAAACTCGAATAACGAAGATTTTCAGCGTCACATTAAGACTAACAGGGGCTTCTACAGCTTCAGCGGGGACTCAGGATTCCTCATGTGTCGAATATGGATGTACCTGTTCAGTGCTGTAGGTGTGCTGGTCACACCAGGTGAGTGACAACATGGAGCCCAGCTGAGCTGCGCTTCCTCCTCGGAACTACTTTCCTTCCTTGTCACTTTGAATTACAGTGTTTACAGTGCAGGAGAGTTAAAAACCTCAGCCAGAGGCGCGAGACTCAGCCAGGGAGGTTCTAATATAACAATGACAAGCAAATTAGACGCTTTGGCTGTAAATTCTGATACATTTTGACTTCTAATCTACCTACAAAGGACATGTAGCTCCAAAGTTATGTGGTATTTGGTGGAAGGTCTAAATGCTGTGTCTGTGGGTGTTTCTGGCAGTGGCTCTACAACACCAGCCATCTTTGACATCTTTGACATCTTTCCTATCTCTGACATTCCTGAAGCCAGGTTCCCATAAACACCTTGAAGGGTTGTTGAGTTGCAGCGTTTTTCTAATGCCTGTAATAGAAAGTATGTAGAAGTTTATATGGACCGGGATAAAATCTCTGCAGAGTAGAAAACAATGACTGTCCTTTTGAGACAGAAGGGATGGAAACCAGTTACACTGGTTTGGTTCACAAAGAAATGCCCAGGTCAGGATTTCTCAGTCGGCCCTTAAACAGGTTCGGAGTGTGATTTAGTAGAATAGAAAAACTGTAATGTAAATTTTAGGGATTTTAGGGATGGGATGATACACATTTCCTGTCAGTGTCCACAGTTTTGGGTAGTATGGAACCCTGATGGTGACATGGTGGTGTAAATTAAAATAATGCATGGCCACGACTTACACTGGGGAAAAACTAGTATCTTGTCAAGTAAAATTCTGTGAAATCTAGTCGATATGTCCGATACTTCTCCTGTTGATATTGTTCTAAGCTTATTTTAAGATTATTTAACTTATTTCCAAACATTTTTTACTTGTTTTGAGTAACTTTACTAGGTGTAATGATCTCACTATAATTGCAGACAGTTTAGCTTGTTTTAAGAAATGTGCTTGAAACCAGCTAAATGATTTGCCAGTAAAGTGAGATCATTTTACTCAATAAAATAACTTAAAACAGGTAAGAAATGTCAAGAAATGAGCTAAATAATCTTATAATAAGTGCACAACCTTCTCAAAATAAGAAATATTAGATATATTGATTAGATTTAAGATCAATTTACTTGAAAAGATACTATTTTTTTACAGTGTAGTAAGGTGTGGGAACAAGATAAGCCTTGAACAGCTTAATAAGGCACGATCTCATTCCCACGGGATGTCACCAGCAGGGCTCCGTAGGGTAGCCTGTTATCCCAGTATTTTTAAATTGTTTTAAAATGCAGAAAGTGATTTCACCACAGATATTATGTTGACAGACTCACCGTTAAACCTCTTGTATCTTTTTTTACAACAAAAATCAACTACAGTGTCAATAAATCTGAAGATACCATCTTTTGCTCAGATTACTGCTGTGTAAACGTGCAGTCCTGGTGTGTGGTTTGCAGTGGGACATTTACTGCCACTGTGACTGTTTAAAAGATGCTAATTACTCATGGTTATTGAAATTAAGTGTGTTTACATGCATTATTACATCATTTCTTCAGTTATCTGATTAGCACACTCAGATTTCTTAGATCGGAGTAAGGTCTAGAAATCTGATTAAGAAATCTGAGAAAGAGAGCTGGATTTTAGCTCAGTAATCAGATTTCTCACCGCATGTGAACTCTCACTCTGATTTCTTTCGGATTTCTCAGTCTGCGCATGTGTGAAACAGACGATGGATGTTGCGAGATGGTAGCAAAACACTTTTGGAGCGACGCTGAAACCAAACACATGCTTGACGTAAAAAAGGATATGTTCGTATTTTCAGGTAAAGTGGCGCGATGTTTAAAAAAAAAAGCCACGTCATGAAGTTTGAGTTTTACGTTATGTTTACACCACGTCATCTTCTGTGAGTTCATTGGCTGGTTGCAAAGCAGGAATCTGATCATTGTCAGACTCATGTAGACCTGGAGTTTCCCCCATTATCTGATTACTCAAGTGCATGTAAACGCATTAATCAGATTACTGACAAAATCTGATTTTCTGCAGTTCTCGGATTATTAAATGCATGTAAACACACTCAGTATTAAGGCAGAGCTGGGCGATATGGCCAAAAACGTTATCACGATAAACAAAATTCATATCGTTCGATATCGATACATATTGCGATAAATGTCAAACCATGATTTCTTTCACGTTTGAAGGCTGATTTTGCTCCTGGGTGGTTAATTGTGGTTTTAAACTATCACTTATGGTCCGATCATGATAAACACTCACCAAACAGTGGAACATTTCACTAATCTGTCATGGAAGAGTGGGAGAAAGTTTCTGAGCTGTTTTTACCAGCTGGAAAAGCACAGCTGCAATTTTTGTAATAGTCATGATTTAAGAAAGAAAATTATTATTTTAGCTGTCTGGTGTCGAGCGCTCGGCTACCCCGTTACAAATGCTAAACAAGTGGCCAACAACAGAGCAAAACTCTTTAGTTTCTCAACAACGTCAGCTCGGTTCGGTAGGTCACCGCTGTCACTCCTACCACATCCATGTCAGAGCAGATCACAGTATTCAGACACCAGCTAGACGGCTGGGTTTCTCTATGCTACCGTAGTAGTTTAAGGGGTGAAACGCAGTGTATCTGACGCTCGCTGTGTAAAAGCATTATCTGCAGTGTGAATCTCTCACACCAGTCACAGAGTCCTCCTTTTAGGTATGTTTAAACTGAAAGCGGTGATTTTGTGTCTTGTTTGATCTACCGTATCATCAATTCACCGTGTTTTGCCGGAGCGCTGCTTCAAGTTAGCCAGCAGCTAAAAACAGCAAGCCTGGAAAGACAGCGCTCTCCCACTCTCCAATGCCTCACAGCTTCCTCAGTTTACTTTCGAACATGAACCCACTTTTTTATTTCACTTTCGTTGCTCGAGAGTGCACTAACACTAAAATATGGCGGTTTGGCGCTGTAACACGGCGCTGCAGACGTGATTTAACACTGCTGAAGTTGTTAGGAGGCACGGAAAGAGGTGAGTTCACCGTAGGACAGTACAGTTACACCACTGACCTCGTCACTCAGACTCGGTCACAGGAGAACAGATCGCCGATAACATCCACTCAGGGTTAAAGGGCGCAGATTAGGGCTGCCACCTCTGGACAGCCCTGTGGCCACACATTAAAAAATCAGAATTCAGTTAGACTCACTCCTGATGTTTCTTCCAGCTGTGTTTTGTCTTACAGTTTTCTGTTGTCAGGAGTGGTTTGTTCTTCAAAACAAGTGGATAGAAGCAAATTTGGACAAACCTCGGTTTGTCAGTCATACTGGAGATAAGTAGCTGATGTGGTGCTCAACTCTATAAGACACGAATGTTAGTTTCTTCAGTGAGAATTCAGCAGACATTGGGTGGATGGTAGAGGACGAAAGTTTGATAGGCTCTAATGACAGAAACACAGCCATATTTAATTGTGAAGCGCATTTTGTGGATGTTGAGTGGTTTGGATCTTTGGTAATCAATGTCTTGAGTTCTTCATCTTCTTGGACCGAGCAGTAGCAGTTCTTTTTGGGGATTCCTTCCTTGGTCCTTTTTCAGTTCTCCATTTCAGACCAACACTGGGACTTGTGCTAGCTCTCTTTATGATTTGCCAGTTATGGTAAATGACACAGTTGGACAAATGAGGTGGCAAAATGCACCCCCCCCCCACACACACACACACACAATTTGGAAGAACCAACAAATGACGGTTAAAACTGTAGACCTGGACACACAGCCTGAAAACCAGACTGTCTGTGTTGAACAGGGATGAACCCCAGCGCAGATGATCGCATTTATGAATGAAAAGCGCTCATAAGCAAGTATAACTCTCAGTGCTCTGCACTGTAAACAAGCCAGGGCAACCTGAAATTTGAAGGCAACTTCTTTGATTTAGCCCAAGTTGAAGGCCTGACTCAGGTTCCTCGAGATGGTCTAAAAGTCTGCCATTCAGGAAGCATGTAGAAAGCAGTATTTAGAGATCCACCTCAGTGATAGAGGAGTAATCAGGTGTGCTGTTGTTGTTCGGAGCTGAACATGTAGCGGCTTGTTTTTGCAGGTGGATTGAAAAAAGGGCAAAGATGTTTTCACAGACGTTTAACTCTGATAGACTACGTAACATCACAGTGCTGAACTCGTAATGATTACAGCAACAGCATCCAATGATAAATCTTAATTATATTATATTAATGTTGAATACACACACGTAATGTTTTACAACATGTTAATCGTACAGTTATTTGAATTATTAAAGTTTAAAATTGTATGATTATCAGTGAGTTTCCTGTCTTATCTCAGTATTTTATTGGACACTGATGTCCATCTCTGGTAGAGTTCTCATTTCTCAGCAATGAAACTGAAGATTCTAGTAGTTTGTGGTGAAGAGAATCTCTCTGAGGGGTTTGATGTGAAATGCTCAACTCAGAATTGTTCACAGTGGTGGTGATGGGAACCAGACGTCTGAAGAGTTTAATGCCTCGTAAAGCTGCATCACAAAAAAGTTATTAAACAAATTAGTTATGAATACACTGCCTGAAACCTGAGAGAGTTTAATGATAGTTTTGATGTGAACTTTTTGAATCCATGGATGGCAGAGAGGCACATGTAGGGCATTCTAAGGCAAAATAGTCGCAGAAGAAAACTTATTTTCAGATTTTCACCATCATCAACATTACATATAAGCTCTCAGAAGACTCGTGTAGGTTCACTGGTGGTTTTGATAGTAAATAAAATGGCTATATTTGTGTTGTAGTCATGGCGACCCTGGTTCCCATCACCACCACTGTAAAGACAACTGAGTCAGTACGTTTCTCTATAATAAACTGTTTTACATCAAACCACTCTGAATGAATTATGTAGGAAATCGGTGAAGTTAAGGATGAAGGTTCTGAAGTTCTGTAGCTGAATATCAGTCAAAATGTTCAGGTTTTCTACAACATGCACTGTTTTATATAGATCCAAAGATGTAAATGTGGATTAGCAGTTCTAGGAGTGTCTGGTTTAGATATGGAGTCTGAAGACACTTTCAGTACTTCCTCTCTGTTCCTCTGATGAGCTGCGTTCCGTGTCAGGGTGTGAGCTGTTTGTAGTGAAGGAGTGAAGGAGTGACAGGCCTCTGAGTGGTTTCCGTCATCAGTTACGTAAAGATACAGAGAAGACTTTCAAATGTCAGAGATTTTATTCATTCTTTCAGCCTCCCGTCTCTCTCTCTCCATCTCTCTCTCTCTCGCGCTCTCTCTCTCTCTCTCTCTTTCCTCTCCCCCCTCTCCCCCCCTCTTCCCCCCCCTTTACTTCCCCCCTCTCTCTTTCCTTCCCCTTTCTCTCTCTCTTTCTGTCTCTCACTCTCTTTTGCTATTTTTACCTCCTTTCTCTTTCTCTCTCTCTCTCTTTCTATGTCCTTCTCTTTCTCTCTCAATGTCCCTCTCTCACTAGCTCTCTCTGTCCATCTCTCTTGCTCACCCAGTCTGTCTATCTCTCTATCTGCCTCTCTGTTGCTCTCTTTCCCTCTGTCTCTCCATGACTCTCTCTCTCTCTCTCTCACTGTATGTCTCTGTCTCTCTCTTTTCACTCTGTCTTTCTCTCTCTCTCTCTCTGTCTTGCTCTCTCTCTCTTTTCCCCTCTCCCTCTATGTCTCTCTTTATGTCCCTCTTTCTCTTGCTGTCTCTCTCTCTCTCTCTCTCTCTCTCTCTGTCGATGGTTTAAGTCTGTGTTTGTAAAGGCTGGTCAGAGTGAATCACTGTGTGTGTGGAGGGAGGTGGTGTGTCTGAGTGTGTCTCAGTGTGTGTGTGTGTGTGTGTGTGTGTCTGAGTGTGTGTCTGAGTGTGTGTGTGTGTGTGTGTGTGTGTGTGTGTGTGTGTGTTTGTACACATGAGGAGTGTGAATGTTTAGATTAAGGATGTAAATAAAAACTCTTGCTGAGATTGTTCTGGTCTATAAATGACCACTTTGTATCAAATAGTTTTACATGTTTATATGACCATTTTAGCAGTGGACGTCTCAAAGATATGCTGGAACGTTATGTCAGGAATCCAGTCTGACTGGACGTTTTGCTCACGTAGACAGCAGAGATGATACAGAAGTGCAAACGTAAATCTTTTAGCTTTCGTTATTGACACGATTTTAAAGTCACTTTAGCTGCTTTACCAAATAAACAGGCAAACAATAGTATATATATATATATATATGTAAAATCCTATCTGCTAATTCACCCTTTAACCTTTAACTTTGGCGTGTAGACTGCAGGTCACATAGCGCAGGTAACAATCTCGCCTAGCTAGAGAAAGATTTAAGACGAACATTGATAACTTAAGAGATGAATAGACTTATTTGTGTTTATAATCACTCCAGCTGGTTTCCTGATACGTTTAATCTGCAACGAGAAACTGTCAAACACTAAAAAGCCTGTTGCACCATTTAAGGTGGAACAGGAAAATTCAAAGGAAGCTGGTGAATAGGGAGCTGATTTCAGCGTTCCGAAAAACGAATGTGGAGAAACATTTTACAAGAAACTGTTCTATTTTTGGAAAAGTTTCCTGCCGGAGATGTGAGAAAAGCAGCTATAGCTGGGCTAAAGCTTAAAGCAGGGCAAAGCAAGTCTCGTCTCTTCTCTTCTCTTCTCTTCTCTTCTCTTCTCTTCTCTTCTCTTCTCTCTTGTGGCACCACTGGGGATCAAACTCAGCAACTCTTAGGTTGCACCACTCAGGAGCTCCTCCACCTTGAGATTTCTAGCTTCTTATTAATGGTTTGAAGTGTGTGAAGTTGTGCAGGACGAGCTTATCAGAATCACTGTATCCACCCAGATTGGTGTGTATTAAAAACAGTGGCCTGTATTCACAGAGCCTCTCTGTGTGCGAGAGCTGATCCACGATCAGATTCCTCTCCTGCTTACTGTGACGTCACTGACAGGGACAGATCCTAGACCAGCACTGCTGTTCTGGGTAAATACGGGCCATTGATGTCAAATACTTGAACAGTACTGTACGTCTCCTGACTTTCTGGTATCCATGGCGACCAGGTGCTTATCGTGCGGCGGCAATGGAGGTGACCACGCCCAAAGAGGTGACGGCGGTCAACGGGACAAGCGCGCTGCTAAAGTGCACCTTTAAGTCCACCCATCCCGTCTCCGAGAGCTCAGTGGCCGTCACCTGGAGGTTCAGACCCCTCGGCCAGACCGCCGAGGAATCGGTGAGAGAAATAAACATTTTTTTGTGGACTTTTTTTTAAGTACTGGAATCAGATGCCTGATTTTTAATCATTAAAACTGGAATCATTTTCTATCACTTTTTTAGACTTTCTTGTTAGAACAGTGTTAAAGGCGTCCTCAGACGTGAATGTTGTTTATATATTTCTTCTCTTCACCTTCTTACTTTTCTTATTCTTCTGTTCTTTTTTCTTTATTTACCTTTTCTTTATCTGATCTCTCTTCTATTCTCTCTTCTCTCCTCCTTCTCTGTTCTCACCTTCTCTTCTCTTCTCTTCTCTTCTCTTCTCTTCTCTCTCTCTTCCTTCTCTGTTCTCACCTTCTCTTCTCTTCTCTTCTCTTCTCTCTCTCCTCCTTCTCTGTTCTCACCTTCTCTTCTCTTCTCTTCTCTTTTCTTCTCTTCTCTCTCTCCTCCTTCTCTGTTCTCACCTTCTCTTCTCTTCTCTTTTCTTCTCTCTCTCCTCCTTCTCTGTTCTCACCTTCTCTTCTCTTCTCTTCTCTTCTCTTTTCTTCTCTTCTCTCTCTCCTCCTTCTCTGTTCTCACCTTCTCTTCTCTTCTCTTCTCTTCTCTCTCTCCTCCTTCTCTGTTCTCACCTTCTCTTCTCTTCTCTTCTCTTCTCTTCTCTCTCTCCTCCTTCTTTGTTCTCACCTTCTCTTCTCTTCTCTTCTCTTCTCTTCTCTTCTCTTCTCTTCTCTTCTCTTCTCTTCTCCATCTCTCTCCTCCTTCTCTGTTCTCACCCCCTCTTCTCTGCTCTTTTTCTCTCATCCTCGCTTATCTTCTGCTTCTCTTCTCACCTTCTCTTCTCTCTCCTCCTTCTCTCTTCTCACCTCCTCTTCTCTTCTTTTCTCTTCTCTTTTTCTCTCTTCTCCTTCTCTTCTGCTTCTCCTTCTCTTCTCATCTCTTCTCTTCTCTCTTCTTTTTTCTTCTCTTCTCTTCTCCTTCTCTCTTCTCCCCCTTCTCTCTTCTCTTCTCTTCTCTTCTCTCTCCTCCTTCTCTCTTCCCCCCACCTTCTCTCTTCTCTTCTCTTCTCTTCTCTTCTCTTCTCTTCTCTTCTCTTCTCTCTCTCTTCTCTTCTTCTCTCTTCTCCCCTCTTTCTCTCTCTTCTCTTCTCTTCTCTTCCTGTCTGCAGGTGTTCTACTTTCAGGGAAACTCCTACCCTCCTTCTAATGGCCGGTTCAAAGGTCATGTGACATGGTCTGGGAACGTTATGAAGAACGACGCTTCCATCACGTTACAGGACGTCCAGTTCAGTTTTAATGGAACTTACAGCTGCTTTGTGACCAACCCGCCTGACGTCCACAGCTTCACCAGCGAAATCAGCCTCCAGGTCGTCCAATCAGGTGAGACCAGCTTCCTGAACAGAAAAAAAAAAACTAAAAGAATAAAATCACCGTGAAACATAAATCACAACACACTTCCTCTCGTTGAATGATTGGGATGGGAGAGGGAGGTGGAACATGACATTATGGGTTAATATTATTTTGCCCCGCCCACTGGTTCACAGTGATGTGGTGCGTGGAGCAGAGTCATGACACCTCAGTCAATCGGTATTGTAAATTATAAGATATTGTGTGTTCATGTAGCTTAATGTGAATTAACATTGAGAAAAAGGTCAGTTTTGATTTCTGATTGACCTTAAAGACACTTTCAGTCCCTGCCAGACGAGGCTGAGTTTGAGGAACTTCTCTCTTTCCCTCTTTCTCCTTGGTCGGGTCGTCCTCGTGTACAGCAGCGATTATTTTTGTCTCCGGGTGTCCCTGTTACTTCTCGCAGGGCAGATACAGTGTAGATGAAGGTTAAGCAAACAGACTGATCTGCTTTTCTTTTTCCGTCTGGCGCTGATAGATTAGATATTTCTGTCCTTGAGCTGAGGAGCTGGAGGTTTTCACTACATTACAACAGTACTAAACTGTACTGGCTACGTTGCTATTTTAATTTGGTTGCCTACAATTTTTATCGTTTACCATTTTATGAACGTAATTTGAATTTTAATTTTAGCTCTAGAACTTACTGATTACACTTTTACAAACCTGGTTTCTAAGTTTAGTCTGCAGACTTACTGATCACAACTTTGTGAACCTCATTTCTGTTTTAGTTTATTTCCCTAGTCCATGTTTTGTCAGCTTTCTAAATGGAAAAAGGTGAACACGACCTCTACAGGAAACAAATGTAAACATTTTTTTGCAAATGTAGTGCACAGTTTCTGTTTATTTGCTGAATTTTATCAACATAAAAAACTAAATGTGACATAACTTTGTGGCCCAGGCCACATTTTTTGTTTCATTATGGTCAATTCAGCAATTTTAACAGTAATTTTGTGTTAAGTGTGTTCTCTGTAGAGGATGTGTTCACTTATTTTCACTTCAACAAATAAAAATCAACAAATAAAAAAGTAAATAAAATAAAATTTGCCAATAAAGGAAAACAGGAAGCAGAATTATTGAGAAATGTCTTGGGTCTTATGAAAACAATGAAAGGTGCAACTTCTGATTGGTGTTATAACAGCGATAAGTAATGTTTGTTTATTTGTATGTCAGTTGGGAGCTACTGAGTATTGAGAGGAAGCAAGACAGCTAATCAGCTAGTTTGGCTCTGTTTGCGTGCACTTTAATAGCTGCGTTCAACTAATGCAGCCAAATATGCTGGAGCCTATCCCAGCAGCCATTGGGCGGAAGGTGGTAAACACCCTGGACAGGTCACCAGTCCAGCGCAGGGCATAACCTTAAAGCAGCCAAATAAATAAAAAAGTAAAACGTAATGTCTTTTACTTATCACTTTCTGGTATTTATTTGGCTGCTGAACAGGAAATAGTAAACTAAAATAGTGCATTTCCTGAAGAAAATGCAGAGTGATTGCGTGGTTGCAAAGATTGAAAGGCAGTTGCTGTGGTATAAGGGCGTAGCCGGTTTATGAGGAGCCTGACCACTTCCTATTTCCACCGTTATATCAAAAACAGAACTGCAAAGCAACAGAGGGTGCCTGCGAGCGAGTCCTCAATGAATGGGGGGTGAATGGAGCTGAACGGCTAAAAACAAAAAGTTAAAAAGTTTCTGATCACTTACCCAGAACTTTCCTTTAATTTTAGAAAGTAGAAGGAAGTATTTCACTGAAAAAGCAAAGAAAACTCACCTGTATGCTTCCTTTTTTGGGCGTACGGACGTCGTGGACGTACATGGGGCGCTGTTTTAAACTCCTGTAACTCGAGTTTAAAAACTCTTAAAAATATAACAGTGGTGTTAAAATGTTTTATGCTGTTCTGTGTTCAGGAAATGATTGTGTTACTTTACATTAAAAAAAGCATTTATAAACTATGATTTTGCTCAAACGCTCCATCTTAACCCATTCATTCTGGACTCGCTCGGGAGCGCCCTCTAGCGTTTGAGACACCCGGAAGACTTTACAGAGTGTTAATTCTCTTCTCTACAAGTTCTCTGATAAGGGTTGGTTGCTAAGGTGGTGCTAGAAGGTTGCCATTGTATATGGGGTGTTAACTGAGTGGTTGTTAGGGGGTTGTCAGGTGGTTTCTAGCTATTGTTAAAAATGAATAGGAGTCTAGGGGAGGAATGAAGAATGAAAAAACGACACATAGAGGAGTGCAGGTCAGTATGGCTGTGGCTTAAAGTGAATACTGAGTGAGTACATGCAGTTTGGTGGCTGTAGTTCTTGGATGTGGGTGAAAATGAATGGGACTCTACGGGAGGAAGGAGGGATGAAAAACAACAAATAAAGGAGTGTGGGCCAGTATGGCTGTGGATTAGAACTTGGGGACCTGCCCTAAGTGAGTACATGCAGTTTGGTAGCTGTCGGGCGAAGAAATAATAGAGATTTTGTGGGGGCGAAAATGAATGATCCTCTAAGGGAGAAATGAGGGATGAGAAAACAGTGACAAACAGATGAGTGCGGGTCAGAACAACATTGATTGCCTGGCAGACAAAGCAAAATGTGGGTGCTCTTTTATCATGTTCCCACAGATTGTCCAGCGTTTGTGCATTACCCAGTACATACTTTCACCTGCTCTATTTTTGTTCTCTCGTTCTGTCGTTCTCTCTCAGTCAAGCTTTCCGAGATGGGGATCCTGGCAGCAGCTGTGGGCGGAGCCATCCTGCTCGTCCTCCTCATCCTCTCCATCTTCCTCGCCGTGCGATACTGCCAAAGAAAGCGTGAGGACACGGGCGTGGAGCTGGAGAAGACAGAGTTTAAGCAGGAAGGCTGTTATTGAGAGAGAGGCAGAGCTTCGCTTCTTTCCTTCTTATCTGTGTCAGGACGTCCAGAAGGGGGCGTGTTTTTCCACCAAAGCCGTGTGAATCATCTTCCTGAATTCCTTCAAAGACCGATGCTTCTTATGTTGCGGCTCAACAGAAAAATGAAGAGGACGAAACTGTTAATTGGAGATTTGAACTGAAATTAGGGCCAAATCGTTTTTCTCTTTAAATAAAGTTTTAATATTTTTAGATATCTTTGTAAAGCCTGAAGATATATAAAATCATTTGAGATTCTTTAGAAAGAATATTTTTTTAAACTACTGTCTTGTTTTAAATGTTAGCTGCTCTGTGTTTTGATGGATTCCGTACTTGCTGTTGTATGCTTGTTTCCTCACGTTGGTGATGTTTCACTTCAGATAATGTTTCGTTGATTGGGATTCTACCAAGTGCCTTATTACAGTACACATCTGCTTTTTAATGGATCTACACGTACACAAAGCCTTATTATGGCCATTTAGAAACCGCAGTGCTGCATGGTTAGCAGCACGTATGTTTACTAGCATGGGGTTTATGGTGTAATACCACTTGTTAAAGGTTTAAATGCACGATAACCAACCAGGAATGATTTTCCTGTTTCAGATTAAGCCCAGTCCTAGAGAAGAAGTGATTTTAACTGAGCATTCAGTTGTTTCTGGAACAATAAGTGCTCTGGCTTAGAGAGATTAATAAATTAGTTTTGTAGTACAGATTAATCAGGATTAATTTGGATATTCACAGGGGATGCGTCAATATCATTTTTTTCAGACCAAGTATGAGTACATGTTTTTAGTCCTTGGCGCAGTGTACTTTAGCAGTTAAAACGGTAAAATCTAAGTTTACACGAGGTGCATTAGCTAGCTATGCTACATTAGTTGCCTTGGATCGTGTAGCGCTGCAGTGGAAAAGAGCCAGTTTTGTTCCACACCAGAAAAGCACTTCTGTACAGCTGCAAGTAAAGTATGTTTCATAGTTTTGATCTTCATCTGCCTCTTTTAACAACAGTCTCTGTAGCACAGTGACAGCAGCAGTCACATCCGAGGCTAACGCATTGTGGAGTTTTACGTCTTGTTGGAGCGCATTGATTGGCTGGTTGAGCTGTAGCTGAATGTCCTCTAAAACCAGGTATACAGTGAGATTTTTTACTCACTCTGTATGTATAATAGACCATTGTGTACGGACGACTCACAAGTCTGGTCAGTTAAGCAGGTTAAAGTTGGCATATACAGACTTTGGTGAAGTCAGCATGTGTGGGCCAAAATCAGACAGTGTATGCCTGGTGGAAATCTGCCAAGTCTGACTGTTTAAAGGGACCAATGATGGTGTTTCCCACGTTAATATTCCTTAACCACAGTTTTATTGCGAAGCCTGCTAGCTAGCAACAGATAAGAGCAATGAAAGCTTAGAATCCTAGCTAATTATCCAGGACTACCCCACATAGCTGGGAAAACTGATTAGCTAAGATAATAGCATTTGTTCATAGCAACCTAGCAGAAGCCAGCTAAGCTAGCAAGTTAGCTGAAGCACTTGCCTGAGGCAACAGAGCGAGTAAGACATGTAGATGTCTCAGTAGGCATCGCTAGGTAAGAGACTTTGTAACGTGTTAAGAAAATAAATGACAGTTAACGTGACTTTCATACTGCGGCCTTCAGTGTTCTGAGTACTACAGAGCCGATACTGCCAACTGCCAAATAGAGCAGTGCTAACTGTCCCAACTACTTTGCCTAACGAATTTGAACATTTCTGGGTATTTGTTTACCTGTAGACGTGTTTAATTTGCTGAAATCACTTGGAAATCCATTCAGAATCCCTCTGTCTACTCATCGTTCCAGTCTAAAATCACAGCATAAGCCTGTTTGGAACTTTAGCCTGTGAGTCTCGCTAATCGGTGCAAAATTACTCGGTGGGGGTCGAGTTTAGTGCATAGGGCCTGGTGATTTATTGATTTTGCTGAAGATGTCTGGTTAAAGGTTATGGGAAATTCAGAACTGCCCAATTTTCCATCTGTGTTCACACGTTTATGAGAAAACTGAGAGCTCAAATTAGTCACTTTCTGTTGATGTGTATTTTATGTTTATCCGCTTCACTCTTGTGTTTGTGCATGTTGTGCATGGTTGTGTGTACATATGTCTGCTTACTTGTTGTGTATCCATCAGGGAGTCAGTGGAGGTTGTGCATCGATATGGGAATTGTGGGCTGATTCCGATATCCAGTATTTTTCACTTACGCCTCTCCTGTTGCCGGTATATGAACAGTTAGCATTACAAATACTGTAAAATGAAAACGAAATTAGCACAGTAGCCTGGCGCTGCTGTTTCAGAATACAATAAATGCATCATAAGTTGGTTGGAAATATCAGTTAACATCTGTAACATCTGTCTTGTGCTAATATTATTTGACAGTTGACATAGTCCAAGTCTAGATGTAAACCATATTCACAAAAGGGCCCTGAAGGTCTGAATGTGATCCACATTTCAGTTCCTCACTCTCATAATTACAGAACGTACATATAATTTTAATACTAGTAGCTACTGAAAAATAAGCCCAGGTTTCAGGTGGTTAAGGAATCACATGCTATTTACAATAAGCTAAGCAAGTTGACCAACACTTCTACTGTCCACCACACTGACAGGTCTAGATCCTCTGAACAAGAAGCTGACGATCGTTTATATAGCAGTCACACCAACCGTTATCTGGTAATAATTCCTTGACAGAGCTGCTCCTTTTTGTTTGCATAGAGTTTCAAAGTGCAAGCAGGAAGCTGTTAGCGGAGATGTTAACCATAAACCTGTCTAATTGGAACATGTTAGCCCTGGTGCAGACTATAGAATGGCCCAATAAGAAAACGTTAGCAGAAATGCTAACAACTCAAAGCTTTTCAAAGACTCAAGGCCTTGTCTGACACAGCCCTTGTGTAACTTGATTTCCTTCATTTATTTAATTTCCAGGCAAAACAGCCACTGACTAAATTATTCATTTCTCATTTATTTACAAATTACATAGAGGCCTTGGTTTCTTCAGCATTTAGTGGATCCATGTTTAGCACTTATTATAGCTTCCATTCTTTTCAGGAGACTCGCTTTCAGTTTTTCAAAGAAATCCACAGACACGCCTCCAAAGCTCAGTCTTAGAAGTTGGTTTTGCATTTATTGCTTCTCTTGATAGGTCTGTTCCTTTTCTCAGTGAGGTTCTTCTTGAACAGCTACACATCCTTTCAGACCCACAGCGCTGAGTCGTCTTCTCACAGTGGAAGGATGGACAGAAACACCTGTGGATGTTTTCAGATCTGAAGCAGCTTGATTTTCTCCTCTCTCTCAAAGATGAAAGCTTTAGTTGCTGTTTATCTGATGGGGACAGTTTTAGTGTCTACCAGGTCTTGCATGATTACCTTAATTTCTCAGAAATATCTTGTGAAAAATGAATAAGTTGTGCTTAATGGCTGTTTTGGCTGTAAATGAAACCAATGAAGGTTGTGCTCTGACTTTGCACAGCAATGTAAGTACATCTGTATGCAAAAATTGAAAACCCCAGTCAAATAACATGTAAAAATAGGTAAAGACATCCTCTACAGAGAACACACTAAAATAGGGCAGTTTTTATAGCACAATTTCTATTTATCTGCTAAATTTAAGAAATTAACAAAAAGAAATTAAGCATAAAATATAAACCGTGCTGTAACTTTTGCAGAGGCTGCTTTTTAGGTTTTACTGTTTTTTTCCAAATGATAGATTCAAGAAATAAACAGTAATCATGCATTAAAATCAACAAAACAGGGGGTGCCCAAACTTTTGCATACAATTGTATATATCTACACACTCAATCCCACCACACGAATTTAACTGCCCATGTACTTCCACAGCAGGCCTGAGAGAGCCTGTGTCTGTTAAATACTTCCTTCATGTTGTTTTTATATGACAGACTGCCTGTTTATCATTATGCAGTGTATATAAAGAAATATGAACTTTTTAAATTTTATTTTTCTGAAATTTTCTGAGTGCATTTTCTACAAAAATGGTTACAGAATGTATAAATTGCTGTTAATAAAATGAATGAATAATTGAGTAAATTTGTGTAGTGTGTTTTGTGTCTGAATGTGTGAGAAGCTGAATGACGGATTCTGGGTGTATTTTAAATAATATCCAGCCTTTCATGTTGGGCCACTTATGATAAATGTTATGCTTGATGCCAAAGGACACTTTGTACACACAACCTTGCGTTGTTGTGGCTGCAGTTGTTTTCCTTCACTTTTTCCAGCTCATGTCTTCTGATGACGTCCTCATGGTCCCAAACCACATAGTACCAAACTAAACGTCCTACACTATTGAATGGACTTCTGTTGGTGGTGTACTATTTTTGACATACCATTTAGTGTGGTAGTATGAGGTTTTGGACGAAGTCCATGCTCTTTATTTGCTAAAGAGTTGACCTGTGCTTCACGCCACTGTTAGATAATGAAAGTAGAGACCATATATTGTGTTAAATGGCGTCCTCTGGTGACTAGGAGTGTCAAATAAGGCGAGTTAAGCTATTATACTGGCTGTGTGTTACTGATTTACAAATATTCAGGGTAAAGTCTGAGTAAAAAGCCTGACTCCCAATTCAAGTCATGTGCAAAGGTGTGGAAATAGACAAGAAAATAATACAATAACAACTGATAATGTAATTTTATTTAATCTACTGGAAAGAAAAAAACATTAAATGTGGCCTGTGTGGAAGTTACATGTATGATATGATAGTTATATATGTTATATTGTATGTTTTATTTTATTTCAAAATAAAAATTTTTGTTAAATTTTAGAAATAAATAGAAATTGTGTGCTAAAATTTGCAGAAAATGCTATATTTAAATTTGTTCCCTGTGGAAAATGTGTTACCTTATTTATACTTTGAAAAATTAACAGAACGTGTCGTCTGACCAGGGTGTCGAATTTTTGTATATGAATGTATTACTGATACTTTTCAGCGTTCTCAGTTATTAGGAAACAGCCACAGCTTTGTTCATCCTCAAAAATGTCTAAATTTAGTTTGAAACCGATAGAATATTCGCATCATGTATTTGCATCAAAATATTTCTATTTATTATATGTTATTCTTGCTCTTACTATTATTCTGAGTCAAATATTTGCAACATTAGTCATTAGACAGTTTTCAGGCTACAACTACAACACCTTCAGGGCCCAACCATGAATAGAGTGCTTGTGCTTTTTAACCAATTTGACCTACAGTGTTTGTACATTGGGACATTTGGGACATTTCACTTATATGTAATGTTTATAGCTCTACTTTTTATTCCACCACAGTCAGGATACACTCTGTAGTCAAATGTTTTTAGACACTCCACTTACATATGCTAGCAACACCTTCACAACCACCTGGGATACCTTAGCATTGGCCTAGCAACACCTTCGCAACCACCTGGGATACCATAGCATTGCCCTAACAACACCTTCGCAACCACCTGGGATACCTTAGCAACGGCCTAACAACACATTACCAACTACCTGGGATACCGTAGCATTGGCCTAGCAACACCTTTGCAACCACCTGAGATACCATAGCATTGCCCTAGCAACACCTTCGCAACCACCTGGGATACCTTAGCAACGGCCTAACAACTCATTACCAACTACCTGAGATACCATAGCATTGCCCTAACAACACCTTCGCAACCACCAGCGATACATTAGCAACAGCCTAGCCACACATTTCTACGGAGCCCTGCTGGTGACATCCCCTATAAATAAAAATAACGCGTGGCCACGACTTAGTAAGGCATGGGAATGAGATAATTAAGCCTTGGCCACAGCTTAATAAGGCGTTTCCACGCCTTATTAAGTTGTGGCCGTGACTCAATTATCTCGTTCCCATGCCTTACTAAATCATGGCGTCATATTAGGATCTTGTTCCCACACGTTAATACGGTGTGCACATTACGGTGTGGGTATTATTTTTATTTATACGGGATGTCGCCAGCCTTAGCAACCACCTGGGATGCCATAGCATTGGCCTAACATTACCTTAGCAACCACCTAGGATATCATAGAAATGGTCTAGCAACACCTTAGCAGCCACCTGGGATAGCAAAGCAACATCCTAGTAACACCTTAACCACCTGGGATACAACAGCCTAGCAACAGCCTAGCAGCCATCTAACAATCACCCTAACAACAAGCTGGAATACTACTGCAACCTTGCAGCAACACCATAGCCACCACCTGCAATTGCTATTTAAACTCAAGTTATCCAAAACAATCAACAGTGTTCTGCAGCTGCTTTACCTGTTCACGTTATTCATGAACTTCGTCAAGCCAGAGGTTGAGAATAAACTTTCTATTTCTAGATGAAACAGTGATTCCAGACCTTTGAACAGTTCATGCTGCATGTATTTAATATAGCAGAGACAGTTTAATGTATGTTGTGTGTAGCATAACTGTGATGGTGTGTTGTACAGTGATGGATGAGTGAGTTCAGTGAGAGAGGGAGTATTTATATGAATTGACAGGTGCTCAAAGTAATGTGTGTGTGTGTGTGTGTGTGTGTGTGTGTGTGCGCGCACTCACACTGCAGTATATCCGGTAGTGCTGAGGGAGGCTCGTCCCCTGCCAGACACTTTGCTGCACCAGCAGAGGACACCACCGCTGTGCGCGTGTGTGTGTGTGTGGGAGTGTGTGTGTGTGTGTGTGTGTGTGTGTGTGTGTGTGTGTGTGAGTGTGTTGGGGAAAGAAATGCAGCATTGATTGGAACTGATCCAGCAAAGTGGAAAAAAGAGCAGGTCTTCTCAGTGTAGCAGATAGCGAGAGAGAGAGAGAGAGAGAGAGTTTGCTGCAGATGAACTCAGAAGCCCCAAAACTCTGCCTTTAACTGCACCACTGCAGTTCCCCCAACCCCCCCCCACTGCCACACACACCCTCCCTTCCTCATAGTGTCCCAGCAGGACAGCAGGACAGGATGACTAGATTCCACATCCTCAAATTGGGACACAGTGTAGAACACGGGTTACATACTCATACAGTCAGAACAAAACCTTGTATCTCCATTTTTGTCATAGTTGAATGTTTAGTTGTTGTAAGGTTTTGGCGCCCCCTCTGGCACAAATAGGAACTGTCCTGGTCAAACTGAACAGAACTGTAAGCATTTTTGTTTTTAAGTATTAAACAGATTGGCAGTGATTGATAGGCCTTCTTCAGTTCAATTTACTGATTTTTCAGAATTGCATAGCGTTCCAGCTCTAATTGTAACCGGAGACATTATAAAGGAGGAGGAGACAGTGTGCTGGCTCAAAAATGAATGTGAACATTCATAGCGTTTAACATGCCTCCTGTTTGTGGGAAAAGTCCCACCCTTCAGTAAAAAAGAGCCAATCAGCTTGCTGGTAGAGCCGCAAGTGGGGAAAAGCCCTGGAGAACAACCCAAATTTAAAAAACAATATTTGAGCCAAGTGCTGTAAACTATGTATGTGACTTCTGTCTGGATTTATCAGTAATTTCAAATATGTTTTTGAAATGTTAACGTGCCTTTCGGTTTCAGGTTAAGAGTTCTCTCCCCTTTCAAAGATGTAGGAGCTGGGTGGGTTGTATGACTGGTAAGATTGGTTGCCAATACTGGACAGATTTGTATCTGCTGATACAAATATATAAACATTTAGAAAATGCAGATATTTGGACTACATCCACTTAAATATCTAGATATCGGTCTGCAGCCCTACTTTTTTCCTTTTCTGTTAAATGCAGTTTTTGTCCGATAGTGATGATATGTAATGGAGTTGTGTATACCAGATACTGTTCTGTTACTGTAACACATGACTTTGAGTGGCTTAAAGGGCTCTTATGAATGGTTAACCCTTTTCTGCGGGTCCCCTACCGACCATTCTGCCGAGCGAATTGGAAAGTGTGATATTTTTCATTTATATAATCTTCTAATCTATTTTTCCCCATAGCCCTGTTGTCAGATGAACTAGAACACTGTTGACTCTCTGGGTGTGAAATGTTGTGTTGAGCTGCTAGTGAGCAATGAGGGCTGAAAAGAGAGGGATGCGAACTCCCAGCTGTGAAAACAAGTCCTACCTCTCCACAAAGACGGCCGTGTCGAGGTAAAACGAACAGTACAATTGCAGTTTTCTTCATATCAACCACATCTGTACAACTGATACAACAAAAACTAGCTTTTCAAGACAATAAAAACACTTTTATAAATGGTTTTTGATTTGCTTGCTCACCTATAAAGATGAAAATCCAGTTCACCTCTGGTTTAGTAATTCATATACATTTTCATCAGAATATATTTCGTCAGCATTATTGAAAAAAAATCTGCGCTAACACTGATAACTGAAACAGGTGGAAATTGCATTTTATGGCTATCGTGAAATGTCTATCTGCTGTATCTGTAGCATGCAATTGGTGGACCATGTGGACTATAGATAAGCTAATGGCCAGATCCTGAAGCAACTGGCCATTGGCTTCCATTATAATTAGGTTTACAGCACATTTTCTGTTATTTAACACATTAAAATCACAGGCTTATTACATACTAAGGTTTATTATTCAGTAACTACAGGGACTTGTAGCAAACTGGCTGAGCTATTCTTAGGTTATAGAAGTGTAATAAACCTTTCAGCTTTCTGCCAGCAGGCCTTGGACTTTTAAGGGGTTAACTAATTACAGGAAAACATAGAATTAGGTAAAATAAAAAACAGTACTTTCCCTGTTTTAACAAACAAGACTTTATCCCATGAAGGCTTTGATTATTATCTGTTAGGCTAAATCAGGTGTGGATTTCCAAACTTAAATCCATGACCAAAGTTATCTGACCAGTGTTTCTCAAACAGCATGCATGGCTATAAAATAAACTGCCACATAATATGTCTTTGAACAGGCTCGTGTGTCCAGTCAAGCACAGTAGATGTTGTGTAAAACAGTGATAAGACTAAGAGCGGTCAGACACAGAAGGGCACTAATGGAACTGTTCTTTAGTGTGGCTTTCAGCAATAAGGGAAATAAAAAATATGTGAACTCATCACCATGACTCAGCGCTCTGGACACCCTGCAAATGTGATTAGTCTTAAACTCCACCAACAGAGCTTTTCCATAAATAGCGCCACCAACAGGAAGTAGCCGTGGCTATTAATAATAAATCTGCAACTGAACTGCAAGGAAAGCAAAAAGAGGCTTTTTGAGCTGCACTGGAGAGAGAGAAGAGAGAGGAGCATGCTGGGAATCAAAGCAGTTACTCTGAACTTTAGCCTGGGTGTGTGAGAGCCACCGTACAGCTCACACTGTACATACAGTGAAGATTATAAACGATCCAAACGTCAAATCTGCCAAAGTGGGTGGTACTAAGTACTGAATTAGAAGGGTGCCAAAACTTTTGCACATGACACAATTTTCAGTTTTTTTCTATTTTTTGAGTTAATCAAATATGAAGATACTGTGTTAACATTGGCAGAAAATGCTATTTTTTAAATGGTTTGCTGCAGAAGTTGTTAAAAAAAATCAAGCAATATTCTGCTGTTTATTTCTTATAAAGTGTTTTTTTATAAAAAAAAATTAAAAAACTATTTTACTCTGTTTTTAATATATAGATAGATAGATAGATAGATAGATAGATCGATTTTTACTGAAAAATTAAGTAATATTAAAAAATGTTTTAAATAATTGTATTATTTATTTTACTATTTGTTTTTATGTATATATACATCATGAAATCTAAGTTTTTTACTGTTTTCAATTATTTTTATTATTTTAAAATAACGTGCTTTGTTTAAAATGTATAAATGACATTTCACAATGGTGCTAATAATATTTCCATTTTCATAAAATTTTATCTTTCTGAAATGTTTAAGTGTTGTTAAATGTTTACATCATCCAGTATGAATATATTAAAATTAATCATTTAATGGAAAAGCCTGTTTACATCCACAGGTGTTTCTGTCCATCCTTCCACTGTGAGAAGACGACTCAGCGCTGTGGGTCTGAAAGGATGTGTAGCTGTTCAAGAAGAACCTCACTGAGAAAAGGAGACGGACACATCAAACAAAGAAGCTGAACAATGGACTGACCACCCCAGAGTCCAGACCTCAACACCACTGAATGGGTTTGGGATTACTCTATATATACTCTGTAGATACTCTATATGTATCTATATGTGAGGAAATTGTACACCTAACTCTAATTTTAACCTAAGTAAGTAAGTCAGGACCAGTTTAGTCCTGAAAAGGTATGTAACACACACACACTTATGAAAGTATCATGTGATGCTAGGTGGTGGGAAAGACCTGAGAAATGGCACACAGAAGTCATATGTACAGGATTTCAGTGTATGACCTATACACACACCGAGAACTCCCTGAGACTCAGATGACCATCCGGATAGGGGAACCTGACACTGCTGGAGGAGGGGGTGAGGGACAGGAGTGGACGAGAGAAACGCAGTCATGAGAAATTAAAATCTGTCAATCTGAGTAAACACGTTCATAGTCGCTGTCCCATTACAGCACATGCACACACACTGGTGTGAATTCCTGTCTTTGTGGGGTGTTTTTTCTTTTTCAACCAAAGGATCAGCTTTGCCCTCTGTTACTTATGTACCAGTAACAACTACATGTTCATATTTTTACTTGTAGTTTGACTAGACCTCGAGCTGGGACACTTCTCACTGTGGTAGTGGAGTTTGACTGGGCCACGAGCCAGGACACTTCTCACCTCAGTAGTGGAGTTTGACTGGGCCACGAGCCGGAATACTACTCACAGTAGTAGTGGAGTTTGACTGGGCCACGAGCCAGGACACTTCTCACCTTGACTAGGCCACGAGCTGGAATACTTCTCACAGTGGTAGTAGAGTTTGACTAGGCCACAAGCTGGAATACTTCTCACAGTGGTAGTAGAGTTTGACTAGGCCACGAGCTGGAACACTTCTCACAGTGGTAGTGAGGTTTGACTAGGCCACGTGCCTGAATACTTCTCACAGTGGTAGTGGAGTTTGACTGGGCCATGAGCTGGAATACTTCTCACAGTGGTAGTGGAGTTTGACTAGGCCACGTGCCGGAATACTTCTCACAGTGGTAGTGGAATTTGACTAGGCCACTAGCTGGAATACTTCTCGCAGTGGTAGTGGAGTTTGACTAGGCCACTAGCTGGAATACTTCTCGCAGTGGTAGTGGAGTTTGACTAGATCACAAGCCAGAAAACGCCTAACCGTGGTAGTGGAGTTTGACTAAATCACGAGCCGGAATACTTCTCACTGTATTAGCAGTGTTTGACTAGGCTGTCAGCCATGACACTTCTCCTGCTTTGGTGGAGTTTGACTAGGCCGCCTCCTAAGACACTTTAAACTGTCATAGCATAGTCTGACTAGGCCATGAGCTGGGACACTTCTTGTCACAGTAGCAGAATTTGAATAGGTTAGTGCTGGGACGCTTCTCACTGCGTTAGCAGAGTTTGACTAGAATAGCAGAGCTGGCCTAGACTTAGACCAGGGGTGTTAAACTCAACCAGTAAAAGGGCCATCTCATCAAATCTCATCAAATCTGTAGGCCTGGGAATTTTTTTTTTATTTCATTTTTAATTAATGTTGTGCTATAACTCCAACTGGCCACGGTTTATTCAAATTATGCAAACACTTCAACAGTAAAATGCAGATACTTGTAGCAGATCTTGAAAAATTACATGGACACATGTCCCCAGATGTCCACAAAAAATGTCCCCAGATACTCAGTTCATTAAGACTTGGGCTCAATTTCTGAGCTGCTGAGCTCACGTCAGGTGTTTATATTGGTTTAACTGCACCTGCAGTGCATTTTGGTGATATGACCGGTGTGGAATTGCCCAGAATTGTGTAGAATTGAGGTGTAACTGCTGCCTATAGATTGTTGTTGGGGTAGGAGAGTTGGCGCACGTTATGTTGCAGTGCATGCTGGGGACTGTAGTGCAGCACATTGTGAAATGGGGTAATATTAATAGAAAATTAAAACCTTTGTGTGTGGCGAGACTGATCAAATTTTTTTTTTGGACAAAAAAATAAATTAAATAAAATAATTAAGAAAGCAGTGCTTGGACCCCTATAATTTTCTCTACCAGTTGAAAAAATGGTCTGTATTTTTATTGAAGCTCTCTATGAAGTGCAGTGGACTGCTCCCAGATCAGATTCTATGTGTGGTGATTTAGGTTACAAAAACTAGCCTGAAGAAGACTTAGCACAACTCTAAATCGCACAGGAAGAGAGCGAGGACGAAGGAAGAAGAGGGGGAGGGTGGGAGAGAGGGGGTGAGAGAGAGTGGGAGGGATGGAGGGAGGGTGTGGGAAAGAGAGGGGGGACAAAGTCAGCAGCCCAAGAAAAGTTGAGCGAGAGCCAGATTCTTTTCAGCAGAGAGAGAGAGAGAGAGAGAGAGAGAGAGAGAGAGAGAGAGAGAGACTCTGGTCTTAAGGCTGCAGTAAAAGAGAACTGTTCTGCTGTCCCGGGATGAACAGCATGTTCCGTGCGTGAGTGAAGGTACTGGAGCAGCATCAGGACCAGAACAGCGTAGAGAGACTGTGAATCTGTGTATTTGTATCCTGCGGACACACTGGATGGTACTGCCCTCTGGAATTCTCTCTATAGGACACACGCAGAGTTACCTGCGCAGCAGAGGAGGTAGGACACACTCGGCAGTCTCTCTGCTCCCACACACATACACACTGTAACTTACCTCCACAAAGTGTTTCATGCACTCATCTTCATCTTCTAAAGTTAGTTAACCCTTTAAACTGGAGGCTTTTGGTTTAGCTATTAATCTTAAGATTGAACCTTTTTAACAGTAGCCATAAAATGCTGTTTCAGCCTCTATTAGAGGTCCTTCAGTTGAACCAGGCATTTTTTCTGTGCATTTGTGTTTTTGATGGAATATATTTAGATGGAAATGTGTAGTGCTGGTACAATATAGCATACAGGCTTTGAATACTCATTTTGGAACAAGTACTCGAAGACACATCAACATCACACTCATACACAGTAATGCTTAGATTTCACAATTCTTCATTAATGTTCATTAATGCAGTTCAAAATATGTCCACAACAACAGTGTGATCAGGTTAAAGCCCATCTGCGTACATATGTTGCTATAGCAGCCAGGATTGCACCCCTGTCATACAAATACAGTTTTTATGAGGCCATAAAGTCATAACAAATTAGCAATATCTTTTTATTTATCACAGTCACAGTTTTAGCTTTAGCTTGTTTCAGCTTGTTGCTTTTACTTGTTTGAGATGTGAATGATTTTCTTCTAGATGAGCAAGCAAGTCAACATATATAGAAGCAGTTTTATTGTGTTTAATTTATAGGCCTATATTTTTTATTATATTTCGATTTCTTGCTATATCAAGGAAGCTGCAGTTGCTGTTCATTTTATCTGGTGGTGTGGATTGTTTTCACAGCCCCTCCACCTTTCACCCCTCATTGCTTGCTAGCAGCTTAACACAGAGTCACAAAATTCACATTCAGAAAGACAACAGTGTCCTAGTTAATGCGACTGCAGAGTTATGTGGAAAATATTTGATCTGATTTTATTCTTTTAAAATTTCGTTATCGACAGTTCAAAAAGATGCGATGGCTTTCTTAACAAGTCTTGAAGGAAGCCCGTGCTAGCCTTCACCCTCTTAGCGCTGGTAGCATCACGTAACTGGGGAAGTCTTAACTAGTGGGTGGAATTGGACACAACTAAATTGGCGAGAAAATTGGGGGAAAAAATTCTGAGTTAATTTCCATTCTGGTGGAATGGCCACTAGGGGGCACCACAAAATAGACTAATAAACTAAGACTGGACTTGTTTTTTCCAAAGTGAATCACTATTGATTCTAGAACTGGGCTTTAAGGCTTATAGGTCTGCACACGTTTCTTCACTGTCATACATATAAGGATATACAATAAATTATACTAATTATTTAATAATAATCCAGGGCTGGGAAATTGGCCCTGTGAGCTCAGGTTAAAGGAATCCTCCAATATTGTTTCAACCTAATCTCTATTCATTGCATCTGTAGTATAGTGTTGATTACTGAGGACAGTTTCCCTGCACTTGGAGAAGATCTGGAAAACAGTTGACACGATACAAACTTACAACAGAATCCAATGGGCAGCTGCTGAAGTACAAGAAAAACATTGTGTTTGTGGTTAATGTAAGCTACAGATACAGCTAGATGGAGATTAGACTGGGAGATTAGGCTGAGATTAGGTTAAGTATTCCTTTATTTCTCATTATTCTGTCATCATTGGTCATGTGACATCTCACTTTTTTAGTGTAAACTAACTTTCTCTGCATTATTTTATCTCTTAATTTTTACTGCTTGCATTTAGCCAGACAGAATTGAGCCAAATGGAAGTCTGAGCTGGGCAGAACTCTGGACCAGACAGAATTTTGGGCCAGACAGTGTTCTTAGCCAAACAGAGCCAGCTGAGTCAGCTGAAAGAGAAATTATCAATCTGGTACTAAACCAAGCCCACACGCACTGGCCTGGAGTTCTTCCAAGGAAAACAGAACGTCTGATAGACAAACTCTGAAGTAAGTACATGGAAGTCTTGGAAAACTGACCTCAGCCAAAGTGCCAAAGGGGAAGTGAGAGTGGACTGCAGCTGACGGAGGGAATACCGGGGCAAAGAAAGATCAGGAGCTGCAGACGGAGCAGATCTTTGTAGCCTGGAGCCTCAGCACAGAGACGGAGAGATGGAGACGCAAAGAGGAAGAAGCTTTCTCTTGGAAAGAAGCTCCACCTGCCTTCTGCTGATCCTCACCTTGGGTAAGTCTATTTTTATAGGCGTTCACTCGCTTTTTCTCACTTTATTGGGGTCAGTTGCTCCTTTTTGAATCAGCCCACTAAAGGAATCAGTGGAAGCAACAGACAGGGATGTTTCCAGCTGTGTTTAAAGTATTTATTATACTTAGAACATATATTTTATATTTAAAGGACAAATTTCCTACATTTTTCCTGAAGTCTGCTTACAACATGTAGCTTTACAGACAAAAACAGTCATAATTCATTCTCACATGACCCTTTTTTGTCTTTATCAGTCTAAACAGGCTGTTTTTGTTATGGCGCCTTTAGGACTGATATGTAAATGAGCTCTGTTCTCATTGCTCTATATTGTTGCATCGTCTAATAGGCAGTCCAGGCTAAAACGCTCCTTATAAGTTCACAGTGAACAGGCAGAGCTAAAGGTTGAATTAATGAGCTGTATGTAAATGTGTTGTTTGTTTTGTGTTATGACAAAAACATCGAGCTCAAATGAGTGTAAAATATAACAATGTTTACATTAAAAACTACACCAAACCCTTTAAAAATAATAAAAGATGACATGATATAATACTACTAATACTACTACTACTAATAATAATGATAATAATTTATATCAGGCCTTATAAAAGGCAACTTATCATTAGCAGTTTATCAGTGACTGTTATTAATGCTATAATTGTTACGTATACGTTAATAAATGTTGGCGTTTGATACTCATATCTCATATATGATATAAAATATTAAGCATTTACTCAGCTGCATAAAAACAATTCATAATAACTGAATAAATTGTCAGTGTCAGTTTTATATTTAAGTTGATCAACTTAAGTTGGCTTGTCATTATTAAATAGTTGATATATACTTTAAACATTAATATCATTATTATTATTATTATATAATGAACTATAATAACTATAATTAATTATTATTATTAAATGTTACTACTTTGGTACCATGGCTACTACGCCCAGTGTTAGAGTTTATGCTGGGAGAAGTACAGTGAGCACTGCTGAGATGCAGTAAGTGGGGCATTATCTGCAGCCCCCTAAAACAGGCATTTAAATTGCAGTGCAGCTCTGGCTTTTTTGCACACACACATACAGACACACACACACACACACACACAGACACACACATACACACACACACACACACACACATACATACAGACACACACACACACACACACACACACACAGACACACACATACACACACACACACACACACACAGACACACACACACACACACACACACATATACACATACACACACACACACACACACACACACACACACACGCTCAGCCTCAGTGCTGGATGATGAGCTGCATTCCAGCAGGGCAGGTTCAGCTGTGCAGTGAGCTCATGTTTCATTGGGTATTGGGGTTCAGACAGGTGACTTATAATTAAATAAAAGAGATGAGCTGCTGGAGAGTTTATTCATGTGCATTTGTTGCGATGTGTATATCTGTGGGTTTTAGGTGAATATGAATGTCAGTGCATATTAGATTAGATCAGGTATCAAAGTAAGCGAAACCAAACTAAAGTCCACATTATGTTGGATTTCTAAGAGAAATTAAGTGAACACATCCCTTACAGAGAACACATTTCTGCGCATTTTAATGCACATTTACTGTTTATCTGCTGAATTAAACACAATGGGGGAACGAAATATAACACTTGGCCTGTGTCTGTGTTTTTTTCTAATACATTAGATTCATATAAAGGCAAATAAATAGAAATCTTGCACTAAAACTTCTCAAACCTAAGTGTGTTCTCTAAGTGTTTGTTCCCTTACTTTGGCTTAGAAAATCAACAGAACATGTCATTGACCAGGGCTGTTCAGAGACTGTATATGCTGGATCTGAGCGCCGTTGGCTCGGTGGGCCTTTTGCAGTCTCTCCTGTGCGGAAGTGTTGGGTAATCTGAGCTTGGGTCTGATTTATGCTGGGTACACCATGTTCACACGGAACTCTGAGTCTAAAATTTCAGCGGTGAGAAGGAAGCGGATAGTGGGGTCCAGGTCATCGGGACGGTCATCATCACTGCCAGTGTGTCCTGATGAGTCCAGCAGCTGTGTAAACGCAGCACTTTCACACCAGCTCCGCTTCTCCTACTCTCACGCTCGCTGCCAAGCGCAGCCAGACAGGAGCGGCTAGACACCTGATGTCAGTCCTGCCAGGTGCACGTAATCACCAGGTGTTTGGGGCAACAGACCCTGTTTCAGCTTCTTTATACAGCAAAAGAATGTCCATAATGATATTAAAGTTGGGCAGAAAATAATGTAAAAGCAGCAGTGAAAAGGTCTCTAAGAGAGTCCTGCGGCAAAGTTCATCACAGATCTTAGTGAGCTGCAACCAAGATTTCTGCATAGTTTAGTGGTTGAGATGTAAACATGAAAAATGAAATGGTTCATTGTAGAGAAACTTACAGACTCAGACTTCTTTACAGTGGTGGTGATAGGAACCAGGAGTCACCATGACTGCAACACAAATATAGCTGGGGGCAGTTGTGGGCTGAAGGTTAGGGAGTCAGCCTTGTGACTGGAAGGTTGCCAGTTCAATCCCCTTGGCTGACAGTATGTGACTAAAGTGCTCTTGAGCAAGACACCTAACCCTCAACTGCTCCCTGGGCGCCATGGATAGGGCTGCCCACTGCTCTGGGCAAGTGTGCTCACAGCCCCTAGTGTGTGCGTTCACTAGTGTGCACGTATGTGGGTGTTTCACTGCATGGATGTGGAGGGTTAATTCCTCTGTGAGCAAACACAGTTGGCTAATGGTTCTGAATTCAATTCATTTTATTGACTGTACAAAACCACCAGTGAACTTACACACGTATTCTGAGTTTTTAAATGGAACATTGTTGATGGTAAAATAGTGGTAAAAAAAAGTTTTCCTATGGGACGATTTTACCTCACAACACTCTGCATGTATCTCTTCTCCGCAAATGCATTGTAGCATGTTCAAGAAATGTTCTGGCACGTTAGTGTTCTCCAGTATTTGTTGCACTTTTTCATTTTGACCTCTGATTGGAGAGGGAGGACTAAGTACCACCCCAGGGGTGTGTGTGGGTGTTTGTTGAGACAGAGAGAGAGAGACAGATGAGCTGGGTTAGATAACGAGCCGTTAGAGAGAAAAAAGACCCTCTTATGTACCGCGTGGCTGTGGCCAACAAGCAGCTGGTAAATAAAGCACCATGACTTGCAAAAGCAGTGCCTCTTTAATAGTGGTGAGTGTCCCAGTATTTTAAATGAACCCTCTCAAAACTTTCATGTAATTATTTTTGTTTGAGTGAACTTCTAGAGGCAATATATTCTTCAGACGTCTGGTTCCTATCACCACCACTGTAAACAATTCTGAGTAAGTTTCTTTAGAATTTCACTCTAGGAGTCACCTCTGGTTTCATCTTAGCTATTTCATCATGCAGAATTTCTGGGAAATCATTGCAGTCCCCCTTTAACCCCTTAAATGGACAGGGCCCGTCAGCAGGCCCAAAGTTTTATTACACACTTCTATAATTTAAGAATAGCTCAGCCAGGTCGCATTGAAGTCCCTGTGGTTACTGAAACCTTAGTATGTAATAAGCCAGGGATTTAGAGAGGTTAATATTCAGAACTAATAGTTACAACAAGCCGTCCAGGTCATAATCAAAGGACTACAGGGTTAAATTTGAAGTGAAAACTGACCACTACAGCTAGTCACAGTGTAACAACTATTGCAGACTGTACTGCACCACCGGTCAAAATGATTTCATAGATTCAATAAAAGACAATCAGTTATGTTGTTTTCTGATTTTGACGCAAGGCGTGTGTGCCAGGTGCCCGATCCCTGGATGCCAACGAGAGCCGCGAGAGGTGGTGTGAGGCCTCTTGCTGGGTCCCACCTCCTGTTCCACAGTGGAGCTAATGCACTTGATGCATCCATGACATTCAACCCAGCAGGCTGTGCTGTCCTGCTCTCTTTCCCTTACGCCTCCCGTACTTGACATACTTGACACTTGACTTTGAGGCAGATATGAATGATGCTGTCATGGATGGCTGCGGCACTGAAATATGATCTCCTGATGTTGCGGCCAACGCTTAGATGTTTGTGCCACTTGGAAGCTCATTTGGTGGATGGAAATGACTATGTTGGAAATTTCATCTTACTCGTCTTACTTTCAGGCTATCAGTTGCTGCCTTCTGTTGACAACAGGAACAATTTTGAGAGCATTTATTTAGAGAACTGTCGGAAACTGCCGCTGGCTGTTCTTGAGTAAGATTTGGGATTGGTGTTCGTTTTGTCTGATGAGCCTTCATAATAAGGGAAAACAAGACAGTATGGTAAAAACACAGCTTCCTTAAGGAGTGAGGCACTCCAGCACTTTTGTGTCCATCTTTCATTCTAAATCCATCAAGAAATTTACATCAACTATGCTTATGCAGGCAAAAATGCTTCAATTACGTATTAAAATATCCATCTTCCTGACCTGCTGTATTCTGTTACAGCCTCTTCAGTACATTTTCATCAAAGAAATGACTCCTTCGCTCTTCCTGACCTATCGGATGTTCAGTAGTGAACCTGCAGGCCTGGTGTACTGGGTTGACCCCACTAGCGTCCATCTTGTGATCAAAGCCTGCGGCAGTTTAGTGGTTCTGAACCGCTGAACTGCTTCATTCTGGTTTGTCATTCATTATCACTCTCAATCACAGAGTTTTAATAGCTTCGAAAATGCTTTTGTGTGGCTTTACCATTATGCTGCACTTTTAGAGCTTCACTCCATAACTCTAATGGACTTACAGCCTTGCGGATAGAGCTGGAAGTAATCAATGTCCTCCCAGACTCATGCCCTGACTGCAGAGAGAGAGAGAGAGAGAGAGAGAGAGAGAGAGAGAGAGAGAGAGAGATGCAGCAGCTCTTTTTGTGAATGAGTTTTTGCAGCATCATTGCTGCAAGAAAGTGAGGGAGGGGGAGAAAGAGAGACTGAATGAAAGGGAGAGAAACAAAGAGCGAGAGAAAAGGAATATAAATAAGTAAAGGATATACTGAGGTAACACTAAGCTGCATTAAGTGGGATTGATGGTAGATAAAACACTGATAGCATTTGGTATTGCTAGCTACTATCAGTCGGTATGTGTTTGCGCAAGTATGTGCTCCTGTGACAGTACCTGTCTATTTAAAAAAAACAGCCTCATACATGCTGGAGTACCCCATCTCATTTTTCAGCCACTATACACCGATCAGGCATAACATTATGACCACCTCCTTGTTTCTACGCTCATTGTCCATTTTATCAGCTCCACTTACTATATAGGAGCACTTTGTAGTTCTACAGTTACAGACTGTAGTCCATCTGTTTCTCTGTGTACTTTGTTAGCTCCCTTTTACCCTGTTCTTCAGTGGTCAGGACCCCCGTGGACCCTCACAGAGCAGGTACTATTTGGGTGGTGGATCATTCTCAGCACTGCAGTGAAACTGATGTGGTGGTGGTGTGTTAATATGTGTTGCGCTGGTCTGAGTGGATCAGACACAGCAGTGCCACTGGAGTTTTTAAACACTGTGTCCTCTCACTGTCCACTCTATTAGACACTCCTACCTTGTCAGTCCACCTTGTAGATGTAAAGTCAGAGACGATAGCTCATCTGCTGCTGCACAGTTTGTGTTGGTCATCCTCTAGTCCTTCATCAGTGGTCACAGGACGCTGCCCACAGGACGCTGTCGGCTGGATATTTTTGGTTGGTGCACTATTCTCAGTCCAGCAGTGACACTGAGGTGTCTGATCCACTCGTACCAGCACAACACACACTAACACACCACCATAACGTCAGTGTTACTGCAGTGCTGAGAATGATCCACCACCCAAATAGTACCTGCTCTGTAAGGGTCCATGGGGGTCCTGACCACTGAAGAACAGGGTAAAAGGGGGCTAACAAAGTACACAGAGAAACAGATGGACTACAGTCTGTAACTGTAGAACTACAAAGTGCACCTATATAGTAAGTGGAGCTGATAAAATGGACAGTGAGAGTAGAAACAAGGAGGTGGACATGATGCCTGATCAGTGTATATTTGCCATGCTTTTGGGGCCCCCTGGTGGCAGGGGGTTTGAAGCAACTGCTTATTGCAAGAAACAGCCCTGGCTTTAACACAGAGATGTTCACAAGTTGCTTTGTGTAAGTCTCAGGTCTCCAAGGTGCAGGTGCTAGTCAAGTCTCAAGTCTCCAGGGTGTGAGTCTGAGTTGTGCCTCCGGGGTGTGAGTCCAAATCAAGTCTTCAGGGTGCAAGTGCTAGTAGAGTCTAGAGTCTCTGGACTGCAAGTTAAGTTTCAAATCTCTGGGGAGCCAGACTGAGTTGAGTCTCGAGTCTCTGGGGTGTGAGTCAAGTCGCTGGGGAGTCTATATCAAGTCTCAAGTCTCTGGGATGTGAGTCTGAATCAAGTCTACAGTCCAAGTTGAGTCTTGAAATAACTGATGTGTAAGTGCAAGTCAAATCTTGAGTCTCTGGGTTGCGAGTCCAACTCAAGTCTCTGAGGTGTGTGCTTGAGTCTAGTTTCGAATCTCTGAGGTACAAAGTCTGAGTCAGGTCTCGAGACACTGGTTCGTGAGTCTGAAAATGATCTTTAGTCTTTGGGGTGCGACTCCAAGTCAAGTCTCAAATCCCTGGTGTGTGGGTCTGAGTCAAGTCTCAAATCTCTGGGATGCGAGTCTTTGTCAAGTCTCAAGTGTCTGGTGTGTGGGTCCGAGAGGAGTCTCAAGGTTCTGGGATGCGAGTCTTAGTCAAGTCTCAAGTGTCTGGTGTGTGAGTCCGAGTGGAGTCTCAAGGCTCTGGGATGCGAGTCTTAGTCGAGTTTCAAGTGTCTGGTGTGTGAGTCCGAGTTGAGTCTGAAGTCTCTGAGAAGCGAGTCTTAGTCGAGTTTCAAGTCTCTGGGGTGCCAGTCAAGTTTTGAGTCTCTGGTGTGTGAGTCCAAATCGAGTCCCAAATCTCTGGGGTGTGAGTCTGAGTTGAGCCCCAAGTCTCTGAGTTGAGAGTCTGAGTCGAGTCTCGAGTCTCAGAAACACGAGTCCAAGTTGAGTCCCAAAAATAAATACAGTACAATAACGATTCGCTGGAGGAGGTTTATAACAGTTTCTCACTCTCCCTCTTAGGTATGTGTGGCGTTCAAGCACTAGAGATGTCCACAGGTAAGATCCCCTTTCTGGAAGCAGTGAATGGAAGTGATGTCCTGCTGCCCTGCACCTACGCCAGCTGCATCGGCATCAAAGACCTTTACTTCAAATGGGAGTTTAACGACAATGGCACCATGCTGAAGGTCAGTCTCGTGCAAATTTTTCTCTATTTAACATGCTTTCTCGAGCTTTTTGCTGCTGCTGATAGTTCAGAATCCTGTAAATCAATAACATTGCTTCTGAAGATTGGCCTTTGTGACCAATAAAGTGTACACTGAAGGTATCTGAGATGTTTTATTCAACATTTCCAGCGTTTAGGAGAACTTCTTCAAGGGTAATACATTGTAATCTTTGCAGCATTCTGAACATTAATTTTTACTATAACTTAATTCTTTATGCTATACAGCTTGATTCCAGTCTTTTGACCAATAGTGTACTTGATAGCTTTTCCATCCAATCAGATGACAGCGTCTACCACTGACTGTTTTGTTGTCTGATCAGGTGATCGACGCAGTGATCCCAACTGACCATGTGGAACCATCAACTGTCAATATTTACCGGGAAAGGGTGGAATTTGTGGGATCCAGCAAAAGTAATAACCTGTCCATGGTGCTCTGGAACGTGACGTTTGAGGATGCAGGGGAGTACACGTGCTTCGGCAAGAACCCTAAAGAGAAGGATAAGAACCACAGCGCCATCTTCACCCTATACGTGGTGGACGAATGTGAGTGAGAAAGAACTGTATATTAAAAAAAGAGATTTTGCCGTACACTACATCAGCTATTTCTGTAATTAAACATACACTCACTGTCCACTTCATTTGACACATTTACCTGGTCCTTCCACTTCACTGGCCTCTTAATTAGAAACCCCTACTTTGTACTTACACTCACTGGCCACTTTATTAGAAACACCTTATATTTCCACACACTGGCCACTTTATTAGAAACACTTAACTTGTACTTCCACTCACTGGCCTCTTTATTAGAAACACCTACCTTGTACTTCCACTCACTGGCCACTTTATTAGAAACACCTACCTTGTACTTCCACTCACTGGCCACTTTATTAGAAACACCTAGTACTTCCACTCACTGGCCACTTTATTAGAAACACCTACCTTATACCTTCCACTCACTGGCCACTTTATTAGAAACACTTACCTTGTATTTCCACTCACTGGCCACTTTATCAGAAACACCTACCTGAACTAAACTTAACTGGACATCACATATTTACCCACATTTTAGTCAAATTTGCAAGATTTTGTTATTGACATATGCTGAATTGTTTGTTTAGATTGTGAGATTGCAGTCGGATTATGGGAGCAACAATGGACTAAAGCAAGAGATGAGAGCTAAAATAAAAAAGTTAAGCTCTAACTATAATCTGAATATGTTAATGGATACATTAAGGACAGTGTATTCAGCCATCACTACTAATATAACACATTATTAGAAGGTAGAGCATGAACAGTGCTATGTGTGCTGTGAGGACACTCAGTGGTCAGGCTGTGCTTATAGACGTTCTCAGTACATTGTCAGTGTTTTCATCGTCAGTATTCTCTCCTTCTCAGTGAGGGTCGTGGATAACACTCTGACCATCATCATCGTCTCCTGTGTGGGAGGCTGTATAGCCCTGCTGGTGATCTTCATGCTGCTCAAGAACTTCACACTCTTCGTCCTCGCTAAGATTGAAGAGAAAAAGTGAGTTGGTTTGTTCATTTATGTGCAATAATGACATATAATTTAAACACAAAAGCGATTTTACATGATGTATTTAACATTTCAAATATGTTGATAACAATATACACCGATCACGTTTATAACATTATGACCACCTCCTTGTTTCTAAGCTCATTGTCCATTTTATCAGCTCCACTTACTATATAGGAGCACTTTGTAGTTCTACAGTTACAGACTGTAGTCCATCTGTTTCTCTGCATACTTTGTTAGCCCCCTTTTACCCTGTTCTTCAGTGGTCAGGACCCCCATGGACCCTCACAGAGCAGGTACTATTTGGGTGGTGGATCATTCTCAGCAATGCAGTAACACTGATGTGGTGGTGGTGTGTTAGTGTGTGTTGCGCTGGTACGAGTGGATCAGACACAGCAGTGTTGCTGGAGTTTTTAAACACTGTGTCCACTCACTGTCCACTCTATTAGACACTCCTACCTTGTCAGTCCACCTTGTAGATGTAAAGTCAGAGCGATAGCTCATCTGCTGCTGCACAGTTTGTGTTGGTCATCCTCTAGTCCTTCATCAGTGGTCACAGGACGCTGCCCACAGGACGCTGTCGGCTGGATATTTTTGGTTGGTGGACTATTCTCAGTCCAGCAGTGACACTGAGGTGTTTAAAAACTCCAGCAGCACTGCTGTGTCTGATCCACTCGTACCAGCGCAACAACAAACAAAGTATGCAGAGAAACAGATGGACTACAGTCTGTAACTGTAGAACTACAAAGTGCACCTATACAGTAAGTGGAGCTGATAAAATGGACAATGAGCGCAGAAACAAGGAGGTGGTCATAATGTTATGCCTGATCGAGGCAGATGACAAAATGACAAAGAAAAATCCTGAATAAATGGATGGAGAAACATAATGAGTGCAGAGTTCCAGACAAAAAGGTTAAACAGTTAACATCCTGCCAGGCTTCATTTGACCTCAACTTTCAACCCTTTTTCTTTCTGGAAGTCCCTCAGTTAAACTATACGTTTTTTTTTTCTTTGATAAAATTGATGGAAAATATTTCAATGGAAATCTGTATGACTTCCATCTTCACTGGTGTGCAGGTAAGTCAACATTTTAAAAAAGTGTTTTATTCTGTTTCAATGCTGTTTTTATTGTGGTAATCTTACAGAATCGTTTGATAAATATGGATTAATATTTAGTGGATTATGTTAATTCAAAAATCTATGTCATTTTCCATTCTAACGGTGGAATGGCCACTAGGGGGCCTTAAGAAAGGCACCAAAGGGAAGCGTCACTGCCAAGCAATACTGAAGTTATTCTGACTGATCACCCTATGATAAAACATACTGAGGGAAGTGGACTCCTCCAGGACCCTCCACAGGGCACAAAGGGGTCACTGAATAATTTAATGAGTATGACAATGATGTAAATCATTGATCTCATGATCTCAACCCAATCGATCAGATTTTAAAACCAGAATTTGGACTGACGTGTTAGGCAATGCTCTCCACCACCATCATCAATTGAGGATGAATAGTGTTCCACCCCTCTAGTACAGTTTCAGAGACTATGCTTAGGCACGTTGAAGCTGTTCTGCATATCGCTGATATACACAGGGGCCAAATCACAGCACTAATTAAATCTCTCTTTCTCTCTCTGTTCTGCAGTAAGGAGTGCCTTGTCTCCTCCTCAGGGATCGACAACACGGAAAATGGTCTGTCAGGCTCCAAAACCACACCCAAGCCCACACCAAAGAAAGCATGAGACTGATATAATATGCACACACTCATCAGCCACCATGCTGGGCCCGTCCTGTCAGTTCACATCTCTGTTTACAAAATCTACTTAGTCATTCTCCATATTTACTTCGTATTCTTTTACATGACTCACCACTCTTTTCCTTAAGGCACTGATGAAACAGTGTTAGCCACAGAGGTGAATGACTGATTTACTGGTTGATTAGTTACCCTGATCCAGGATCAGTTCGAACTGTTCAGTTTCCAGTATTCAAGCCAGAACTTTCTAGCCAGTTCTACTTCAGCTCCAGTACATTTGAGCCAAATAATCAAGTGTTCATTATCTGCAGTGTGCTGAGAGGTGCAGTAGAGCTAAATGGAGATTAGCTGTGGGAGCTTGTGGGCTGTTTATTGTAGCGGTCTTGGCCTCAAGTATTGGTACAGGTTAGCATTTCCGTTTCTCTGACCTTATTTCACTCATAAAAGGCTCTGTGGTGTAAAATAAAGTAGAAATAGATCAAATAGTACTCTCACTCAAAAGAAGATCTACTTTCAGAGGTATTCGAGTACCAAGAATAATTACCAAAAAATGTACATCATGGAATCAGGCAAAATAAAAAAAAGTACTAAAACTCATCTCTAGAAACACTAAATATGAAAACATGTGCTTTATCTGGAAAAATATAAATAATAAAAGCAAATAAAACAGTAGATTTCAGCTGGCTGCTCTTCAAACCCTTAGCTACCTCAATAGCTAATGTTTAGCTAACACTAGCTAAGATTTCACACTTCACCTCATAGCTTAGGCTAATCTGACTGGAGTGTCATCAGTTAGCTAGCTAGCTAAGACTTCTGGTCAATAATAAACATCGTCAGTGTCATTGATAAGGCTAGTTGTTAGTTAGCTAGTTAGCAACATTAGCTGACTTTGCCTACCCTCAAGCAGAATCTTACGTTGCAGCATTTAAAGCAAACATTTCTTCTTTTTCATTACAGAAAACACAAACTGTCCTCTGAGGACGACTGACTTTTTAATTAGGCCAAATCATGTTCAGTCATGTTACTCAACGGCATCTCAGTGAGGGGAAAAAGTACTTTAGTGAACAGAAACATTTAAACGCAGTCTGATAGGAATGTATGGGGGGCTCTGAGACACAGCTGAAATTAGCGCCTCCTCCATGTTGAATTTTCAGTGTTCCCACCCATTTAGAGGTCAGTGCAGCCAAAAGAGCTGTACTATTGGACAACTATGTGGATTCGCATGTTAAATTTCACCAACGTTGAACTCAAAGTGAAGTTTTGTGTGTATTTTATTTGCTCAGGACACGAAACCATTAGCTGTAGTGAATTCAAAACTGCTTAAACATAATTTTTCTGAAAATACTTTGCTGACAAAACCTTTACTACAAATCTGAGTCTCAAAGCAATGCTCCAGGGTTGAATTTGGACCATTAGAAACCATTAGGATTTGCTTTCTAATTGGAATTATCTCAATGGTTTCCAACAGAGACCACTAGTTTCCTGTAGAACACCTTTAAATCCCATTAGGAAGCCATCAAACGCATTTAGAATCAGCCACTGGTCACCTGTGAAACTATTAGGATTACATTGTAATATCAACCCAATAAAAGAGCCAAAACAAATCGCAAATGGGTCATTTTACAGAAACGTCCATTTTTGTGTCCCTCGTCTTTACAGATATATTACACTTAGAAAAACATGTTAGGGTTACTATTTATTTATATTTTAAAACAAAACAATACATTATTTCAACAATTACACCTTCTTGAGCCTCAATTTAGCAATATTTGTTGTGTTAAATCAATTATCTAGAACTCCAAGCACCACAGAAGAGCTCATCCTCACAGTCATGTGTAAGGGGTGAGTTCCATATTTTGAGGTAAAAACATATTTTTCTGCCAATCCATACATGACTATGAAATATGTAAATTTAAATGACATAAAGAAAACAAATGCATTTTCTAAAATATATAATGCAAGTTGTTGTCCCCAGGAGTCTTGGTGTCACTGGTGTTACTGCGTAACAAAAACTCTTATTTTGAAATAAAATCCCACTGATGACATCACTCGACCTCCTTTTACCTATTTTCTGAGGATCTATGAAGAAAAGCACATGGTGAGTCCACTGTGTCTTTCAGTTATCAGAGATTTTCTCATTTAGCTCATGATTTCATATGAAGCTTTTAGTTGACGTCACTGGTGTGACCGACTTTATTCTGAGGTAATTGTGAAAAAATAGAACACAAATGGATTAAATTACATATTTTAGTGGAGATTCCATGATTGACGACATGTGGTTTGATGCTCTGTTGCAGCCATTTTTGTGAAAAAAAATGCAGTTTTCATTAAAAATGTCTCTGGTGTTACATTTCTGATGTGTAACACCAATGATGATCAGATGAATGATGGACAGATAAAAAGTGGACGTTTCTGTAGAACGACCCAAAACCATAAGGAACCAATAGAAACACTTTTTCATTGATTTTCCAGCAGGGTGGTGAGTAATTCTTGCATTATGGTTTACATGCCTCAGCGACTGATCTCTCCTGCTCCTGTGTTTACTTTTAATTTGTTTGTGCTAATTGAACGTAGATTTGACTGAAATAATACATTTGTAGCTTTTACATTATTTTCTGTTCACTCTATTTATAAGCAGAGATGTGAAAGAGATGGGCGGGCCTTATTGATTTTATGCATATATTAACATATGCTTCCAATTACTGCACACTTTCATCTCCCTACATTTAAAAAAGGTATAGGTCAATCCCAAAACTGGACTGTTTTTATTAGATATGCAGAAAAATAATCTATATTTATTCTATTCACACGATGCTTGTGACAGGGATAAATGTGCTGTAAGATGTTTTCATTTTTAGTTCGATCTTTTAACTGAGCTGGACTCAAACATTGTCCTGTGTTGGCTCCTGGCTCCAAAAAGTGGACGTGAATGAGGAAAAATACTCTAAGCAATTACACTGAGCTTGTTTGCTTTGTTGGAGGATTATGGGTCGATGTGCTCTGGGGTTATTATTCCAAAGCTCATAATGAACCTACTGAACTCAGCAAGTAAAATGAATGTGTTTTTATTTTTAGACGCAGTTGAATTTGCAGGGTGAAGCAAGTTTGAGTTCAGCTCAGCATCAACTTTTTTAATGAATATATTACAGTTACTTATTTATTTTTGCTTGAGATGAAACACAGGTGCCTGTAAACGCTTCTGTCGCCACCTACTGGTGGACAAGACTAAATGCAAAACAATATAATGCAAATCAAAAAAGTCTGCAAAAATGAAACACCTAATAGATGAGATAAGCTGATGAATGAATACTTGACAATCCCTAGAACCCAGATTCCCGTAGAAATAAACAAAAATCCTGAATGAAACACTGAAAATGCTGCTTCAAACTATTAAGCGATGCATTCTAGCATGTTAACAGCCAACGTTTTTAGAAATGCTTACTATAAGACGAGGAAATATACTGTTTTTTATTATGAGAAACTGTACACCTCTTTAATCAGCAGCATCAGCTTTAGGGTAGCGAAGAATTTTGGTCCTCATCTCATTGAATGTATAATTAAACACTGGATGCAAACATGCAAATGCAATATATTCAGGCAATAAGCACACGTTAATCTGACAAGCATGACGTCAATACAGGCTTACTAACAAACAAACGAGTGGCTGTGACTTACATGTTTTGTCCAGTGTGAATGAGAAACACTTGGAAATATGTATCGTATATGAATGGAACGGCATTTTCAAACCTCTCTTTGATTGGCTTAGGGTCGGTTTGATGTCAGGTCAAGGTCAGGGCCAGTTCAGACGTCTTTTTAATGTTGAATCGGTTGTTTTAATTGATTTATCAGTTAAATAAATAAGTAGTTAAAGTTAGCAAAGATGCTGTACTGCTAAAATGAGGACAGAGGTAAACCTTTTAGGTGACATCGAAATGAGGCCTAGTGAGAAATTCAAACTTATATCCATCCATCAATCATCTAAACCGCTTATCCTTCTGGGTCGCGGTGGGGTGCTGGAGCCTATCCCAGCTGTCATTGGGCGGGAGGCAGGATACACCCTGGACAGGTCGCCAGTCCATCGCAGGGCAGACAGACAGACATACACATTCACACACACACTCACACCTTGGGGCAATTTAGCACGTCCAATTGGCCTGACTGCATGTTTTGGACTTATATCATCAAACAGAAATATAAGAGCAGGCAGTGTAGCCAAAACTATTATTCCTGTACTACCATTCAGTTTCTATTCATTTAGATGTATTACTTAAATATGTTCGAGGAAAAAGTCAGGTGCCTTGTTTTTGGATGTTTAGCTGGCAGACCCTCCACAGGTCTGAGTGGGTGCATGTAAAAAAAGAAAAAAAAAACAAAACAGTCCACTATAGTCATGTGCAGAAGTTTGGGCACCCCTGGTCAATTACTTTTTTGTTGATTTTCTAAGTGAAAGTTTGCTAGTTTGGACTGTGCCTTTAAAATATGGAGGTAGTATGATTGAAGGAGGGGAGAAACCTCTGAGAACTCTGAGAAACAGGTCAGACCCCCCCAAGCCACACCCTTTTAACTGTGGTAGAATGAATACAGGACTGAGGAACAGGGAGGAGATGGGGTTGGTGGCGGGAATTGTGCCCACTTCATCTTGGGAAACAGATGGTGAGATGGGAATTTATAGGGTGTTACATTGGAAGACTGGAAGCAGGAGAGGTTTCAGGCTTGGTCTCCCCACCAAGTTTCACTTATTCCATAACTCCATTAACTTGACTGTACATTTGAAAAAAAGAACAAAAAAAACAAAAAAACAATTACTGTTTATTTGCTGAATTTAACACGTTGGAAAAAATAAAACATAAAATGTGGAAAAGTTGTAGCACATTTTATATTGTATATTTTTTCAACAGAAATTGGGCACTAAAATTAGCAGAAAATGCTACATTTAAATGACTGGGGTGTTCAAACTTTTGCGTACAACTGTATACAGTACTGAGGTCTTATTTCAAATAAAATTCAATGGCAATTTTACCCAGAATTTTAATTTAGTCTACATTTGAATTTGACTGAATTCTAGAACTACATCTGTTTTTCTTTTATTCTGAGAATTTTTTGCATTTTGGCTAATATTATTGCGTATAATCCAGAAGTTGGCTACAACTCTTGATGCCCAAAGTGGATTAAGCTCATACTTCATAGATGTACTGAACAAATCTGCAAACTGTTCCACTGGAGGCTCAACCAATAGGAAAGCCACGTACCTCGTCTTCAGTTGGGCACTCATGTAGTCTTGGCTGGGAAAGTACAACTTGTGAAATTCTTCTCTAAAGAAAAAGATTCATATTAACACCAGAGGAATTTGTACAGGATTCCTAAGAGAATCAAAGTATTCAAATCTAATGTATAATGAATAAATCAGCACTACAGGAATTTGTACAGGATGCTTTAGTGTTTTAAGAGTATTACTATAGATCCTTTTGTCATGGTTGGTCCTGGGCACTTGGTTAAATGAGATTGCTGGACTGCCAGTGCTGGTCAGCATATATGCAAGGCTTTCCTGGGACAATGGGGCCTCATAATACTGCTAACACCAGGATTTTAAAATCAATTTTTGCTTTTAAATTGTGTGGTTGATGGATTCTGGTGCAGTGATGGAGGCTGAGGGCTGATGTAATCCTGTCTTTGCACTCTCAGCAGGATTGTGACAGGTCTGTCTCGACTTATTGCACTTTCTGTAGGCTTTGGCAGGGTTTTCCTTTGAAGAGAGCATTGCAGTCGTTCAGTCTTAAGGAAACAAAGCCAAGCGTAGAGTGCCAAAGCTTTGGCAGTCTGGCACATTTACGTTATGAAATAACGATGCTGATTAATGCATATTGTGCCTGTAAAGTAACAAATAAAGCAAAGAACTATGAACAAAAGGAGTGTAGCAAGTTGGTATTCTGACTGTACATACAATAAGGATTTTCATTACTGCACCCCCGTCTGAAACCCAGTTGAATTTCTAATTGAGGCTAGTTAGAATTACAGTTTGTGGAAAGGTGTGTTGTATTGTAATACTTTACATTTAGAACATTAAATCTGTTATAACCTTAAATCATTTCAGGGATTATGTCTATATACATAGTCAAATGCAAAAGTTTGAACGCCCATGGTCAAGTTACATGTTTTGTTGATTTTCTACGAGAATATAAGTCAACACATCGTCAACATGGAACAAACTTAAATATGGCATTTTTTCTGCAAATTTAACATATTAGGGAAAGAAAGTGTGCCATAACTTTTACACAGGCAACATTTTATGTTTCATTTTTTCCCCCAATATGTTAAATTCAGCAAATGAACAGTGATTGTGTATTAAAATGTGCAGAAGTGTGCTCTCTGTGGAGGACGTGTTCACTTTTTATCAAAATCAACTAAACATGTCATTCGACCAGGGGCGCCAAAACTTTTGCATTCGACCGCATATATGTGCACTATTACTTCGATTTATTTTTACATCCTTCTATGCTTGTTGGAAACCATTTTGCTCATGCCTTCTGGTTTATTTTGTAGACTAATTCAAATAAAATGCTAATTCTACTTAAGCATTTTAGTTTCCTCCACATTTGAATGGACTGACAGTTTTAGAACTAGCACTTTTGTCCGGACTGGTTACTGAGGGGGGCTGCTAAACAGGGCAAACATGAGCAGGTCTGGCCCCCAGAATGAGATCATGTTACTGTGACAACATTTTAGCAATAAACTTATAGTACTGTAGCTTTGAACCAAATGCTAAATAGAAAGGGTAGTTGAACATACCTCTAGGAAAACTGTGTAGGCCTGTGATTTTATCTGTGTGAATGAAGAGTGATGAGATCGTATTGTATGTGTAAACTAACAGTCTGAGAATGCTAAGGTCATGATTAAATTGTAAGCCACCCTGTATAAGAACGTCTACCAAATGCATAAATGTAAATCTTGACAAGTAGAAATCGTAGGCCCACTCCCATTTCTTATTTTTACCCCTAGCCCTTGTTTTTGAGTGTCATCTTGCCCCTTGGAACCGAGTTACAAGGGGTAATGGTTGAAATCTCCCCCTACGAAATGGGAAAACCCTCAAATAAAGAACTTCACTTCATTAACAGGCTACTAGCAGTGCTCTGTAGGCGACCCTGCCGGTCTGCAGTGATAGCAGAGGAGGGTAGCAGAGGGAAGTTCAGTAACATCACTGCTGGGCTTTAGTTACATTTAGGGCATCATATGGCTTCAAAGAGGGGCAATTATTTATTATCACCCACCCCTAATTCTTCAGTGATATGAAGCTGAAATGGGATTGGGCCTAAGACTCCAAGAGACACTTGAAAGCAGTTTACATTATTTCAAACACATCTATCACCTGAGATAATGGAAGCGATACACCCATAAGACCTCCAAGCTTACTTGATAAGCTATATATGAGTGCACATTGTAAATAAAACTGTCATTTGATTGCATTATCTGATGAAATTGCTGGAAAATCTGTACATTTCTTGATTGTATTGCTGGATGAGATGAATAGTTGAGTGCGAAATATAATCGTGTGTTTGCTTTTCGGTTATTTCAGCTGTGTCTGATCGGCTTGGTGAGGTTGTGTAAGAAACTGATTGCTGTTTTGAGTAATTGACCTGAGTTGTGTGCTGATTGGCTGTCCATTAGGCAGAGTCAAGGGCTCGACATCCTGGCACTTATCAGAATAAGAATGTTCTAGAATGGAGGTTTTCAGTCCATGCAGTGAAGACTGTTATGGTGTCCATGCTTATCTTCTACCATTACAATGCAGACCACCAAATATCTGGATTGTATGTGATGGAAGAGATCAGAAGTGTGGACCAGTTAACGGCCTTCAAGGCCTGGGTTAAATACCTTTGTTCTGGTTCAGAACTATGCAAAGCTTCTTGGCTTTAGGTCAATAAGACCACTGCTCTTCTGTTCCTGAAGTTAATGTGCAATTTATGGCTACATAAAGAAGAATGAAGATACATCAGGCAGATGTTTTCCTTGCTGTCTTGTTCACATTGTCGGTGAGAATTTACATCTGGATTTGAACCTACAAGGAAGAGCTTCTGCCTTCAAGTCAATCTTTTGATTATTTGCCTCTGAATTATTGTATTTGTGTTGAATTGTATGTAAAAAGTTATTAATATTAAAATATTTGATTTCTGCTGGACTGCCGTAGAGATGGTACATATGTATGTATGCGTGCGAAGCTAAGTTGAGGATTCTGGAAAGCGGCCCACACAAAGACGACTGCCTGAAATGCACTGATTTCAGAGATGTAGCACAGCTTCATTTCAGTAATGCTGTGCTCTTCTTAGGAGTATATCATCAAGTATGCTAACATTGCTAACCAAGAATGAAAGCTAGTAGATACTATGGGCGCCTCATTGACAGCAGGTATCGTTAAAAGCCAGCAAGCTAACACTGGAGATCTGAAAAATCCACTTACAAGCTTCAGTTGAATGCTGCATTAGCTCATGCTAACATATATTAGCCATGTTAGCATCTTTAGGTGAAGTACTTTGTAGCACAGTTAGACTCCTCACCCATCTTGGCTTCTATTCTATCTATATAAACGAATGTAAAAGACAAGGTAGTCTGTTTGCGTTAGACACAGTTTGTTCCCTTCTGTTGCCTTAAGCGAATGTGCAGCCATTCGGTACTGGCTATTATACTGTACTGTCATGCATATGAATTTGATTTGTTATTTACTGTTAAAAAAAAGTAGAAGTAAAACATTTTGGATACCAAGTTGCTGCGTTGTGTCTTTTGTTGACTTTCTTCAGAAAAAGATATAAACCAAGAACCTCCAATTAGAAAATATACATTAATTCTTTATTTTCTTTGTTTATTTATGTTAAAATCTGGTAGAAAAGGCAACTTTTTAGCCCTTTATTACAAAACACCACAACACTGACACTTAAAAACGAGAACATTTAAACATTCGAGCATTTTGAAATAAAAAAAAATGCATTAAACATGTAAACAAATACTCAAAATACATTATGTTAACTGAGTTTTCTTCATTTCTACCGTCTCACAACAAACGTGAGATCATGCTTGTGTCACACAGTGGTGATTGGCTGTTGATAGATGCAACTTCCCATGAGTCACTGTACACATTCTCAGGGGTATTTCTGAAAAGTGAGAAATGGTCAGCATATTTAATGTGCCTGATCAGTTTAAATCACTTTAAACCAGCTAGCAATGACCACAGTCTTTTCAGCTTTTAACTGAAGCATATTCATGTACAGACGTAGTGGATTCAGCGGTTATAAGTCTGTCTAAACATATGATTATTTTAAAACACACACACACACACACACACACACACACACCTCCAGGACTGTATAAATCCAGTCGAGTAGCTGCCTGATGTCAGTGTAAACTCCAGGTTTTCCTTTACGGGCACAGCCTGCCCCCCAGCTCACCACGCCCACCAACTGCCATCGAGATGACAGGTAGACCAGCGGACCCCCACTATCCCCCTACAGACAGAGCAAGGAATACAATTAGTATGCTAGCACAAAAAGCTCGCTAGGAAATGTGTTTTGTACATATCTTCATAGCCCTTCATGTATGAGGACACCTTGGGTTGGGGGGGTTGGGGGGTAAATCATCTTAAACAACCATTTGGTCACTCCAGATTGAATATATGCAAATAAGAGATCAGTGGTTCCTGACCCGGTCCTCAGCACCCCAGACAGTCCACAATTTTGCTCCAAGCCAACTCGCAACACAGAGATGAAGGAAAATTGTGGGCAATCGGGGAGGCTCCAAGTCTGCTGCCCTTCACATAGGGGTTCAATTCTCTGCCTGAGCAAACACACCATGGTACACCAGAGCCCTTGAGCTAGACAGGGGCGGCCTTTGCACTAGGAAAAGGTAGGCGGGGGGGGACTTGGCTAGTGAGGGTATGAACTGCAATATCATTTTTTGCAGTGTAGGTGGCTGGACCACTCAGGGGTCCTGAGCCTCAACTAGTTGAAAAATGCATCAAGGAGGCCCCGTTCCTACCTTCAAGAGCTCCAGAATCACTAGATCCACCCCCATGTTAGACTCAAAATGCTCTGCAAGTTACTCAAGATAAGAGCATCTGACAAAGGCATAAAAGAAGGTTAAACAAGAACCAGTGTCAATTTAACTATTCTCACCTGGCAAGAATCTACTCCACCTTGGAGGTAGCCAGCGCATAGCATTCTGGGAGTGATAGCAGAGCCGTAGACAGATTTATTTGAACACACAGACTGGTCAATCAGAGGTACTGTGGCTTTGTCTAGCACAGATGATAACTGACCTGAGAGCATGAGGGGGTGAAATTAAAGAAGATTAAAGAACAGGTCAATGCGTGTCAGCTGACATGCTTTTGTAGTTACTAGCCTGTAGCTGCAGCTGTTCAACACGGATAATGCTGGTGTTGTGTCCGATTCAGTTCCCCCTCAAATTCACATTCCCTTTGACAAATCAGGTCCTCGGGCGGCGCATTCACTGAGCAGAAACAACACCAATCAACACTGGAACTACGGAGAGCGAACAGGTTCAAAAAAGGTTTGTACAGCAGCTGCATTCACCCAATCGGTGACATACAGTACAAAAAGTGTTTATCAGTATGATTGTTCACTCGAATTAAAAACAATATTTATCATGGAATTTTAATTATTCCTCATCATCTTGGGTGCATTTATATTGGAGATGGGGTGAGTTTTTTCGAACTCTTTTGCTTTCCGTAGATCTAGTGTTGCTTGGCGTTGTTTTCTGTTCAGTGAATGCGTGAGAGAGAAAAAACTGAATGGGTGAATGGAAATTGACGGTATTAACAAACTACTTGCTGCTCTGCTCACCACTTTATGGGGCAGGACAGCAAGGTGAACTGTGGTCTATCGCAGCTCCTCTGATTAATATCGTAACTCACATAAGCTCCGTGTGCTGACCGTGTAACGCAACGCCGCCAACCCGAATGGCACAAATGTGCAGGGTGGAGAGGAACATGCAGGACATTGTGAGGAAAAAAATAAATAAATACATTTAAAAAAAAATAAAAATAAAAAAAAAATAGTACCCAAAAAACATTTTTTCGAATTAAGCATTATTTTCTATTATCAGCGTGACATATAAAACCTTATAGGACGCATAGTTCACTGGTCATTTTGGATAGTAGATAAAATGGTGATTTTGTAGTGTAGACATATGGAAGTCCGGTTTCTATTACTTCAGTGGTGAACAATTTTGACTCTAAATTTCTCTAGAAAGGCACATTTCAAACAAAACCACTCTGAGTGATTTAGTTTATATCTAAACGCTTGAATGATTAAGCAATTTTGCAAAATCGGTGGAGTTCCCCTTTAACTGAAATAAGAAATGCAATACATATTCCAAAACAATGCATGTCCTGACCACAGACCCAGCCTCCTACTGCATGTGCAAAACTCTTACTGCTCCACTCAAAGAAACACTTTCAAAAAACACCTGTGACTAATGATTGGGGGAGAACAGTTAGCATATCATTGCATAGAGCTAACACTAAATTAATACTGGTTACTCGACCCCAGTGAACCCTGGGCTAATTTTGATAAATGTTTTTGTACTTTGGTCAATTACAATTAAAGCATGTAATCAATACAATATATTTACATGAGACAGTCTCATGTCATATGTTGTTATTTTCAGTACAGGCTGTTCAGATATGTCATCATCATCATCAGCACTATTTTTAATGCCAACAGATTTTTTAAATAAAATATTTGCTTATACCAACTTTTAAAAAAAAGTTGTCCAATCAGACTTTGTTTCAGAAATGGTAACACTAAAGTGTCTGTGAGCCAATAATGCAACAATTTGATGATGGTTTATTCTATTTCTTATTATTAAGTAAAAAATAAATACATTAGCATACAGTGGCCATATTGTTATTGATTTTCTGTCCTCTTGGATCCATACTGAGTGAACTCTCATAGCCAGCCATTTAGTACTCAAATTCACCTGGATATTTACTAAACAGCTGTGTGTAATACCTGAATCTGAATACTGAATTTGTTTGAGATCATTTATTATTATTTTTTATTATTATTCATTTTTCACTCTAAGCTGAAGCTATTGTAATGCAGATGCTCCAGTCAGTATTAAAACACAACTGCTCTCGGCTAAGGTCCTGCTGATTGTTATAATGTGTGTATGGTGTCTAAGTAAACTGTCTTTCAATCTGCTCTTAAAGTGTGGGCCTACGGTTGTGAATATCAGCAATTAGCCTTATTCACACTGCAACCATATTGCTTTTCATACACATGGTGTCAGTTTTTGTATCGTTACTAACATTAATGTACTAAGAGTCACATTAAGCTTAGTCTCAGCCTAAAATAGACGCAGACGTTCTGAAATCTAAGGCACGTTAAACTGGCCACAACTACCTGAATTTTGTCAGTTGCATTTTGGTGGTACACCCATTTGTGTACGCACTTCCACGCACCAGTTCTAATCTCTCAGATGGGAAACAGTTTTGCAAAACTAAAGTGAACTGCTCTGTTTACTGCAGGGGTGCACAACTCCAGTCCTGGAGCGCCAATGTCCAGCACAGTTTGGTGATTTACACTTGTCTGTTAATTGCCAGGTTAAGTGGGTGCGTTTGAGCAGAGAAACCTCCAAACTGTGCTGGACACCAGCCCTCCAGGACCAGAGTGGTGCACCCTTGGTTTACTGTGACAAATCTTTTGGAGCGAGATGTGGTCACTGGATTGAAAAACATGTTCAAAGTCACAGCACTGCATCTGTAAACATGAGTCAATCGTTTCTCTAAAGCATTCAGAAGCGAGTAGGCTGAGATGTCCTTGGCAAATCTGTTTCCCATGGGTGTGTTTTTGTTGTAGCCCCAGTTTGATACAAGTCACACAAAGACAATAGTCCGTGGTTGCTTATTTTGCATGTCAATCACACGACCCTTTGCTGTCAAAGTAGGTTATTTTCCCACAGTAAGTGACACAACACACCAAACAAGTCTGGTTTGTGAGACTAACTTAACCTTAACACTAGCCAGCTAAGTACATGCTTTAACACTGGGTCTTGACTTCAACATCACAAATACCCTTCAATTTAGCCACGCCTACTCACCATTCTCCTTCAGCACACCCCACCCAGTTACCACAAGCTCCTCCCCTTCCTTGATTGATAGCTGGTGCGGGGGCAGACAGACCGGGTGAATGGAGTCTGGAGGTAGAAACAGGAACTTGGTGAGAAGACTGGAGTAAAGGTTACATCAAAAATCATCAGACTACTCAGTTGAAGAACGTCCTTGAGGACCATCCAGCCGGTTATCATTTGCTCCTCCCAACAGCTTTAGATCATATAATCAATGGTTTAAGATGACCGATTACCTACTCAGGTAAAAAAGGGAGCTGGAATTAAACAAAACAATGGACTGACTTGACGGACAAGGTCATGAACATCTTCGCTCTACTACAAATAAATGGATGACTTGTTTGGAGCACCTCCAAGTGTCACGGCCCAAGCCAGTCGGAGCATGGCGATGTCGTAGTCGTGGCGTACGTGGCTGTAGTCTTCATGAAGGATGATGGTTTCCAAGGATACGCCTCCTGATGATGTCAGGTAGGTGTGGCCGAGAACTACACGCCATGCACCGATTTCCCGTGTCCGTCTGAAAGAAGCAGCAATTCTTGATTTGACAATGGTTCTTTAGGAAATATTTCAATGCAACTGAAGGACACAAATTTTCTATCACAGTCAGTTTAAGTACTTTTTAATTTGTTACCTTATAATAATAGAAATATCAAATGACAACATGAAGGTTTCCGTATTGAACACAGTAGTTCTCACCCAATTCCCACCCTAACGATAATGCTCATTTCTGCTAGCGCCTCTATGTGGTTTCTTATGTTGCATTAGCACCAAACTAACAGTGCCTCACATTTGTTTTCTCTTACTGGGTTTAATTCTACTCAGTGCAGACTTAACCTAAATCAGACATTTGAATTATGTCAGGCATTAAAATAAGATTCTTTATATTGCAGATCTTATTATTAATGAAGCAGAACTTTATCCTGTTGGCTTAGCCTGATTAGCCTGCTACCTTTAGGCCCAGTTGTTAAAACAATAGGTTGTCAGCCCCTCAGTTTAAACAAAACCGGGCTCATATGTTGATACGTTGGGTGGTCCATGAGAGCAGCATAACTGTATGTTTGCATTAGCAGTTGACAGAGCGAAAAGTGGCCAGTGGAATGATTTGTGGAATGATTAGTAACAAGCACCAAACGACTTGTGAACAGGTGACCAATCAAGTTGAGATTGCATCGCAAGACATCAAAGCATTTTTAAAATTCCTTTCAAAACTATAAAATAGAAATGTGGCTCAGATTTATTCAACATTCTTTTGGTAATTTCCTAGTTTTTGTTCTCAGTATTTTTTATAAAATGTGGAAAATGGCAGAGATGTTCAAACTTATGGGACTGTACTTGGTGCATTTTTGCACATCTATGAGCACAAACATGTGTACAGACTCACCCAGTAAAGCAGTGAGCAGCGCTGATGACCCATCGTGTGGAGATCAGTGCTCCGCCACAGACGTGGTGTCCATCCCACTGCACACTGACCTGCCATGGCCACAACTCTGCTACTGTGTCCACTCCGCCTGCAATACGATTCAAGCCAACCACCTCCCCGCAGTCTACACATGCACAAACACATTATCAGGTTTTTAAGTTTTTTAAGAACATAAAAGTTAAAAAGAAGCTTTTCATGGCTTCAAATCTGACCATGGCTAAATAATGACTCCTTACATTTTATATTTTCTTTTTGTCAGTTTAGAATAAGTTGTTGCCTGTACAGCACCACCCTTCATTTACTTAATATCAAGTAAAAACAGCCGTTAAGTACACGTTTGCTTTTCAGCATTAAGAAAAGCAGAAATCATATTTAACCTAAATTTACACAGATCCTTCAAAAACAACTGATTATAATATTCTTTCAGTATTTATTGTGTCCAAACTTTACCTTATTTACAGCTTCCATTCTTTAAGGTGACTCACTTTCAGTTTTTCAAAAGAAATCTGTAGAGGTATTTTTTCCACACATCCAAAGTTCAGTCTTAGAAGTTGGTTGCATTTCCTGCTGCTCATGATCAAAGTAATGTAGTAGATTGTCTTATATCCAATATTTTCAGAAAAATCTCCTGAAAACTTAAAGAACTTCGACTTAATGGCTGTTTAAACTGCATTAAATGAATAAAGAGTGGTCTCAGACTTTTACACAATAGAGTATGTTGCACTAGTCACCCAACTAACGTAGCTAATGTAAGCTAGTGTTCATGCTAAGCTAATGGGCGAGCTTGGGTAGCCAAATAATAGTAGATAAATCTTCAGCACTAGATCTTATTTATCCAAGGCAAACATTCATTTATTCAAAGTAACAGTTTTGTGTTTCGTGCATGTTGTTCTCATCTTTTGTCCACTCTGTAAATTGAAAAATGGCCGCTCATTTACCTGAACAAGACAGTGATATTACTGAGCCGGACGAGCACTGATCTCTGAAAGAACACCACATTTTGAAAGAAAGACTGTGACCACATTCTGAACATGCATATATAATTTATGATAAGGTACATTAATGTATTTGTGCACATTTGTATTACCTCACACTGAGTACGTTCTGAATGGCTGTACTTGCTTCTGGAGTTTCAGTATTGATAACGGCGAAAGTCGTCCCTACAACAGACTGTAGACTCTTCACAGGGACTTGAACACTCCGTGGGCTGCTACAAGTGAACAGGACACACATCATCTCCACTAAGTGCACCATCGAACGTGCTAAATTTTAGATCACTACCAGAGAAAGGATTATTTAGCAGAGCATTCCAGAAACACTACAACAGGATTAGGCCAAAAATTCATGGTAGGATGGTGGGAAATGTTTGCTTCTTGAGTTTTGCACTGGAACAACAAGGCTAACAAGTAATGGAAGCTTATAACTCAGCAGTTAGCATGGTGCCAACTTCAAGCCTAACTCATCACACACTTGCCTCAAACTGTGTGGAGCTGTTCAGTTATTCCAAATGCAAGTAGACTTGCTTATGTGGTGTTAGACACTCTACACAGATCAGGCATAACATTCTGACCACCTCCTTGTTTCTACACTCTTTGTCCACTTTATCAGCTCCACTTACTATATAGGAGCACTTTGTAGTTCTACAGTTACAGACTGTAGTCCATCTGTTTCTCTGCATACTTTGTTAGCCCCCTTTTACCCTGTTCTTCGGTGGTCAGGACCCCCATGGACCCTCACAGAGCAGGTACTATTTGGGTGGTGGGTCATTCTCAGCACTGCAGTAACACTGACGTGGTGGTGGTGTGTTCGTGTGTGCTGCACTGGTCTGAGTGGATCAGACACAGCAGTGCTGCTGGAGTTTTTAAATATCTCAGTGTCACTGCTGGACTGAGAATAGTCCACTAATCAAAAACATCCAGCCGACAGCGTCCTGTGGGCAGCGTCCTGTGACCACTGATGAAGGACTAGAGGATGACCAAAACAAACTGTGCAGCAGCAGATGAGCTATCGTCTCTGACTTTACATCTACAAGGTGGACTGACAAGGTAGGAGTGTCTAATAGAGTGGACAGTGAGTGGACACAGTGTTTAAAAACTCCAGCAGCACTGCTGTGTCTGATCCACTCGTACCAGCACAACACACACTAACACACCACCACCACGTCAGTGTTACTGCAGTGCTGAGAATGATCCACCACCCAAATAGTACCTGCTCTGTGAGGGTCCATGGGGGTCCTGACCACCGAAGAACAGGGTAAAAGGGGGCTAACAAAGTATGCAGAGAAACAGATGGACTACAGTCTGTAACTGTAGAACTACAAAGTGCACCTATATAGTAAGTGGAGCTGATAAAATGGACAATGAGCGTAGAAACAAGGAGGTGGTCAGAATGTTATGCCTGATCGGTGTATTTATTATCTACAAACATGGATTAAAAAAGTATGAACAAAATTTTGCTGCTTCTGCTCTTAGCTATGCTATGGGAGGTACTTTTGTCCAAGTTTGTGGACAACAAGTCTGTCACAGTGTCAGAAACTTAAGAAAGATAAGCTAGTCTTTTAGTGTACTGCTGCACCAGTTTCCATTATCGGTTAGCTACAGTGTAAAACTGAAGAAGCAAGCATGTCTTTGGCTGATCAATTTTATTTGGGATAAAAGGAAAATTCCATAAATGTGACTTTTTAAAGAACTCTCTCTGTAAGGCACGTGTCAAGGTCCAGTCCTGGCGTTGGATGAGGGTTAACACTAACCTCCACAGCACTTTGGCCCAGAAGGTCCCCAGTTTGACATGCCTGCTCTAAGGGCATAACACTCTCGTTTACAAGATGGACGGTGATATTGCATTGTATAGCCAAGTAAGTGCGCTGGATGGACACAATGTTTAGCACACATGGGTGTGCATGTGTGTGTGTGTGTACTTACTGTGTGTATCCCAGCTGCTGGCATGCTGCCCGAGTGTACTGGCTTCTCCAGTTGTCCGCACACACAGTTATCCACTTTTGGTTGTCAACAAAAACCTGCAAGATTAAACTCTCACCTACCAATCGCACTACATACATCCATCCATCCATCCATACACACACACACACACACACACACACACACACCATACATACATGTTGGATGGGAGTGACATATGAATTGTTTTTATACTGAAATTACAATTTAAAAGAGCGTAATTTTCAAATTGCAAGAGCTGCATTTTTTTTTTTTACAGCCTACATTCTTTAAAAAGATGGTTCTTCAAAGGTACTTTAACACAATGGTTCTATATAGAACCATGAAAACTTAAGTCATGCTTAAGTGGTTCTTTGCATAGTGAAATGGTCCTTTAGATTGATGAATGTGCTGTATATGGTTCTATATAGCACCAAAAAGGGTTCTGCTATTGTTACAATGTCAAGCTTATAAGAATAGAAGATCCATTTTTGGTGCTGTATAGTTTTCTTACATTTGTTCTTGAGAAAGTTAAGAAAAAGTCCATGTCAGATTCATGACGTGTTCTTAAACCACAGAACTGTTCTTACCAAAGAACAAATCCCAAACAAGAAAATGTTGAATGTCAGAAACTATGTGAAAGTAAGTGGGTTTTAAGAAGAAATTTTTAGGAACAGTTGGTGAATGAGGCCCATTGTATTTACTAAAGAACCCGTGAAGAACCATCTTTTTAAAGAGTACATTATAAACATTGCCTTAGCAAATTTTAATTGGGAAATAACACTGATCTTGTGGACTACCTGTATATGACGTTAGCCCACTCAGAAGCAACCAAACCCGCCCCCCTGTACCATGTACATGATGACATAACCATAACTATCAGAGAAAAAAAAAACAAAAAAAAACAAATCACAAATCAGATATTTTCCCCTCAAATCGTTCAGCCTTACACAGGGAAATGAAAACCTGAGTACATTTCTAAGGGTTGTAGGTGCACAGCCTGGTGGTCGGTTTCTTTTTTTTATTTCACTTTGTGTGTGTGTGTGTGTGTGTGTGTGTGTGTTCACCTGGATAGGTGGCATTAATGCTCAGGTTGGACACACAGGTGAGCTCATCCTCTCCATCAGCACAATCAGCCTCCCCATCACACGCTTTAGCTACTGGAACAAACCTCAGAGACCCAGCACAGAAATAAAACCTCGAGTTTATCAGCCCGATTACTGAGAAAGAAAGAAAGAAAGAAAGATCAACATTTTCCACTAATATACACACACGGTTGAATCTTTTTGCTGAAACAGTCAGTCAAGACTTGGAGTCTGAAGTTAGCATCTGCACTGCAGCTATGAGGCTTGTGTAGCCAGCAAGTAATGGAACCTTATGTACACCAATCATTGATGAGTCTCATTCACCATTATCTTCCTACGTTTTTTCTTAATTTTGTTCTTGAGAAACATCCTAAAAAAGTCATCAGATTCATGACGTGTTTTAAACCGCAGAATTGTTGACACCTTTGTGTTCTTAAGTGTGTAGATTGGGTTCTTACCCAAGAACAAATTAGTGAATGTCAAAATCTTTGTGAAAACTGCGTTAGTGAAGAAAGAAAAAAGAAAAAAATTCTTCTTAAGAACGGATGGTGAATGAGGCCCATTGTGCTGACTGCTTGCTTACGACATCACGCACTTGCCTCAAGTTATGTTGAGTTGTGGTTTCTATGACATTCCTTTGACTTACCTATAAAAATGGACAGATGTACAGACAACATTCAGGCTGAGATGACTGACTGCTACTATATAAGTAATGCACACTTCTGTATCATTTCTTAGATAACAATATGGCATTTGGAGTCTTGGGATTGGTGTTACAGCAAAAATATACATGTTCAATACTTCAAGACTTCGATACCCAATATGCATCACAATATTTCGTTTTCTAGGGTCGAGAAGTTGGAACAGACAAAAAAAAAGCCCCAGTATTGCCACATTTTAAAAAGATCATTTTAAAAACAACTGCTAATTCAACTTTTTATTCAACCTTTCACAGACTGTACTAAATCCAATTAAACAGGACAAATTATGCTTTGTTTTTGAATGAAACAAAGTTTGTGTTTTTAAGTACTAATATCAAAATCTACAATTATCAGAAAAGCCTATCGTGATGTAATTCATCACAATAATGACGAGGCTCATCACACTGCCCATGCCTGTGCAGTCTGGACAATGTTTCCATTAAGCTTCCATTCCAACCGAAGAAGCAAACGTCCGACACAAAACATTACAAACTCACACATCTCAAACTAATTGTTGGATTGACTTATTACAGCTCACACACTGCTTAGCATTAGCTGTTAGCATGCTTACTGTAGTAGAGACCCACTGCCAGTAATGCTAGTGTTAGCAGCACACAGCACACAGCGACCAGGGCCAGCTTCCGCCTCTCCCTCCTCTCCGTCTGTAACTTCGACAGCCTCCTCGAGTTCAGGGGCATGGCTGCTCCTCAGTCTGTGGGAGGGAGGTCACACTGGTCAATGCTGTGGAGCTCAGAAGGTCAGATCTGTAATAGTGTCCATACAAGGAGAGTAAATCTTTTGAGCTCTGGCCTCACACTTAACTCTGGATTAACTAGATTATTTAAAAACATCAGTGAACATCAATTTTCAAATTTCACCATTTCATATGATTATTTTGCTACAGTTCAGAAACATTAAACACACTGAATATAGAAACACGACTGGAGGAACTATTTAGTATAATCTAAAAAAAATAATAATTTGAATTTATACACTTCAGAAAAGCTTGAGAACTATAAACTACGTGTCCTATATTCAACATTCAAAAGTTGATCCACTGATACATTTCTGTGTGTTAGTATATATATAGTGTCTCAGCCCTGGTCCTGGAGGCTCAGTACTTTTCAGTGTCTTCTCAGCTCCCAGCACACCTGATCCAACCAATCAGCTCATTGTAGAGTTAAAGTAGCTGAGTTTAAGGCAAGAAAAGCCGATTATCAGAAGAGAAACACTGAACTAGAGCGCACTCACCTTCTGTAGCTGAGCCTGTGTGTTAGTTGGTGGAGAATATTGGAATCACAGATTTACCTGGATCAATTTTCCTGACCTGAACGTCGTTCCTGACCAATGAGCAGACTCAGATGGCCTATGACATCACCTTCCCCAGCTGAGCTGAATGAGCCCTGATTGCTCGAGGTGGTTTAAACAAAAGCCTCAGCCTGTTGTTACACTCTATAGTAAAGCAGTAGTGTAAGTATGTCTGAGTATGACCAGCGTTTCTCTGCCTGTTATGCTCCAATTATGAAGATTTAGGCTGTTTTTAAGAAGTTTGGATAATGGCAAATGTTCTGTTCAGCTTTTCTTAAGACTGATGAGGCTAGTTTGGTGTTTTTCCTACATCAGTTTCAGTACTGGAGGCCTTCTAGAAGCATCTAGTGAAGTAAAATGAGGTCAAAGTTTATATGTAGCACTTCTTACATCAGGAGGGTCGGTTCATGCAGGTGAGGTTTGCACGGCGTTGCACAGTGGGAGGCTCCACGGTGGTCAAACTGGTTCAAGAAACGTGTGAGCAGTGGGATCCCGATCTGACTGATCTACTTGGTTGCAATGGCTTCTATTACTTGTCTGTCAGCAAGACGTCCTGCCTAAACCTTTTTGATCACTCAGATAGCCACTGGTGTTCATTCAGAATGGTTTGATGCAAACTGGTTTATTTGTGGAGAAACTTACTGACTCTGATTTCTTTACAGTGGTGGTGATGGGAACCAGGGGTTGTGATGTCTGCAACATTAATTTAGCCTTTTTTATTTAATAACCAAAACCACCGATGTATACAAGATATCTGAGGTTTTTATATGCAATGATGGTAAAATAGTGGTAAATCTGAAAAGGAAAAAAAAAAATCTTTGGGGACTATTTTGCCTTAGAACACCCTTAATGATCCTTCAACCATGAACAGATTAGAATTAGTTGATTGTTTTAGGCTAAAACTTCTCAAAACTACTGTAAAAAATGTCTCAGACATCAGGCTGAGTATTCATAACTTTTTAATATAATAACTTTCTGTGATTTTAGAGGCCTTAAACTCATCAGACGTCTGGTTCCTATCACTACCACTGTGAATGATTCTGACCTAAGTTTCTTTAGAACAAAGCATTTTGCACCAGACTATTCTAAATGACTTTCTTTACATCTTAACCATTTAATTATGCACAATTTTTGAAAAATAGTGATCCCAGAGCAGCAATCAGCCAAATATCTAATGGCTTTCTGCATGTCTACACTATAGACATACTACTGCATCTACACTGGCCCTTCAACTTTGTTCACTTTTCTAGTTATAGGTCTTTTAAGCCTGGCCCACACTGGCATTGTATTGCAGCCAATTAGTTGTCCACTGGAAAGCCAGTTTCCCAAACATGCATGTGTCCCTGTTTGAATCCTTGCCTCATTTTGCAACCCAACCGTCCTCTATGGCCGTGCTTTGCTACCAGAAAATGGCATGTTATGAAGAAGGAGGACTGTTAATACAGCAATCTGTCCATGGATAAAAAGAGGTTGGCTGGAAAAGCTGCCTGTAGGTTCTGTATAACATCTCACCAGCAGATGGCAGTACCCTTGGTTTTGTATGAATCAGACTGATCAGCTAAGTGTATTGATCTTTTATTCAGTTTAGCTTTAATGAATCTGATTCAGTGAACATTTCATAAGATTGTTTATTAAGGTGACTCATTTTCTACAGGATGGCTACTATTTTTTTGTCTTTTTTTCCCTTATTCACTTTTAGACACAGGAGCATCTAAAAGTAAAGAAAAAGCAAGACACTCACAAAATGTGTCCTAGATGGAGGTTTGATCGATGATCAGTGCTGAATTCAAGCAAGTTTTGTTGGTCACATTATATAAAAAAGTAAAAATTGCACATTTTGCAGGTTAATAATTAATAAATTCTGGTGGTGGATACACCAAAACAATCCTACAATGAGCTGGTCTGAGCCCCGGATCATTACACACACAGCCAATGCTCCTGTTCAGACAGTATCAAGGTTGAGCAGCCATGGCATAAATCATTGCTGTCCGCACAAAACCTTATGTCCATTTTTGTTATTGATTTATTCATTTCTCATTTTTTATTCTTTTTTTTTTTAAAGGATTTCATGATGAATGGAGTGATAGAAATGCTCTGAAATTACATAAAAATAAATCTTGTTCCATTTATTTTTCCTTCTTTTGTAAAATTTTGGCAAACAAGGTTTTGTTGTGAGTGTGAGAAAATGTAAAAAGAACCAACAAATAAAGTAAAAATGTGACTCTCCATAAAAAGAGCAAAGGAAATATGAGCACAGAATAATGAAAGTAATGAAACCATTTAACACTTTGTTGTGTAAACTCTGTTTAGGAACATGGAGGTTTCAATCAGGCCTGAAGAAGAAAGCAGCACTGACTGCTGTCATTTTTGGGTTTTTCCATTGGGTCATTTCTCCTTGTACACACAAGATGCAAGATGACATCATCTAGTATACAACAAATCAAGACATTACAAGCTTTAACTACATTTTCTCAACCCAGTGAAACACACACTCAATAAGTACCACACAGAGATAGAAAACCTTTAGGACAACATAGTACAAATATCCACCTGTGTAATAAAAATGCTGAATGAAATATTACAGCCAGTGAGAAATATGAAAAATTAGCTACTTTTGATCAATTATTTAATGATATAGGAGTGATACAACATCTTTAATTTATTTATATATATATATATATATATATATATATATATATATATATATATATATATATATATATGCCATGAATATTAACGCCTTTCTATAAAAAAGTTTCAAGCAAATTCATAAACACTCCTTAGGAAAATACAGTCAAAATATCTTAAAAAGTGGGTTTTTAGCTCTGAAGCTATATTTAGCAAGATCTCTCTGACTCAATGTTCTACGTAGGACCAAATAACTTCTGGAGGTGATAGAATTATATTAATATGACACAAAATCAAAAACTGGTTGCAAGAAAGTAAAAACTAGTGGAGATATCAATTTTTGAAAATGAAAAATGTGTTGTTCAGGTACAAAATATTCATTTTTATAATTTGATAAATGTGAAACATTCAGAAATAATTATTTATATGAATGTTGCAAATTATCCTTAAGGTTTCTTCAGTGTTCAGAACAAATTTCAGCCCAATCCAACAAACAGTAACTGATTGGTAAAGCTTGGAGTGCACATATAAAGAATCATGAAAATGATAAAGGCCAATGTTCAAAAATTAATAACTAAAGAAGTACTAGGATTTTGCAAGGTTACGTGGATCTAATAGAAGTTTTCACAAGAAATTTTTGAAGATCCATGACAAGAATGTAGAAGGCTAGGTGAGATGGTATGGAATGACCTTTTTTAGCCAGTAGATGCCACAAAACTGACCTGACATCAGAAAAACTACTCAGGATAAAAGATCACACTGGTAGGTGTGCTTGCTTGTGTGTTTGAAAGGAAGGCAATGCACCCAAAAATATCACCTTTCACTGAATACGAGCAGAGATGAGCACATGATCTTTTGTTTTTGCACTATGAAGCAAATTTAGTCGCTAAGTGGTGGCTGTCAAACCAGTCGGACGAGAAGGAACACACTGGTTAGGGACGCACAGATAGAGGCCAGGTGACCAGGGTTATTAAGGAAGTTTGGGTTGGCTGTAGTGATAACAGGGACGGGTGACATTGCAAAGTAACAGAGAGAGACAGAACGGTTAACTTTTGGCAGATTCAAACTTCAGCTTCTGTTCTTCAGAGTCTCTGATGGACGACACACAGACCAACGTGCAGGTAGATCTGACTCTTCATTGTGTTATTACTGTTTGGTGATGCTTGTTCTCTTGGAAACAGGTGAAATGCCTACATTGTTCAGAGGGTTTATACACTGACAAATAACATAGGGGGGCTAAGCCTATATTAGAGGGGATCTGGGGGGCAGAGAATTTTTTAATGGCTCCAAAATGTCTGTTCATCATGAACTGTTAGTGTAGCAACAACCAGAAAATGTGTCAAAAATGGTCACATTGGCCCACATTATATCTCTTTGTAGCTTGTATTTGGTGCAGAGCTAGAATGACTTAAGCACTGTGTCTGTCCACTTACAACAGGCACAGGTCGAGCAAAGGTACTGAAGTCAAGCACTGCTCTCTCCTCTCTCTTAGATAAGCTGCAAGGTGCTAAATATATTATTCAAATATGCAGATTATTGATCAGTTCAGTCTCAATCAGAAACTGTGTGATTTTGCTCTGTGGGCATGTTTAATAAGCTGGGTGACAGACTTTCACGGTCATAGTGATAATTATTTTCTCAGGTAAGTTAAATTAAATTCAGTAATTTTAACTGAAAGCTTGTAAAACTCTCCCTCTCTTTCTTCTTGATCACTAACCTCCATCAGATCTGCTCATTCAGTCCTGTCAGCTTTCTCTCCCTCTCTTCCTGTATTTAGTAATACATTCATTTTATTAAACTCAGATTTACAAGAACTCAAAGAAATAATGAGAAATCTATTGTATGTGCGTGTGTGTGTGTATATATATATATATATATATATATATATATATATATATATAATGTACACACACACACACACACTATATTGCCAGTATTCACTCACCCATCCAAATCATTGAATTCAGGTGTTCCAATCACTTCCATGGCCACAGGTGTATAAAACCAAGCACACCAGTGTTTGCCATATTGACTTGACATATTCTTGTTTACAGTAAAGTATTGTCACTGAAAAGGTCATATAATGTTAATCATAACACATTATATCCCTCTATTCTTCAACCTGTACATGGAAATTGAGAGGCGGCAGCTCCATCAAAGGCCAGTCAGATATGTTTATGATTTGTTCCAAAAAAAAAAAAAAGTTCTACATTATTTTATTACACTCAGGTTTACAAGAAAATAATGAGATCAATTCATTCATAATTTTTTTAACTGGTAAAAATCTTCTCGTCTGATCTTGTGTGTCAGACAACAGGACTGTAGCATCTGTCTGACTGTCTGATGTGTTGGTCTCTGACTTTTGCTCAGTACTGTATGTTTCTCACAAATCTATTTCCATATAACTTGCAGACTTGATATGATTGGCTTACAGTTTACGAGGTCTGATGTGATTGGCTTACAAATTACAAGGTCTAATATGATTGGCTTACACGGTCTGATACGATTGGCTTACATGGTCTGATACGATTGGCTTACAACTTACGAGGTCTGATATGATTGGCTTACAACATATGAGGTCTGATATGATTGGCTTACAACATATGAGTTCTGATATGATTGGCTTACAACATATGAGGTCTGATATGATTGGCTTACAACATATGAGGTCTGATATGATTGGCTTACAACATATGAGGTCTGATATGATTGGCTCACAACATATGAGGTCTGATATGATTGGCTTACAACATATGAGGTCTGATATGATTGGCTTACAACATATGAGGTCTGATATGATTGGCCTACAACATATGAGGTCTGATATGATTGGCTTACAACATATGAGGTCTGATATGATTGGCTTACAACATATGAGGTCTGATATGATTGGCTCACAAAATATGAGGTCTGATATGATTGGCTTACAACATATGAGGTCTGATGTGATTGGCTTACAAATTACAAGGTCTGATACAATTGGCTTACATGGTCTGATTCGATTAGCTTACAACTTACGAGGTCTGATATGATTGGCTTACAACTTACGAGGTCTGATATGATTGGCTTACAACATATGAGGTCTGATATAATTGCCTTACAATGTATGAGGTCTGATACGATTGGCTTACAACTTATGAGGTCTGATACGATTGCCTTACAACTTATGAGGTCTGATATGATTGGCTTACAAGTTATGAGGTCTGATACGATTGGCTTACAATTTATGAGGTCTGATATGATTGGCTTACAACTTCCGAGGTCTGATATGATGGGTAACAATGCTCAGTACTGTATGTTTGCTGCAAATTTATTTCCACATTGCTTTGTAAACATTTAAAAACATTAGAATTCATATTTAAACACAATTCTGAACACGTTTAAAACAATACACTAAGCTGTTGAGGGCTTTTAAATTACATACTGTGCTGTGTAAAGTGTTTAAAATTAACTGCACAAACACACCCAAATTAGTTTTCATGGTGTGTAAATGTTAAACACACAAACAATGCAACGCTACACCTCCAGGCAGAAACCAAGTGCAAGACCAGCTCTACTACAGCAGTGCGACATCAGTGATGAACATGAAAACAAGACAGATTTGATTTTACTGTAATTACCGCTCAGGAGACAAAGGCCTTACAGTCTACAAAAGGAAATTCTAGCTAGATGTGTGTATATATATATATATATATATATACACTCATCACCCACCTATCAGACATACATGGATGATCCATATATTATGCATATGTGTATTCATATAGCCACATATCAGTATATGTATATATGACCATATATGTCATTAATATGGTAGCAGCTACAAAAGAATAAACAGTCTAATGTTAGTCTGTTTGACTGCTGTCACTGATTTGACAGACTGAACTTTATCAGTAATTATGCCGGGGTGTGTGAACACAAAACGTTCTGAACACTCCTTTTACAGTGTTACTGTAAACACACATTACCGTCAGGATGAAGCAGCGCATTGAATGTGATACAGGTTTGTTTATTTCCAAATCAAGACTGGACTTGTAACAACAGACACGCACGCCAAAGTCAGTAACGGCAGGACAGGAACACGTCATCATGGATTAATGAAATATGATACACGCCTGTGTCACAACGGAAACCTACTGCATACAACATTACATGCAATACCCACTATTCCACACACTGACACTGAGTTGTTAGGATACTCTCAAGTGCTGAAGTTGAAATTGGGGTAGAATCACATTTAAATGATGTTGTTTAGTATTGATGGACACAGAGCATGCAAGAATACACTGCATGCTAAAAATGTGTTTGTTTTCCTTTTAGTGTGAAGAAAATCCTCCTCCGTATTTCTCTGTGGTGAAGCCGAATGAACCCCCTCCTTCATATGTGGACATCCAGCCACTGCCCAGTGCTTCGGCCATCATCCCCTACTACATCCACCACCCTCTGCCCAAAATACCTGCACCACAAACACCTCAACCTGTTATAGCTCCTACAGCCAGAGTTCAACCAGGTACTACACACAGACACACTATATAAACATATCGTCACCGTGAGAACCAAAGCTCTTATCTCCAAAGTGTTAACTTTACAGGAGGAGGAAACAAGGTTCACAACTTTTACTGTAAAGAGATTTTATTCCAAGCAATTTCGGACAATTTCTATTGGTCAATTCATCATCAGTTGTTCACATAACGTAAATAGCAGCTGTTTTTTTTTCGATTCACGTCAAAAATGACAGAAATGGACATCCAAGGGAGGTTTTGTTCTGATAGTGATGATAAGCGCTCATGCATACACACCTGAAAATAGAAATATTAGTGTAAAACATGCTCATTACCACATGATGATAAATGGATCATTTTTAGGGGGGGGCAGACCAGAACTCATTATGTTAGTGAGCTCAAAAAGTTGATTAATGTCTTCCTGTTGATCTGTATTTGTTGTTCTCTGCCATTGATACAAGTGTTAAAAATAGAAATGTATTATTATTATTATTATTATTATTATTATTATTATTATTATTATTGTAGTAATAGTAGTATTGTTATTATGTGTTAAGGTGTAGCCAGGTAAAACTGAACTAATTTAGCTTCTAATACTAATGGTCTTCCAGCTTTCCTCAGTTTCCCAGCAGAGCAGGGTGATGGAGATTAAGGCCCAGTCTCATTTCTTATTTTTACCCCTACTCTTTGTTTTCGAGTGTCTCTCTTGCCCCATGGAACTGAGTAACAAATCGTAGTGGTTGAAATCTTCCTCTATGAAATGAAACAACCCTCAAATAAAAAAATAACATTACTTCATTATCAGGCTATTAGTGCTGCTCTGCAGGCAACCCTGCCAGTGACAGCAGAGGAGGGTAAAGTTCAGCTCCTCACTGCTGGGCTTTAGTTACATTTAGGGAATCATAATCCTTCAAAGAGGGGGATGATAATTATTTATTACCACCCACCTCTAATTCTTCATTGATATTCAGCTGAAGTCAGCTATTCACCAGTTCACCAGCATCCACCTTCGCGTTTGAATTTTCCCGTTCCACCTTAAATGGTGCAGCAGTTACATGCTGCCGCTTCAGGCGTCAGTACTGCTGGATGATTTAAGTTGGACCAGGAAATGTAGCTAGCAAGCTACCGACATTAACATACTATTTTTTTATGCTTGTTATGAAGAAAAGGATTATAAAACATCGAAATGACATTAAAGTTAATACGATGGTTCTTGTATTAATTTAACAGAGAAAATTCTCATATATGTGGGTTTGTTTGGTTGCTTGCGCAGCCATCTTCCCGGCTTTTCCTCTTCTTTTATAACGCTCTGTTTGGAGTGCGACTCTGAAAAACCTCCTTTTGGAGGGTCATGTAGCCCAAACACTTCACCCTACACCTCTATCTCAACAAAGATCAGGACGCCCTACACCTAGGCATGAACACCCAAAACGGAGGGGTAGGGCTCAGTGGTGGGGTGAGGGGTGGTAATGGGATCAGAATCAGAATCAAGCTGTATTGGCCAGATATGCTTACACATACAGGGAATTTGGTTTTGGTTACAGGAGCTCACAGTTCACAGTCTCTGACAAACATTTCCATGTAGTAAATAAAAAATAAAAATAAAATTAAATTAAATGAAAAGATTGGGCCTAAGTGTAAGATTACATTGGAATTTCAGCTTGAATGCTCCAGGAGGTTCCAGGAAGTATCAGCATCAACTCCCTGGAGATATTCTGAAGACTGGTTTTAAAGCCTCAACCAAGAGCTTTCTGGGATGTCTCAAATCCATCAGTATAGAACATGTGTGTTTCTGATTCTGGATTTTGTAATGGCTGGTAGATAATTGAACTGTTGATGAAGCTTATTAGCCTTGTGCTTCTTGTAACAAACTTTATTAAGGAAAATTATTTCAACCCTGAGACATCTTCAAAAACAGAGTACAAAAATTCAAAATACAGAATACAAATATATCAACAGCTCACAATATTATGCAATTTAGTTAATTTCTGACATTAATTAATTACTGACATTGATTAAAAGTCCAGGGGAACTTTTTTTCCTGTGACTGTCTGTCTGTTGTGCTCAGCCTTTTAAATTCACAGAATATTTGTTTAAAAACAGTTTCTGCAGGTATTACGCATTGTTCAGTGACCGTTTGTAGCACGTCTTCTATTGCCAACGCAAACAATGAACCAATAAAGTTCTAAAACATTTTTGGAAAAAGTCTCGTTAAAAATTCCAAACATCACACTTTTCACATTAATATTAAAATTCAGACCAATGTGCATCAAATATCCTCCATCTGCCGTTCTTGTTCTTGATTGGCCGTCTGGTGTCACAACAAATAGTGATTATAATATCCTGTACAAAACGAATTAAAGGTCCAGAGTTCAATACCTCCAGCAATAGCATCTTCCTGTAGAGCAGAGGTCTTCAAGTCCAACCTCTGAACCAGGTTTCTGGTCCTGTATTTTGTATTCAGTGGCAGTTCATTGAATTATTGAGGTAACTGATTGGTCTCCTAGTGTCACACCTGTGAGTGGCTGCAAAATCCAGGACTGGATACTAGATTCAAGGTCCGGATTGGAAGAGCTCCAGAGTGTTCCTGTTCTTTATATTGTTATTATTATATTACACTGTGTATTAAGAATAGGCCAATAAAAATGATCCAGAATTACTTGTTGTTAAAACATCATATTATATACATTAACCTACATTAAAGTGAAGAGCATTGGGCCTCATTCCCCAACCATTCTTAAGAAGAAAATTTGTCTTAAATCCCACTTACGCAGGTTTCACGAAGATTCCGACGCTCACCAATGTTTTCTCATTTGGGATTTGTTCTTAAGTAAGAACAGAATCTACACCCAGTCAACAGCATAAAGAAGAGGTTTAAGAACACGTCGTGAATCTGACGTAGACTTTCTTAACTTGCTCAAGAACGAATTTAACGAAAACCTGAGGAAGATATTCGTGAATGAGGCCTACTGTTTTTTTTCCTCCAATTATAAAGTTATTATATCCATTTTGGAGATACAAAGTGTTTTTATAACAGTATTCCAAGTCTCAACACAACTCCTCCCCCTTCAGCAGACTCGCCCCAGGCCAGGCTAGTGGTGACACGAAGCAAGAAAGCTCGCTGCTATGGAGGCTCTGGAGGCTCCCTCCTCATCTTGGTAGTCATTGGAATAGCCATCTGGTTAGGAGGTACGAGAAGCTCTCTTCACCTTTATGCCTCTTCATATAACTTCTCATTGTTGACTTTCTGACTCATTGCACATGAAACCAGCCAACAGTGAACGATGAGTGGTATTTAAGGACTGTGTTCTGGCTTTTGGCCTCTGTTTAGTGCATTACAGTGCATCGCTGGTGTCTAAAGGCTCAGAAGCGGACACTTGCCCGTCCTCAGCTGTCGGCTGCGATGGACACAGAGACTGCACGCGGGGCAGCGACGAAACACATTGCGGTCAGTCTCAATGGAAACAGAACAACCATTCAGACCATCACAATGGCAATGCATTTATGTGTGTTTATCACTTCAATCATTTTGATTTAAGTTTTATTTTAATCCAAAATGAAACACACAATATGCATTTTGTGTATTCTGACAGTAATAATTGTGGAGTGATTTTAATCCAGTATGAATCTGCAGTGTGTGTAGTTTTACAGTCTGACAGTAATAATTGTGGAGTGATTTTAATCCAGTATGAATCTGCAGTGTGTGTAGTTTTACAGTCTGACGGTAATAATTGTGGAGCGATTTGAATCCAGTATGAATCTGCAGTGTGTGTAGTTTTACAGTCTGACTGTAATAATTGTGGAGCGATTTGAATCCAGTATGAATCTCCAGTGTGTGTAGTTTTTACAGTCTGACTGTAATAATTATGGACTGATTTTAATCCAGTATGAATCTGCAGTGTGTGTAGTTTTACAGTCTGACTGTAATAATTATGGACTGATTTTAATCCAGTATGAATCTGCAGTGTGTAGTTTTACAGTCTGACAGTAATAATTATGGACTGATTTTAATCCAGTATGAATCTGCAGTGTGTGTAGTTTTACAGTCTGACAGTAATAATTGTGGAGTGATTTTAATCCAGTATGAATCTGCAGTGTGTAGTTTTACAGTCTGACTGTAATAATTGTGGAGTGATTTTAATCCAGTATGAATCTGCAGTGTGTAGTTTTACAGTCTGACGTTAATAACTGTGGAGCGATTTTAATCCAGTATGAATCTGCAGTGTGTGTAGTTTTACAGTCTGACAGTAATAATTGTAGAGATTTTAATCCAGTATGAATCTGCAGTGTCATTTTTATGGTCTGAAGTAATAACTGTGGAGTGAATTGTCTTTTGTACTGGCTGAATCCAGAGCCCCCTCAGCAGTAGTAGTCCTGTTCCATTAGTCATGCTGATAGAAAAACAAAACACACCATGTTCTTAGTGTTATTGTAAACGTCCTGTGGCATAATTTTGACGTGAACATCCGGGCGGTCCATAGGAATCACTTAAAATAGTGCTTTCATCAGCTGTTTATCTGCAAGTTCCTTGTGGTTAACCTGGACATTCGCAAGGTGAGCTGGAGTGTAGTATTGCACCGAATGACCTCTGTTCTCCTCTTGTCTCTGCAGTGCGGTTCGGTGCAGGAAACGAACTCCAAGTCATGACTTCAAACTCCAGCCAGTTTCTTCCTGTCTGCTCTGCGGGCTGGAACCAGAGCCTGGCTGACCAAACCTGTCGGCAGATCGGATTCAGAGGGTGTGTGGAAGATTATTACACTCAGACACAAACGTATAGCCAAGCAGTTTGCTTGACACACAGCACTGCGGATTCACAAGGCAGAGCTGACATTTCGGACGTGCACGTGACCTACGCACAGTGGAACCTTCACATCACGTCTGATTCATTTTTGTTTTATTTTTTTACCCATTCTTTTTCTTCCCGAACTTCTGTTTGACAGACAAGGATATGCCTACGTAAAAAACAGCTATGAACAGTCACTGCTTTGGCTATAGTCAGTGTGTAAAATCCCCCTTGGTATTCGGGGGTCCCATGTTAGCTGGCTACTCTATAGGCTGGCTGCTAACTTACTCACCCTAGTGGCGCTAATAGAAGCTTCAGTGGCCAAAAAAGTTTTGTTCAGCAGTTTCTAGTTTGCTAATATGCTCTTCCACACATTAATTAAGATTCAGTTCTACCCTTTTCAGTCTGAGGAACGAGTAATAATTTCCACCAATCCTTTGGAAAATTGGGCAAGTTTCAGATTCATATTGCAAAGTTTTTCAGAGGCATCCTGACCACACTTCTTAGACTATGAAGAACCAACTGAGTACAGCGCCCCCCCGAGGCAGACCAGTGGTGCACCTCTGCTTAGTTAAGACCACCAAGAATAGGCCTATGTTGCCATTTTGTGGTTTAAGCAAGTTAAACAATGACCTTTCCCTGAATTTGTACCCTGTGATGGACTGGCGATCTGTCCAGGGTATTTTCTGCCTTCTGCCCGATGAGCGCTGGGATAGGCTCCAGCACCACCTGTGACCCAGAAGATTTTGTATCTGGGCGTCTATTTTATCCTAATGAACAGCATAACGTCATTGTAAGTTTATTTTCAGCGACTCCATAAAATTTAGATTTTAAGGCGTTCAGGGGGTCCAAGAGGTTAATTAGGAGGTCCTGGACACCCCCCAGGAACCCCTGTATTTTGCACCATGGCTATAATTGCTGCGTTGTTATTCTCCAATCTTTCAGCCATAGAAGGCCGTACATTTTCTTTAACCTTTGCATTTGTATAGTCACTGTGTTGCTTATCGTATAAGATTTTGTGCTCCACCACCTTGGTGCAATTTTACTGGGCTGTCATCATGACATTCTACAACAAAATCAACAAAATCAACCTGGCTCTGATTAATGATTTTGATGTGAAAGACAGCATTAATACAGATGTGATGGTTTTCAGAACAATAAATGTGACACAATACACAACTTTTCACTTTTCATCAATAATAACCTAAAAAAATTTAGGTTATTATTGATAATAGTCTACATAAACAAGTATTCCGCCAAGAAATGTCGTTCCTTTAGAGTACGGTTTCGTTGACAAGCAACCATGGACCATTGAATGATATTGCAGTCATTTGGTGAATTTTCTGAACATATGATGTCACAGCACTGTTTAATGCAAAGACTTTCACTTTATAAGCGCTTTTTGGTCACCAAATCACCACCGCGAGTCTTATGTAGCACCAATCCAGCAGCGTCCCTCTTCTCACGCTGGGGCTGAATCTTAAATGGCTCCCTGCTCCCTACATAGTGCACGATGTAGGGGTTTGAATACTGGATCCTGCAGCCCAACAGTGCAAAATACCTCGATACATGATGCACTGTTTGGCTGTAGAGGCTAGAATTTCACAACTTTCATAGTTAGCACACTGTTTAGGGAGTACGGAGCCGTTTGGGACTCAGCCTGGGTTTGACACTACTTAATAATAAATGAAACATTTGAAGTGTGTAAGTGATATTTTTCAGACTTTTATACTGCCGTTTTACAGTTAATCATACTGGAAGGACTTTAATTCAAATCTGTGAGATTAATGATGGAGTTGTTTGGGCTGTTGGCTCTTTTAGCCTGTTAGCTAGCTGACCAGCCTGGTTCTAGTTAAGAACATTCACTCGGTGGTCCATGCGAGCAGCAAGAGAGTCATAGATTATTCCATTAACAGCACAAGGGTTTTTTCATGTCGTGGCGCAGTGATGTACAATTCAGTTGTTGTGAGGCACTCATAGGTGTCCATACCATGGACTTTAGGACCGGAACTATTTGCTTAGTAAATAAGCCTTAAATAACCTTTTATTCCAACAATAAACACTAGAGTATTCCTTTAAGATGACTAACCGTGAAAGCAGTGTGTTTTCCAAAAACAGCGCAGTGACTCTAATCTGGATGTTTGTGTTGTACAGGAGTTATCAGTATGGATCCTTGTCCTCAACCTCATCTTGGTTCCTGTCTGTGAGCGGTCAGTCCGCAGACAACATACAGGGAAGACTTAAAGTCACGTAAGAATCTTTCACATAAAAAGCTGAAACCAGTACAAACCAGTACGAATAAGGCAGTGGTGAAACTGGCAAACCAGTTTTTTACCTTTTTACCTCTTTAAACTGTAGTGATACTCTCTGTTAGCTCACTGAGAGACCCTGCAGCTGCAGTGACGCTGTTCCTGAAGGTCCTGGTTGGAGCTTTAAACAGTGAATGTGATACTAATATTGTTCTGCAGGAAACTATATAAAGTCACCATGTATCAAAATTTTAAACTCTGATTTTTTTCAAGGAGCCAAATTAGACTCAGTTATGTTAGTGGGCATATTTTTATATGAATAATAATATTGTCTGTTAGAATATTTAAAACTAGCAACAATAACAGACCACATTAACTTAGTGACTGATTTCTAGCTACTAGTACATAAAGTGACGTCACAGTGTGATGCCAAAAGTTTTGGGTTCCATATTTTTATTTGAAATAATAAATGATGCTTATTTAATTTTTATAAAAAATGTAATTGAACAAATATATATATATTTTTTAACCAGTTTCATCAGGAATGATTAGCTAATGCCTGCGTATAAATACTGGCAGACCACTGGTTTAAATCATTCTGCTGTAACTTTGGCTAACAGTTTAATAGTGTTTGTGTATTTGCAGTTCGTCGTGTCCAGGTCAGCGGACAGCATCTCTCCTGTGCACTGGTGAGTTCTTCACCTGCACCAGCCTCCGTGTGTGTGCAGCACTTAAAAACACTGCTTTGCTAAAGTGTCTTTTCCGTCTTCTTCTTGCTTCAGACTGTGGGTATCCACACACCTCCTCCAGGATCGTAGGGGGTAACGTGGCAGGACTGGGTCAGTGGCCGTGGCAGGCCAGCCTGCACTTCTTGGGATCTCACACCTGCGGAGGCTCTCTGGTGGCCCAGGACTTCATACTGACCGCTGCACACTGTTTCCCCAAGTATGAGCCACACAAAGAGAGGATGGCTGGATGTGTGAAATGGACGAGTGAGTTGGATGTATTAGGATGAGTGGTTGGACAGAGGAATGAACTGATGGATGAATGAATGGATGCACAGATAACGGATATTTGGATGGGAAGATTAATGAATGGACACAATAATAGATTGATAAAATGAAGTGATGGATATCAGTAGATAGATGCATGGATAGATGAATGAGTAAACAGACAGATAAACAGATGGACAGAGTTGCATGGAGAGTTGCATGGGTGAGGGATTGATAGATGGACAGGTGGAGGATTGATAAGCCACAAAGGGTAGACAGATGGATGGATGGATCGACTGGTAGAAGTCTGAATGGATGAACGGCTTAATAAACAAGATGGATATATGGATCAGCTGTGGATAGAGGGATGTATTGTTGGATGGTTGGATAGATAGATGGATGGATGACTGGACAGATGAATGATTTTATGGATGAAGGGAGAAAACAATGAACAGATGAGTGGACAGATAGGTGGATGGGCAGGTGGAGGATGGATGAGGCACAACAGTGGATGGATGGATGGATGGATGGATGGATAAAGGGATGACTAGATGGATGGATGAATCAATGAATGAATAAACAGGTAAGCTATAGAGCTCACTTGCCCTGTCAGGTGGACAGATGAGTGGGTGGATAGATGAATGAGTGGATGGATAAGGCACAGAGAGTGAACTGATAAATGAGTAGACAGTTGGAAAATAGATGAGTGCATGGATAGATGTATAAGGTATATAGAGTAGATGGATGGATGGACAAAAGTATGAATTGCTGGATGGATGGATGGAAGAAATAATGAGTTGATAAATGGATGGATGATTGGATGGATAAAGAGATGACTAGATGGATGGATGATTGGACTGATGAATGAATGAATGAATGAATGAATGAATGAATGAATGAAGGACAGTTGAGCTATAGGTGTTGATAGAGGGATGAATAGGGTGGATAGATGAATGAGTAGATGCATAAGGCACAGAGAGTGAACTCACAAATGAATAGACGTTGGAAAATAGATGAGTGCATGAGTGGATGGATAAGGTATAGAGAGTAGATGGATGGATGGATGAGTTGATGGACAAAAGTGTGAACTGATGAATGGATAGATGGATCTGTGGATAGATAGAGGATGGATGGAGGGATGGATGGAAGAAATAATGAGTTGATAAAGGGATGGATGATTGGACGGATAAAAGGATGACTAGATGGATGGATGACTGGACTGATGAATTAATAAATGCACAGGTGAGCTATAGGGGTGGATTGATGAGTGGATGGATAGAGGGATGAATAGGGTGGATAGATGAATGAGTAGATGGATAAGGCACAGAGAGTGAACTCACAAATGAATAGACCGTTGGAAAATAGATGACGGCATGAATGGATGGATAAGGTATAGAGAGTAGATGGATGGATGGATGGATCTATGGAAGGAAGAAATAATGAGTTGATGAATGGATGGATGATTGGATGGATAAAGGGATGACTAGATGGATGGATGACTGGACTGATGAATGAATGAATGAATGAATGAATGAATGCACAAGTGTGCTATAGGGAGTGGATTGATGAGTGGATGGATAGAGGGATGAATGGGTGGATATATGAATGAGTAGATGGATAAGGCAGGATGAATAAACAGTTGGAAAATAGATGATGTTAAGGTATAGAGAGTAGATGGATGGATGGATGGATGGATGAGTGGACAGATGAAAAGACAGGTGAGCCACAGGGTATAGAGCATCGATTAGACTGAGCTCATTACAGCAGTTGAATGGCGTGATGTAGCCCTGATCTTATGGTTAATTAAAAAATAAAGGACCTCATTTGATTATCATTAATGAATTTTATTAGCAGGTCTCAAGACTGAAAGAATGGATCTATACATGGTTGAATGGACGGTTAAATAGACGGATGTTCACTGTTATTCTATTGCCTCTTCAGAGACTCCGCCTCTAGGCAATTGCCTAGTAACTGGCAAGTGTATTTGGGTGTGGTGTCTCAGTACCTGCTGCCCCTGCCGTACTCCGTAGAGCAGATCACACTGCATGAACTGTACAACTCCCAAACCAACGACTACGACATCGCCATCCTCAAACTCAGCCAGCCCGCCAACCTGTCCAGTCAGTCCACTCACACACAAACACCCTTACACGCTTAAACACCACTGGAATTAACCATTACACACGTTACACATAGAGGTAAAGCTTTTCTGTAGGGCATGTTTATAAGGTTACATGATGCCTACATAGGATCACCATGACAACTCATATAAAAAGGCTTGTTCCAGCATTGTCTGTCATAAACGCTGCTCTTGTCAACTTTGATGTCGAGCTGATATAACACCTGTGCAGGTGATACAAATTCTTTCAGACACTGGGTTGTCATGACACTTTTTGGGTGAAATGATATCGGAAGTTATTACGACTGACATTTATATCACTAAGCTACAGTGTCACGTAATGCTGAAAATGCATAGCAAGCTATGTGTGACATACACTGAGCTATATAGTTTATATCATTTCACCCTAGAAAGTGTGACAACATAGATGTTCTGTCAACTTGACAACAAAGCTGGCAAATCCAACCTTTATGACAAATGACACCTGTTGGAATCAGTGCTTATAAATGTTTATGTACACAATATTGCCAAAAGTATTCGCTCATCTGCCTTCACACGCATGACATCCCATTCTTAATCCATAGGGTTTAATAAGATGTCGGCCCACACTTTGCAGCTATAACAGCTTCAACTCTTCTGGGAAGGCTGTCCACAAGGTTTAGGAGTGTGTTTATGGGAATTTTTGACAATTCTTCCAGAAGCGCATTTGTGAGGTCAGACACTGATGTTGGATGAGAAGGCCTGGCTCACAGTCTCCGCTCTAATTCATCCCAAAGGTGTTCTATCGGGTTGAGGTCAGGACTCTGTGCAGGCCAGTCAAGTTCTTCTGCATCAAACTCGCTCATCCATGTCTTTATGGATCTTGCTTTGTGCGCTGGTGCGCAGTCATGTTGGAACAGGAAGGGGCCGTCCCCAAACTGTTCCCACAAAGTTTGGAGCATGAAATTGTCCAAACTCTCTTGGTCTGCAGAAGCATTAAGAGTTCCTTTCACTGGAACTCAGGGGCCGAGCCCAACTCCTGAAGAACAACCCCACACCATAATCCCCCTCCACCAAACTTTACACTTGGCACAATGCAGTCAGACAAGTACCGTTCTCCTGGCAACCACCAAACCCAGACTCGTCCATCGGATTTCCAGATGGAGAAGTGTGATTGGTCACTCCAGAGAACACGTCTCCACTGCTCTAGAGTCCAGTGGTGGCGCTTTACACCACTGCATTCGACATGCAGCTGCTCAGCCATGGAAACGCATTCCATGAAGCTCTCTACGCTGTTCTTGAGCTAATCTGAAGGCCTCATGAAGTTTGGAGGTCTGTAGCGATTGACTGCAGAAAGTTGGTGACCTCTGCGCACTATGCGCCTCAGCATCTGCTGACCCCACGCTGTCATTTTACGTGGCCGACCACTTCGTGGCTGAGTTGCTGTCGTTCCCAATTGCTTCCACGTTGTTATAATACCACTGATAGTTGACTGTGGAATATTTAGTAGTGAGGAAATTTCATGACTGGACTTGTTGCACAGGTGGCATCCTATCATGGTACCACGCTGGAAAGTGACCCATTCTTTCACTAATGTTTGTAGAAGCAGTCTGCAGGCCTGGGTTCTTGGTTTTATAAACCTGTGGCCATGGAAGTGATTGGAACACCTGAATTCAATGATTTGGATGGGTGAGTGAATACTTTTGGCAATATAGTGTAGATCTGTGTCAGTTGTCATAAGGGACTTATGTAGGTGCCATGTAGCCTTACTGTCCTACAGTAAAGTGTTACCCAAATTAATGTCCATTTGTTATTGCTGTTCATTGATTATGGTCTCATAATACAAACAACTTTGGTTGTGATTTATATGTGTAGGAAAATGCTCACTGTGTGTGCAATGCTGTTGTAGGTACAGTCCAGCCTGTGTGTCTTCCTGCATTTGACCAGACCGTCTCTGCAGATACACAATGCTGGACGTCAGGCTTTGGTGCCACGTATGAAGGAGCAGGTGTGTCAAAATCAACATTTATAGGGTACTTTCTATCGGGAGGCGTCTGTCGCAAACACTAACCCCTAAATTTACACTTGTGAAAACAATACATTTTTAAAAACTTTTTAAGGTGAAGTTTTAGATTTTTATGCGGTAAAAATGTGCTAAAAAATGCTGTCCTATGTTTTCATTTCAGTACCGAAACACAATTTCAGTCTGTAGGCGTGTCCCTTCATTTTAGATCAGGAAGTGAGGCTGCGTCCCTGTCCCTCATGGCCACATAGTGAGCAGTTAGATCCCATTGTTTAAGTAAATGTGTCCCAAAGTCTGAAAATCAGTGTGGAACATTAAGAATTGTCACTACCAAAACACATTTTCTACAATTAAGTGGGCGTTTTTGTGTTTTAATTAAAAAATATTCTGATTTTATGTGTGTGCAGCTGTTCTCAGCTGTGTTTGCGACTCATGTACTGGCTAGTGCTTTTGAGTTATACTCAAAATGAGCTAAAATTGTCACCAAAGAAACAGTCACTACTAAAACATTTCGTAAAGTTTCGGTAGTAAACATATTCATAACATAATAAACATGATTAAGGAATAGAGTCACTTAATACAAAAGGATTTTAGTCTAAATTCCAAGTCAATTAAAAGTCCAAAGTGTGTTTTGAACTCTGTACCAATGCGGTAGAATGATCCATATCCACTTCTTCAACTCCTTGAGACCACCGGTGGTTCCAAAACGCACTTCGTCATATTCTTCATGACTGTCATATTTCATAAGCTACAATCAAAAGGTGGGTGTCATATGAGGCTGTAACTGTCTTCTTTCCAGTCAGATGGGTGATGTCATTTTAAACCCTTATAATAAAAGAAGCTGAACTCACATTTTTTGTCTACTGAAAGTCGACCCATTTTTCCACAAATCTGGGCTATAAACTATAAACAGACGGCGTCTCTTCAGTGATCTGCTCTTCAGTGATAATAATTTTTATAAAATAATACAAAGAGCATCTAAGATTTTTATCTTTCAGCAGTAAATTGTAAGCATATAGTAAAAAACACGTCCTGTTAATTTGAGGGGAACTTTTACATAAATAAAATAAACATGTACATTTATTTCATGCAGTTACTGAATAAGTTGCCTTACGATTTGGTCATATAAATTCAGATGGAACAACCAAAATATACCCTGGAGAATAAGAGGTTAAAACCACCTCCTTGTTTCTACACTTATTGTCCTTTTTATCAGCTCCACTTGCCATTTAAGTGCACTTTGTAGTTCTACAATTACAATCTGCTGGGGTTTTTAAACACTGTGTCCACTCACTGTCCACTCTATTAGACACTCCTACCTTGTCAGTCCACCTTGTAGATGTAAAGTCAGAGACGATAGCTCATCTGCTGCTGCACAGTTTGTGTTGGTCATCCTCTAGTCCTTCATCAGTGGTCACAGGACGCTGCCCACAGGACGCTGTTGGCTGGATATTTTTGGTTGGTGGGCTGTTCTCAGTCCAGCAGTGACACTGAGGTGTTTAAAAACTCCAGCAGCACTGCTGTGTCTGATCCACTCAGACCAGCACAACACACACTAACACACCACCACCACATTAGTGTTACTGCAGTGCTGAGAATGATCCACCACCCAAATAGTACTTGCTGTGTGAGGGTCCATGGAGGTCCTGACCACTGAAGAACAGGGTAAAAGGGGGCTAACAAAGTATGCAGAGAAACAGATGGACTACAGTCTGTAACTGTAGAACTACAAAGTGCTCCTAAGTGGAGCTGATAAAATGGACAATGAGTGTAGAAACAAGAAGGTGTACTTAATGAGTGGCCAGTCGGTGTGTGTGTGTGTGTGTGTGTGTGTAAATAAACTTAAAAGGTGAATATTGTTTTTTAAGGGTGATTATGAGAATGTTTGGAAATGGCAATGTCTATTCGAAGCCTGTGAGATGCTGTTCAGGCCAGCCCTACTAAACAGTTTGTACATGTCAACAAACAAGGACTTGCGGGACACTTTTTTGTCTGAGAACACATTGACAGTAGTAAATGTGTATTGTGCCCTTGCCACATTCTGTTAATATCAGGTGTGAGCCGTGCCTCTGACGCCTGCTGGAGATTTCAGTGTGCGTGTGTGTGTATTTGTGTGTGTTTGGGTGCGTCCAGGCTTTGGCTCCAGTAAGCTGATGGAGGTGGCAGTGGATATAATCGACTCGTCAGTGTGTAACAGTGCTGAGGTCTATAACGGGCGGATCACGCAGAACATGCTGTGTGCGGGAGATCTAAACGGGGGGAGTGACTCCTGCCAGGTAACACATTGCCACGTTATACAAGTTATATATTATACGTTATATATTTTAGCCACGTTATACAAGTGTAAAAGTCTCTCCAAGCTACATTTAAGAACCAAAACCCCTCCCAATACTGTGACTCCTCCCCCCTCTGTTCTACGTATGGGGAAGACCTCGCTCACTGGACCGCGACCACAAAACAGAGGCATCGCTGCCCCTTCAGTTCAGCTCCTGACGCGAATTTCCCCTCTGAGTTTAATTCAGTAGCGTCCTGAGCTGCGTAAAATAAAGTTTAGCTGGTCTTTACTTCATCTCCTCATTATTCACTGTCCTGCTACAATATGTTGTTTTATCATAACGACTAATACATAAGGTTAATTATACGTAGCATCCATCTTTTAGTAAACATTGCTGTGTAAGGAAATAATCATACACATACACACGCATTTTCTGAGCCGCTTATCCTTCTGGGTCACGGGGGAGCTGGAGCCTATCCCAGCACTCATTGGATGGAAGGCAGGAAACACCCTGGACAGGTCACCAGTCCATCACAGAGTACACAGACAGACATATACATTCACTCACACCTAGGGGCAATTTAACATCTCCAACTGGCCTGACTGCATGTCTTTGGACTGTGGGAGGAAACAACACGGGGAGAACATGCAAACTCCACGCAGAAAGGACCCTGGTCACTCAGCCTGGAATAGAACCCAGGCCCTTCTTGCTGTGAGTGCTGCCCACTGTGCCGCTGGACATCATTAACGGCAAGAAAAATTTTGATTTTCGATACAAAAACCGCCTTTGAAATAGAACAAAAAAACAAAGAATATCACAGCCGATTGGTTGTTGCATATAAGCTGATTTGCATATTACATGCCACATAGCAGACTAACCAGAGACGCATTGGATTACCAAGTGTAAATTCAGGGGTAGACGGGGTCTTAGAGACTGTAGTCTATCTGTTGAAGCACTGTTTGTGTTAGCCACCCCCTAGTCCAGGGGTGCACAACTCGTCCAGCACAAAATGTCCAGCACAGTTTGATGAATTACCGGCTTAAACACACCTGATTCAACTCATCATTAATTCTCAGGTGTCTGAATGGGGGAACTACTAAACTGTGCTGGACACGGGCCCTCCAGGATCAGAGTTGTGCACCGCTACTCTTGTCCTTCGTTATTGGTCAGTTTCTGATCATATAGCCACTCTTGGCCAGATATTTTTAGCTTACATCACGTTCGTGTTATTTGTTGTCTTGAAACTATGACCTTCTAAGAAAGGCACATATGTTAACAGCATTGGGCGAAAAAGCTGCTCACACATCTGTACAGTTTCTGCCATCTTGTGGATCATAAAGTGAATTGCACTCTGACATCTGCAGACCACATCTGGGAGTAACACACTATACCATGACATCTGTTTGCACTGGTGACATCTTGATTATTCTCCAGCTAAAGTAGCTTTATTGACACGACAGTATTCAGTTACTGTATTTACGTTCTATTGCACAGATACACTGTTTAAGCTTGTTGAATTTGAGGTTCAGCTGAAGCATCAAATTCACACAATTTTCCTCCTTTACACCAAATGTAGTCTGTCAGCTGAGCATGTCTGATGTGCAGTTTTCGCAATGGAGTGAGAAGATTTATAGAGCTAACAAGTAACGGAGGCATTGTTAGCATCCAATTAGCATCATACAGTCTGCATGCCTAAATAATCAAACACTTGCCTCCAACCGTATTGTTAAAGTGGAATTCCACTGAATTATCACAATTTCTGCATAATTCGGTGGTTAAATCATTCACAGTGGTTTGATGTGAAATGATTCATTGTGGAGAACTTACTGACTCACAGTGGACTCTGGTTCCGTTCTCTGTTCCCTGGTGATAGGAACCAGAGATTGCAATGTCTGCAACATAAATATTGCCATTTTATTTGCTATCCAAAACCAACAGTGAACCTAAATGAGTTTTTATATGTAATGCTGATAAAAGTAAAATAGTAAATATAAAAAAAAACTGTTATAAATTGATTTTAAGTTGTTTTTAAAAACCTTACAAATAAGTTTGAGGCCAAAATTGTACCTCAAAACTATTGTAAAACAGTTTTTCAGACATCAGGAGCACATTCATAACCGTTTTTGTCTAATAACTTTCGAGGAGGTAGTTTGTAGACAGGTTGGACTGCTGGCTTCTACAGTTCTGACTCAGTAAGTTTCCATAGACCAAATCAGAACGTTTGTAAACATGAACGTTGGCTATACTTCCAGGTGGATAACGCGTCCAGTCAGGGGTAGAAGCAGCTCATTTTAAGCAGTGATAAATACAACCAGAACAGACTGAACCGAAATATGTTCAATAATAGTGAACTATTGTTGGGTTCGAGGCTGTAATGTTTGGGGGGGGGGTGCAGAGTCCAGGGTTGAGAGAGAACAAGAGCAGGAGAGAATAAATGCAAAAAGTGTGTTAAGAAAACTCTCCGCTTTATCCACCCACAGCTCCCCTGCTTCTCCTTATTTTATGTTAAGTTTAATTTCAAACCACTAATAAATGCTGCTGTGCTTTGGAGCTCAGCGGTTCAGTGAAAAGCATGCTTTCAATGATTGCTTATAACCTCAGAACAGCTAGTCTTGACTCTGAGACCTTTCAGAGTAAAAACATTCCCCTCATCCTCATCTACAGCCAGGAAACAGGATCAGAGGACGCACAACTAACCAGCAGTCTGGTAAACTACTTTCAGCGTTCAAGCTTCAAGCCAGAAAATGTGGGTTTTCTGGTATTCTTGGCCAAAATATCAGGCCTGGACCGACTTTGTAGAAAATAAATCGCGGACAATATTGGTCTGAAAAATCGCAATTAGATATTTTGCCCAAATCGATCAGCCCTGGATTTTTTTCTGTACTTTTTATGAGAATCAGTTTAATAAACACTCTCTCTCGTTCTGCAGGGGGACAGTGGTGGTCCACTGGTGTGTCAAGAGACAGATGGGCGCTGGTATCTCACTGGAGTGACCAGCTGGGGTGTGGGATGTGGCCGAAAGAACAGTCCTGGCGTTTACAGCAACGTACACAGCCTGCTAACATGGATACACAGCAAGATGGAGGTAGACACACACCACACACACCTGTGTACAAACTCAGCAACGATGAAACGCACAAACACTCAAACACACTCCCTCACTTTCTTACATCAGAGACCACCCTTTATTTAACTTCCAGTCAAACTAGCCATTAAGTAGAAATAATTCATTTTCAGTGTCAGGAAAAAAAACAGAAAATTGTATTTAACAGAAAATACTCAACAACTAAACATAATGTCACATTTTTTCAGTGTGTCACTCTTTATTACGGCGTCCACTCGTTTCAGGAGACTCACTTTCAGTTTCTCAATCAAATCCGCAGGGATATTCTTCCACAGCTCCAAAGTTCAGTCTTAGAAGTTGGTTTAGTATTTTCTGCTTCTCACCATCCAAATAATCAAACACATTCAATGGTGTTGAGGTCTGGACCCTGGGGTGGTCAGTCCATTGTTCAGCTTCTTTGTTTGATGTGTCCGTCTCCTTTTCTCAGTGAGGTTCTTCTTGAACAGCTACACATCCTTTCAGACCCACAGCGCTGAGTCGTCTTCTCACAGTGGAAGGATGGACAGAAACACCTGTGGATGTTTTCAGATCTGAAGCAGCTTGATTTTCTCCTCTCTCTCAGAGATGAAAGCTTTAAGTGCTGCTTATCTGATGGGGGCAGTTTTGGAAGCCCCTGTTCACATATTTTCCTTTGACTTTCCCCCTCTTAGTGCAAATGGATTATCTTATATCAAATGTCCTCATAAATATCTCCTGAATAATGAATAACTCGTACTTGATGGCTGTTTTTACTGGAAATTAATCAAATGAATGGTGGTCTCTGGCTTTTGCACAGGACCATAACAACATAGCTTTTACTGTATAAAGTTTCATTTATTACTAACTGCCTTCTTTCACTTTTGTTTTCTCTCTCTTTCTCTCTCTCTCTTTAATAGCAAGAGAGGCCCTGACCACACGGCACTAAACGCACTTTACGACATGTTCGAGGAAGGCACTGCCCCTGACAGTAACACAGAATAACACAGTCACCGTTTTTATGATATGAGTTTCCATTTTACTGGCCGGTGTCAGTTCATTTTCCTTATGCCAAGAATAAAATGAAGTCTGTGTACGTGTGCAGTTCACTTGCACAGATGCACTAATTCTCACTGTTACTTAAATGCAATAAACATGTCTATGTATGTATTTGGATTTATTTATTTGTTTGTTTTGCTCTGCCAATAGTAAATGGTTTACCACCTTTCAAATGGCTGATATTCTCTTCAGACACATTTGTTTGTGTTAATTTATGCTTCTTCTCAAATGTTTTTGTCCATCAGGTTAAACAAGGCGCTATTAAGACAAGTAGTCTCAAGTTATAAGGCATTTCCACTGATTTCTCAACATTTCTGCAGAATTGAGTCGTTCAGATGTGAACGAAGTCACTCAGAGTGTCCTCTCACAGTGGTCAACATTGTCC